ACATTCCCGTGCGGACGCACGGAGTTAAAATCTAGTTAACTATATAAAGTAGAGAATGTGGTTGACAAAAGAAAAAAAAAGTAGAAAATGATTCGTGAAAAGGAAGATCCGTGGGAATGTTCTTTCTATTATATCAAGCTTCTTCATGAAGACGCATAGATTGCAGAAACTCGAAACTGCAACACTATACAATTATGGTAATATATTTAGCCTATATTAATATGTCCATGAATAACGTTATTCCTCTCAATAAAGTCAAATAATCTTTGAAAAATACCAAATCTCTAATTCTGTTAAAATATTAAAGGTACATTAAAGCGATTAACTATATAAGTATAGTCATTACTTTGGGGATCAATTTCTTTTAAGTAATATTTCTAAAAATATAAGTACGTCATAGTAAAATGACATACTTTGTATCCTATTCTTGTAACACTTTGTATCATATTCTTGTATCACCTTTTAAGATTTGCGATTTTGTCTGAACAATGACACAAGACAAAATGCTCTTAGCGTTATGTAGGTACAGCATATTCTTAAGTATATCCAACTACACCAAAGTTCAGTTGTAACTTGTAACTAATATCGTCCGTTACGTATATGATTATAATTAGGTCTCTTTGAAAGTGGAATCCTTAGGATATATAACTGCAGGATCACAAGACAAAGGTGAGAATATATGTATTTATAAATTCTAGTAAAGGAAAAAGAAAAACATTTGATTAACTTTTGGCTATCGCATGCATTGTTTTTATCATATATAAGAAGAAGAAATTAATTATATATATGTTCGTATAACCTCTTTTAATTATATCGTTGAGAATTAATCATCTTTGGAGTTGGCCATGTCCACAATTTTTTTTTTCTTCTTCTTCTAAACCCCTGTCCACATTACGATGAAATGATATTTGTCGCTACGTACTACATATTTGTCGCTTTTTACATGGAAAATGGTATTATACAAGAAAAAATGTTGTAGCTCTTTCCGTCCGAGTGTTTTTTTTTCCTTTTCTTTTCGGGTATTTCCGTTCACGTGTGTTTTTTCAGAATATTTAGGATCTTAGGCCATGTTTATCGCTGGACTCTTGTTGGGTATCTGGGTGAATATTAGCCCAAAAATAAATCAAAAACTAAATTAAAGAAGAGAAACGATCTCTCTTTTATAATTTTTGGGATCGATCCCACTTGTGTACGTGTCATGTTGTGAGAGGGTGAAGAATTTAGGGGAAAAATGGTCTTCATCAACGGATAAAACAAATAAAATGTCGATGTCTGATTTCTTCTTCATCGAAAAAATGGTCGTCGATCTTTGATTTCTTCTTCTCCGATCTTCGTCTTCTCCGGTCTTGTTCTTCTCTGATCTCTGATTTCTTCTTCTCCGATCTTCGTATTCTCCGGTATTCTTCTTCTGTGATCTTTTCTTCATCGATATTTGTCTTCTCCGATCTTCCAAACTTTGTTTGCAGCTTGGATTTGTTGACTAATACTTGGATTTGTTACAGGAAAATGACACTCAGTCAAAGCAGTGATTCGTCGAGGAGCAGCAACAACTCAAGGGCTCGTCGTACTGGTTTCCACGGGATTCCATCGAGGTGCTTCTGCGGAGCTGGAACGGTACTTGTTACTTCTCATACCACCACAAATCCTGGGCGGCGCTTCTACACCTGCTCGAACAGTTCGGTGAGTTTAGAGTTTAGGTGATGATCAAAGCTTGTAGTATTTTAGGATTCAGATGGTCGCTTAACATAATTTTTGCTTGTAGGAAGGACTCCATGTTTGGAAATGGTGGGACGAGGCAATTACTGAGGAGCTGATGGAACTTAAGGCTAGTTTGAAGTCTCTTGAGGCAAGGGTTCGTGAAGATGAAGTGAAAACGTTGAAGGAGCTTAGTGCTTCGAAGACAAAGGAAGGAAAGGAGGTGAAGGTGGTTGTAGCATTGGTTGTTCTAATCGTTTCAGTCGGTGTCTTTGTTAGCTTTGTGAAGTAAGGTAAAACATGGTACTATCGGCTAATTCTCTTTTGGTTTTCAAATAGTTTTAAAGGGTTAGAAGTGTTGTATTTTGTTAAGTATTGTAATCGAATGTAAGACTTATTGTTATGTTTTTTTCCGGATTGGAATGATGATAATGCGGCTGTTATGTGTTGTATTCGAATGTCTGTTATGCTTTGGTTGGTTTGTTTGTTGGTCAATGCTTGTTTGCAGGTTGTGATGCTTTCCACTTCCAAGGAGACAGAGCATAGGAAGCTTTTGAGGTTAGTGTTTGCTTTCTTATTTCTTTGTATTGTATCTAGTTAGGATCTAAATGGAATTTTAATCTCAAGTAAATGGAACCGTGTGGCTACTTAGTGGTAATAAATGCATTAGTGGTAGCTTTGATGCCGGTTAGGTAGTTAATGGTGTGGTTTAATATATCTATGTGGTGTGATAGAGTTCTCGTCAACTCGGTATAGTTGTGAGATTGTGATGAATGCTATCTCATCTTTTGCTTCTTCTTTTTTTTTTTGATCTTCTATTTAAACACCTCAACTAACAGCTTCACTTAGTAGTAAACACTTGAAGTAATTGCTCAACTCTCTGTTTCCCAAGTTCATTATCTCTTATTCGTCTACCTCTTCTCTCTTTTTTCCTTTGTAAACCCCTTCATAAACCCATGGGTTCTTCCTTTCCCTTCACTCCGCCTTTGATGAGTGGAGATTTTGACTCATTCTAACTTGTGTTTACTAATTGTTTTAGGAGTTTTTGGAGTCTTTTCAGTAAGTTTCAGTTGACTTAGAGGCCTTATCAAAGGATTGGAATGTTTAGGAGGCATTGGAGCAAAAAGAGATGAATTTGAGCAATAAGGAGCTATTTCACACGTTTTTGGAGAAATCATCCCCGGAGCACCTGCTCCCGGTTTGGACCCTTCGTAGAGCACCTGCTCCAGACGGGAGAAAAATAAGGAAATCGACTTTTACCAAATTTTGGGAGGAGAAAGAGAATAAAAAGCCCACAGCCGCCTGTGTTTTATTATCACGTTTTTTTACAGACTTTCTACGTTTTTCTTTTTACAATTTCCTGAACCATAGAGTTTTTACTTGTAAGCTTTTGGGAGAAGAAATCTGCTACACTTTGAGAAGAATTCTGAACCCTATAATCTCTTCTGCGATTTTAATTCATGAATTCCTTTCCATCTGTTTCTGTGTTTCTTTTCTTCATGTCTGAGTAGATCTCTTAGCTAGATTAAAGCGTTCAAAGGATTTCATGAGTTAGAGGATTAGATGCAAATAGGGCTTGATATCTATTGTCTTCACAATTGTTAGACTTAATGCTTAGGTTGAATTGATCACTCAATCTGCGATTTTAGGTTAATCTGTTCATCAAAAGTGTAATAGGTTGCTAGAATAAACATTGGTGAGCGATTTGTCCTTAGCCAACGACAGTTGAAGTTAAGGCAAATCGTGAACAGATCAAACCTGCTAGCTAATGCTTGTCTGCAATTTTCTAGGTTCAAACGACAGTTTAGGATTTAGGTTGTTAGACAAAGTTATCGAGATCACGACAGTGGATCGATAAGCTTTTCTGTTTGAGTTCGAGACTTCCGTTACACTTGTGCCATGAATAGTCATCTGGTTCTTATCTCTGAAATTCCTGCGAATTGCTTTGGTCTAGTGCTTGTTTTAATTTGAATTTAAATTGTTGTTTGCCATTCTGTTACTTTTTAGTTTTCAAAACAAACCATCTTTCGTCTTAGCTTTAATTCAATCCTCACAAATTCATAGAGTAACACTGGTCCTCTGGATTTCGAATCCTTTATATTACAATTACATCACTGTTCTATTGCAGTAGAAACTAGGAGTATATCTAGTGAGAACCAGCCTTCTACTTTTGTTGACTTACTCACGAGTCAACAAGAAAATTTCTTGTCCTTTCCAGCCGTTGATCTTGGTTCTTCCCAAGCCCCCATCTTCAGTTCTCAGACCGAGGAGACACCTGCAGAGAAGAAGGAACGCCGAACATGGACTCCAGCCGAAGATTTGTTGCTCATAAGCTCATGGCTCAACACGAGCAAAGATCCCGTGGTTGCTAACGAGCAGAAGAACATCACGTTTTGGTCGCGCATAGCAGACTATTTCGGTGCATCTCCACTGGCGGTTGGAAGAGAGATCCGCGGGCCTATGCAGTGCAAGCAGCGTTGGCAAAAAATCAATGAGAACGTCTGCAAGTTCTCTGGGGCATACGCGGCTGCGTCGAGGGCTAAAGCAAGTGGGATGAACGAGAATGATGTGTTGAAAATGGCTCATGAGATTTTCTTTACTGACCATAAGAAGAAGTTTACGATGGACCATGCGTGGCAGGAGCTCCGTTACGATCAAAAGTGGTGTGAACTGACTGCAGCTAAAACAGATGGAAAGAAGAAAAGGAGGAGGTCTCAAGACGGCACCCAGTCGGAGGCAGCTGAAGGCGAGGAAGGAAAGAATGCTGATGAAGCTCAAACTGAGTCACGTCCTCCGGGAATTAAGGCTGCGAAATCCAAAGGAAAGAAGTCTAACGGTGATGGTAATGTTGTAACTCAGTTTCAAGAGATGTGGATCGTGAAAGAAAAGGAGTTAGCGGTCAAAGAAAGACGGTCCAAGATGGGTTTGCTGGACAGTCTGGTTGCGAGGAAGGATACCTTAAATGAGTGCGATGAGGCCCTGAAGAAGAAGCTCATAGCAGAGTTGTTTTAGTCGAAGAAGAAGCATTAGTTTCATCAGTGTAATGTCTACTATGTGTCTGTTTAGTTTTATGCTTTGTTTTTTTTATGAAGAGTCTACTTAGTCTTTTAATGTTTGTCTACTTTTTAGTCGTATGTGTAATGTTCAACTATTGTAATGGTGGTTTATGAATGAAGCTTGTTGTTGTCTACTTTTTATGTTGTTCTGTAATGTTCAACTAATGTAATGCTTTTATTATTTACGTCAATGTAGACGAGGAGCTGAGTCAGGTTTCCACCTAGTGACTTCGTCGGCATAAGAAGACAATGCACCAGAAAACAAAGACATTCACAAGAGCCCATGTTGATGAGGATCTGAGTCAGTATGTCAGTATGTTTGCTTTTGTAGGGTTTGGATTTTTGCAGGTGGTAATTGTATGATTGTGGAAACACCACATGCCGTGACTTTTTCTATAGACCACATAATGCAACTTATACTCGCTATATATATGTAAACATACTTCACATATTTCATCATCGTTGTATCTTCTTCTCTCATTCTCCTACTTGTTTTAAACCCATTACAAAAAACAAAAGAATGGGTTCTTCTTCTTCAAATAATGAGTTTGATGATTTTTTTAATCAGCACTATGAACAAGTTTGGGATCAGCACTATGAACAAGTGTGGGATCAACACTTTGAGAATTTTTTCATTGAAAATCAAGAGCAAAAAAAACAAGAAAAAGAGAGTTTTCATTGAAAGAGAGAGGGAACAAGGTCATGATCGTTTGTGGAACGATTACTTCAGTGACAATCCAACCTACCCGGCAAATCTATTCAGGCGACGGTTTAGGATGAACAAACCATGGTTCTTACGTATTGTAGATCGTCTTTCAAATGAAGTTCCTTACTTCCGGCAGAAGAAAGATGCACTCGGACGGCTTGGTCTCTCTGCACTTCAGAAGTGCACAGCAGCAATACGTATCTTGGCATATGGCAATGCTCTTGATGAGGTTGATGAGTACCTACGACTCGGTGCAACAACTGCTCGTTTGTGTTTAGAAAATTTTGTCGACGGAATTATAATGCTATTTGGAGATGAGTACCTACGACGCCCCACACCGGAAGATCTTGAAAGATTACTCTATTATGGAGAGCAACGGGGATTTCCCGGGATGATCGGAAGCATTGACTGCATGCACTGGGAATGGAAGAATTGTCCCACCGCTTGGAAAGGCCAATATGCACGTGGCCATGGAAAGCCCACTATCGTTTTAGAAGCGGTGGCCTCATATGATCTTTGGATATGGCATGCGTTTTTTGGATCTCCAGGTACGTTAAATGATATCAATATTCTGGATCGGTCACCCGTCTTTGATGATTTTATAAATGGTCGAGCTCCGAAAGTAAATTTTACCGTCAACGGAAGAGAGTATCATTTGGCTTACTATCTCACTGACGGGATTTATCCAAAGTGGGCTACGTTTGTCCCATCTATTCCACTTCCTCAGGGTTCTAAACCATCTTTATTTGCCCTATATCAAGAGTCTACCCGAAAAGATGTTGAGCGTGCTTTTGGCGTATTACAATCTCGGTTTGCTATTATTAAAAATCCGGCTAATTATTGGGATAAAGGAAAAATAGGTCAGATTATGAGATCTTGTATTATACTCCATAATATGATAGTCGAAGATGAACGAGATGGATACGATCTACTAGATCTTTCTACATTTCAACATGGAGAAGGAACAAGCAGTTCACACGTGGATTACTCATACTCTACAAGTCTTCATACCAATATTAATATTGCTGAGATGATGGAAGTTCAAAACAAATAAAGGATGGCAAACAACATCACAATTTGAAAAAAGATTTGATGGAAAATATTTGGCAAAAATTTGGAGGTCAACTAGGAAACAACTGAAAACCTTGAAAATGTAAAAGTTTTTAAATTTGTAATCTCAATTCTATTGTATAATTATTCTGTTTTTTTTTTAAATAAGAAATCCACTAGAGTTTCTCCCAATGTACTTCCATAATTCATACATTTCTTATTAAGTTTTCTATCTTTAAGTTAATTAATATAATATACTGGAAGAAACCCAAAAAATGTCCAGCGATAAACATGTTCTTATTGGGCTACTCGAATTAAGACGGCGTATCCCGAGAGACCGCGTGCGTGACGCCTCACGTCACGACGCACGACTCACGTGTTCGCTACTTCGCTTGTCTATATTAATTTCTCTAATTTAGACTATAAATATTGTAGACCCGTTAGGGTCTCTTAAGTAGTTTTTTAATAATAAAGTTAGGTTTAAGACCCATATAAGAGATCTATGTATTTTGGTTGAACATTGTAGATATTCTTTGGGTTGTTTAAAAAAAAGTAGGAAGGAAATAAAACTAGGAAAGAAGGAAAATTGTGTAGGAAGAAAACTAGGAAGGAAGGAAAAAAGAATTTTCCTCCAAATTCAATGGTCAATCACAGTCTTCCACTAGTCATCGAAAACCGGTTCATGCTCTTACTATTACTCCCTATAATTAATATTTTCTTTATTAACTATTATTTTTAGCACAAAAAATACTATTACTACGTGAAAATGTGTAATGTGAACAAGACCCCGAATTATAAGTAGTTAAGTACTTGTATTTTTTAAATCCTCGTTCTCTGACGTGTTACGATATACATTTATATAAAATTATTTGTGACAACACTGAAAAATGTGAAACGAATTGAGTTATACTCCATTTTTATTATAAGCACACGTTACTCGTATTAATCTCCTATTTTCTTTGCAAAAACCACTAACTTACATAAGTCAATATCCATATTTATTTTTATTTTTCTGTATCTCTCACACAATCACCCGCCAAGTTTCTTGAAGCCCTTTGATTCTTTTGGCTCGAGAGATGGAAATAAGCGAGACTTTAAAAACTAAATTCCAAAACCGAATTAGCAAATGCGAAGGAACCATGGATGAGAACCAGATGAGGATCACGGAGAAGCAGAGGAAGAAGAACAACTGAGAGAAGAGAGAGTGTCACTGACTTAGAAGCTGAGGAGACAAAAAGGGTTTATGCGGAAAATTAATCCTCTGCGGTGAAGAGCGGAGTAAGACAGACACAGAGTCGTCGGTGCCAAGAGCATACTTGTCGGAGTCATGGGATTCAGAATGGCTAAGTTTTGTGGTGAGATAAATTAAATATGAAGGATAGCCTTAAAGGATAGACTGTAACTTCCAGTCTAAAATGAGATCCAATCTTATGTCATTATCTCTATTTGTATGAAATAGTTCACATTAATCTTCAGTAGTAACCTATTTTTTCATGTCCCAATCTAATTTTACTATTTCACATACAATGATGTTAGGAAGACAATCAAACATAGAAACAGAATGTTTTCACTCAAAAACAATTATTTATTGACAGAGATAGATTAAATTAGTGAATCATAAATGGTACAATTATTTATTGACAGAGCTTTATAAAGTTAGTTAAACAGTGAGTGGGCTTACACCTCTACCATCTCCATTTGATTATACCTAAAGCAGTACACTGGCATGGCTTGCACATAGAAATAACAATTACAAAACACTATCCTGAAGATCTCTAGGTTAAAAGTTTATTTCATGAAGAACAAGTATACGCAAGTTCATATATAAACACTTCAAAATTTCATGATTTATCCGGTACCGTGTCCTAATCAAGCTCCAGTGACGTTTATTGACAGTTAGCAATAGCATAGAACTAATAAACATAGTATATATAATTATAACAATGCATGTGAATCAGCAAACTCTTATAACACACAACAACAAAAGAGCAACAAAAATTCAGGCTATTTATACAACTCTTATATCTGGAGATAAACCATTGACTCAAATTTTAAGACTTTCGTCCTTTATTAATAGCTAAGCATACAGGAATAATGAACCGATAGATTTTTTTCTCCCGATCAATAGCATGTACCTATATATTTTTGAAATATTGGCGCAGAAGAATTACCGGGCAAATCTCCTTTGGCAGAGAACTCATTACAGTGCAATGCATAAGAGATGCAAAGGTCAAGTAATGGTTTCCTGCCAATAGAGATCTTGCCCTGTAATGCATTTTCACCTTTGATAGGTCTCAACTCTCCACAACTGTAATCTGAAAAATTCAATGTTTGTATTTATACAATTTTTGTGAGAAGCATATTCCATGGTACAATGCTAGATTGTAAATAATACTGAGCTTTTATTCCGAGGATCTCATCTCCGTATAATTCTAAGGAATAATCTTTCACGCCACAAGTTTTATGGTCAGACAATCTTAAAGTAAAGAGCAGCTTACCACTTTTTTCTTACGGTATTCAAATCCTTGGCTACATCTCCTGCGTGAACACAACGAAGTAAAACTTTGTATACATATATATGCATCATTTTATTTGACAAAACTCATATCCATAATTTTATACATAAAGAGTCAATAACAATGTATATTACATACCATGTCCTATAAATTGTTGATACAACCATTGTCAACCGATAAAACTATGCTTTTTATAAACATATAATCCCAATTTGTATTCTACTATATTATATTACATATAACTTTTGTTAAAAATTTAGGACTTTCAACCTAATTAGTTATCCGATTTCGGCTAATTTATAAGACTAATTGGGATATTTTTAGTAATTAAAAAAGAAATTAAGTGAGATACTTGTGGCTTGATAAAACTTTTTTTGACACAACTAGCTTGTTTATTTGGAGATTTATAGAAAGTAATGAAAATAAAATTAATGAAAGAATGCTTAAAGTGTAAAAAGGATAAACGGGTGGTAAATAATTAAGTAATTAACTATATAAAATAGAAAGTTATTCTTAAAATGGAAGATCCGTAGGAATGTTCTTATAATAGTTTTATTAAGCTTCCACGTGAAGACGCATAAAATGCAGAACCTCGAAACTGCAATTTCTTCTACAAAAGTATAATATTATACACATATGTTATGCCACTCAATAAAGTTAAATCAACTTTGAAAAAGACCAAGTTCAAATTTTTCAATATATAAAAAGTACAATGACCTTATAAATATAGAATCATTACTTTGAAGATCCGTCATTTAATTTATTCTTTCTTTATAATAGATTGGAATATAATAAAATTGACATACTTTGTATCCTATTCTTGTATCACTTTTTAAAAATTTGAGATTTTCTTTGAACAATGACTCAAGACAAAAAGTTCTTAGCGGCAGGTACGTACAGGATGTTCATCAGTATATCCAACTATACCAAAGATCAAAACACTCATACATTTACCAGTTGTATGATTGTATCCATCTTACATTATACTAATAATATAATCAAGCGTGCACATCGTTAGATATATGAGTTTATGAGATCGTATTATTGATTATTGATTGAGGTCAAATAACGATTTATACATTATAACTCTAAATCAAAATAACCAGTTTTGAATCCGATAAAATTTTGTATGCCTTATTTTAGATCGAATCGGACTGGATCTCATATATTTTGTATAGCCCTACTTTTAATATTATGATTGAACTCTTAATTAGGGCATCGTAAGTAATTAACGTTACATTCACGAGTCAAGACTACTTATTTCACATAAACTACGTATTGCTCCAAGATAGTCATTGTTAAGTAGACCAAACTAGTCTGTTAGATAATTGATTGATAATTTTTTAAAGTATATATTATTCTTAACAAAAGATATTCATAGAAAAATGTAGATGATTTCTGTGTATATGAAATAAGACTCTCTCACGCTTTCATATTAGCAGATTACAATGATGTCTAAAAGAAGCATGCTTAAGTGGACAACATTTCGGAGATGAATGGCATTTTTTGCTACATATAAATAATTACTACAAGAAACACTTTATGTGCGAGTGAAATTTGTTGTTATTAATTTTAGTGGTCTGATTACAATATATTTGCCTTCCAAATTCCAATATACTGTGTTAACAGCTGACTAAATAATGCCGCATCGTCTTTTATATTAAATAAAGTTAATAAGCTCGAAAGACTTATTTTTATTTTAAATTTAAGAAATTTCCCACCTTGTTGTTTTGAAATTCAAAAGTTTATACAAGAACGACTTCGAGCTCGGTCTTGTGGCCATTAATACTGTATTTTAGGCTTTAAGAGCCTTTTTTTTTTTAATTATTCAATTGGTCTAGTGGTCAAGAGTCCCTATGGTTGTTCTTGTGGTTGCTGGTCTGTGTCATATATATGTCACAAATCGTCGTCCTAATCGTAGCTAATATATTTAATAGTAACGTAATGCTAACACATTATTTTTTTAATAAAAAATGCTAACACATTCTTACGACGAGAAATTTAGAAACATTCAGAGATTGATCTGTACACAATACAAATACAATTTTCTTTGGTAATTATTCCAAAAAGATGGTAAAATCAGGAAGCTCCTTGTAAAATCTTCCGAGTTGGAGACTTGGAGTTGAAGTACAAGGAGAAATTCCACTTGACGTTGCGTATAGGATACTTCATACATATATTCTCTATGAAACATGGGATGTGCCACCGAATATGCTAATATATAAGGCAATTAGGCAAATGTGCATGAAAATAAGCCATACACCCTATATATATAGTTTTGCTATGGTCGAAGCTTAGCTATCACTCAAAAATAAAATAAACAAAAGTATGAAGTTCGATGTTTGTAAAAAAGAGAGGAAGTGATGCATGGTTGGATTACAGGGCAAATACTCCATTGGCAGATAGTTTTCGCTACATCTATGTTTATACATACATATACTGTATATACGTATATAAATAATTATATAGTGGTTGAGATGTATTAAAAATTCTTTACTGCCAAAGGAGATTTGCCCCGCAATTCATCCCATGCAAAAGAATCGACTAATAGTCTAGGCATCTAGCACGATCACAAGAGAAGTTTTTTGAGGAAAAAAAAACTTTTTCTTACTCTTGCATGCATTAATAATTTGATATCATATGTAGTTTTCAGTGTAGCCTTTTCTAAATCAGAAATAAAGTCTAAATATTGTTATAGAGATTTATGTTTTTAAGTAGTAGCAAAGGTCTGAATTATCATAGCATACACGCCTAATCTTTATATCAGCTATATCATGCTTCTTTCAGGAAGACTAATATACCCTCAAATATTTATAAACTACTACAATATCCATTATACAAGGTCGAATGTACGTATAAGATGTTTGGAATTTCGAAAAAAAAAAGTTTTTATTTTGTATGATTTCCGTTTAAGTCTTTTCTCAATAGTTGACTAAGATTGCATTGGTTCTTCGAGTAACGCAGGTGTACCTAGAGGGGAAGCGCGTGAGTAAGCACTACCCACGTGTTCGAATGTGGGTCAAGCATCACATATTATTACTACTAGATTACTAATCAATAATTAGGAATTAGGAGGTAAAACCTCCATAACATTATGTAAAAACTTAATTTTCTATGTATTAAATTCATATTAATCTTTTCAGGTTAATTAAAATTAACAAAAACAGAAAACTATATAGAAAAAGATTCTCCATTGCCGGTATTAGAACCCGGCCGCTCGGGTGAGAGACGAGTATCTGACCAACTAGACCAACGAATGATTTATACTATTTTTTACACAATATTATTTTTTACAAAACAGAGAAACGAAAGTTTGCATCACAAGTCATTCTCGTGTCCATGCTAAAAAAACTAAACAAAAGAGGTAAAAAAATATAACGCAGGTGCAATTTCTTGAGATTCCTGACAGATTTATTTGATTTTAGGTATTTATTGAAGTTTCAAACACACACAAAAAAAAAAAAAAGATAGAAGATTCGGTCATGGAGATCGGCAACGACAGAGGAACAAGAAAGCAGAAGAACAGAAGCTTTCTGTTCTGTTGCGATTTTGGTGAAATGTAGCCATCGCCAATTCGTCATACCCAATCTTCTTCATTAAGGTTTATGTCGTGGCTCTTCTCATCACAATCCCAATTTATTCATTGAATTTCTTTATGTTTAAATTTCCACCTTTTTTTGCCTTGCGTTTTACTCTTCCGAACAAAAAAAAAATTTAGACATTCCTCACCAACTCTGTTAGCTTCACTTAGAATTAAATTTGTTCTGTTTCATTCAATTTTCTCCAGACCTTTTTCACCAATTTTCATTTTTTTATTGGTAAAATTTTCTGACTCCTTTGATTCTTAATTTACTCCGTTCATCATTGTTTCATCAAAGAAATTCTGCATTCCTATTATATATATTTTTTTTGTCAATTTCTTAGTATATGAGCTGAGAGAAGAGATAGATAAATGGGAAAACAAGGATCACCGAGAAGTCCTCGACCCGAAACAGTGGATAAAGAAGAGAAAATTGGGAGGAGAAGTTTGGATTCTTTATCTGGAAATGATCTCTTCATTGGTAGAAGAATATATGGAACTGAAGTTTCCAAGGCTCAGGGATCTAAACATGACCAAAGCTGTGGCAGTAGCAACAAGTTTAGTTACTCTTGGAAGAAGCAACATTCATGGCTTCGTAGGAACTTGAAGTCCATTGTTCTGATGATCTCAGTCACAGGTTTCATTTTCTTCTTCGATTCCATTATGGTTTCGATCTTTCCTTCAGATAATAGCGCCGTGGTGCAGGACTTCTCAAAGTTGAGCTATGAGACTCCGCATAAGGTTTGCAAATAAATATTCTTTTTTTAATTACTCTTCATACATCCTCCATCGTTAATGCCTTCTTACCCTTTATATTTCTATGTATGTCATACAAAGAATTTTGATCAAGATGCTTCACCGGTGCAAATGTATAGCCGTCTACTAAACTTAGCTTCAAATTCTCTTGCAAAGGTTAGTGAAAACGTTTAAGATTATGTTTTTTTTTTTTTGTGTGTGTGTGTTTTTGAATCGTTAGTAATCTTGTTCTCCTTTGTGTTACAAGAATGTATTCAAACCCGATACACCGAATTTCCGTGAAGAAAGATCTTCAAAGTCATCACAGTGGAAGCCTTGTGCAGATAATAACAAAGCAACCACGGCATTAGTAAGGTCTAGAGAATTAAGCAATGGTTACATCATGGTTAGTGCAAATGGTGGCCTTAATCAACAGCGTGTGGCTGTAAGTAACTAAACTAACTGTAGATATTTAATCCATCATCAAGAAATTATGTATACGTTTTATGTTTATAAGTGACTATGTTAGTTTCTTGCAGATTTGTAACGCTGTTGCTGTTGCTGCTCTGCTCAACGCTACTCTAGTTCTTCCTCGGTTTCTTTACAGCAATGTATGGAAAGATCCTAGGTATTTAAACCTACTCAAGACTTCCAAAATTAATTGATTTTAAAAATGTACCGTTTTGATGCTTCAAAATGTATAAATTGCAGCCAATTTGGTGATATATACCAAGAGGACCGTTTTATCGAGCATCTGAAAGATGAGGTGGATATAGTGAAGGAACTTCCTCAACATCTAAAATCTACAGATGACAAGAATCTCAGCTTGGTGTGTTTTGTGTGTTTAGCATTCTCTATTTATTGGCTTTTCGAGTTTAAGAAAAAATTCATAAATGTTTGTTTGTTTCTTGCTTCATAGGTTACTGATACAGAGCTTGTAAAAGAGGCAAAGCCAGTGGATTACATCGAACACGTTCTTCCATTGTTAAAGAAGTATGGAATGGTTCATCTTTTCGGATATGGGAATCGCCTCGGTTTTGATCCGTTGCCTTTTGATGTTCAGGTAACAAATATATAAGAGGACGCATAGTTAAGAGTATTCAAGAATTTGGTTCTTGGAAAAATGATGAGGCTTTTTCTTTAATATTTACAGAGATTACGATGTAAGTGCAACTTTCACGCGCTGAAATTCGCGCCAAAGATTCAAGAAGCAGGATCTCTGTTGGTGAAACGGATAAGAAGATATGAAACATCGCGTAGCAAATTGGATGAAGCATTGCTTGGTGAATCCATGGCGAGAAATTCTGTTAAAGGAGGAGATCAAGAACCACTAAAGTATCTTGCTTTACATCTACGGTTTGAAGAGGACATGGTTGCTTACTCTCTATGTGATTTTGGAGGAGGAGAAACCGAACGTAAAGAGCTTCAAGCGTACCGAGAAGATCATTTCCCTCTTCTCCTCAAACGTTTAAAGAAATCAAAGTAAAAAACTATACAAAATTTCTCACTAAAATGTTTCTTTAAAACGAATCAAATCTTGTTAACCTCTCTCTCTCTGTTTCTTCTCAGGTTTGTTTCTCCAGAAGAGCTGAGGAAAACAGGAAAGTGTCCATTAACACCAGAGGAAGCAACTCTAGTTCTTGCTGGTCTTGGATTCAAGAGAGGAACATATATATACTTAGCAGGATCTCAAATCTATGGAGGCCCTTCTCGTATGCTTCCACTAACAACTCTTTACCCAAATCTCGTGACCAAAGAAACTCTTCTTACACCACAAGAACTCGCGCCATTCAAGAACTTCTCTTCTCAGGTAAAAAAAGTTAATCAAACCATCTTAAGTACCGGTAGCCATATAAACCGAACGGTCTTTATCGGTTCTTGCTCAAGTTTCATCTCAAGGTTTCGGACTCTGTTTTGCAGCTAGCTGCACTGGATTTCATAGCTTGTGCAGCTTCAGATGTGTTTGCAATGACTGATTCTGGTAGTCAGTTATCCTCCTTAGTCTCTGGATTTAGAACATATTATGGCAACGGTCACGCGCCAACGTTGAGGCCTAACAAGAAGAGGCTTGCAGCGATCTTATCAGGCAGTGAAACAATAAAGTGGAAGACATTTGAAGATCGCGTGAGAAAAATGGTAGAGGAAGGTAACAAAGTTCGTCTTAGGCCTTATGGACGAAGTATTTACAGACAACCGAAATGTCCCGAGTGTATGTGTAAATTTTGATCCTTGAAACTGTCTGAAATTTTTTGATGTTACGTCAGTACAAAATAGAATAAAGTCACTGTATATTTTGTAATCACTATATAACACTGAACAACTAAAACCTCTTTAGAATCTCTTACTAAGAGTTACATCACAAATGATGGGATCGTTTAACTGGCAATTTTACTGTTATTTAACTTTTTTAATTTATGTTTAATCACAGGACCAGTAGTCTCCACTTTCCACTTCCCATTTTCTTTATCTCCTTATTTGTAGGATCGATCAATTGTTTTACTTTGTGTATTTGTAGGATCGATCAATTGTTAAGATAATGAATCAGACTTGAAATTGAAGGAGAAAATTGTTGTGTTCTTAATTTCTGATCAACATTTGATAATCCTATATGTGGGATCTATCATCAAATGTCATCGTTTTTGGCGGTCTCAACTTCTTCTATCCAATTTCCTCTCTGCAGATCTTCTTCCTTCCACCTCTCGTCTCCGTTGTTGGCTACACAGTTCAGATAAAAACCACATACTTAGATTCATTCCTTAAGATGATAATGGAAAAAATTAAAGATTCAATCTTCCAAAAGAAGTGTTCCTAAAGCCATTGCAAAACCCGGACAATTAAAAGATATTCCCTCAACTGATCGACTGAAAAGAAGCTCAAGAATCTATAATTTTGTGGATCAAAGAATATAAAATACAACTTACGCGAAAGCTGAGTATCCAGAACCAGCACTTGCAGCAGAGACAAGAGCTGCATTAGACCGGATTGAAGATAGGGAATCCTGAGTCCCAGCTGGTAGAGGAGGATTCTTCACGTCCCCATCAACCTAATTTATACAAAAACACATAAAACGAAATTAGTAAAGAGCTTAGTAAGCCAGAATCTTCTGATAATCTCATTCTAGACTTTTGAATCTGATAATATATACCTTATCCCATTTGGATTTCTTGTTCGGTCTACCGTCACGAGCAGCGATTTCGGTTGGTACTGAGGGCAAGCCACTAGTAACTAAAGCTGGAAGACCTGAAAGATTTGTCAAAATTCAAAAATCCATCAAATCTTGCAGAGATGTAGCTGAGATATATAAAGAACCAAACTGACACCTTTTGTTTTCAACTCTCTGCAACTCAAACACACCTGGGTTGGGGATGTTAGGCTTCTGAGCAGCGAAAACCGTCCCAGGTTGAGTACCAACAGAAACAAAGTCAAGCTTTTGGTTCTTCTTGCTTTCTTGTTCCTTCCTTTCCCTCTCATGCTTCATACTAACTTCTGAAATAATTTAAATTATAAAAAGGATCACTATAAATCATAAGAAGATATGCAGAGCGCAGAATATGGTAATAACTAGTAACCAGCATCCTCCATAGTGAAAAAGAGTTGATGATACTTAACAGAGTATCGAAAACAGATATCAAAGATGCTTCTTACTGAGACAAGAGTCTTCAAGGAGAAAAACAACAAAAGAAATAAAATGCAGGTAGCTCTTATTAAGGGAAGAAACCACTAGATACCTATAGCATCGCAGAAGTCACTTGGGTCATATCCATTGGGGTCGAACACATCTTTACTGAAGCAAGAACCAGTCTGATAAATTTCTTGATAACTAACTGCGTGCAACAAGAAGTCTGGATTCCTGTATTCCTTTCTATTCCGCACTTCTGAATTGAAACTCTTCCCCATCTTCTTCAAGCTCAGAAACTTATCTATTTTCCTCTGCAATTACATCAAAAAAATAATAATTAACTTGTGAAGTAAACTCCCTAAAGATGTTTGAGACCAAGTTCTAAATCGCAAACAAATCAGCTTAAAGGAGAAGAGACCAAAAACTAAATAGATCTTGCCTCCTTTGATCTCTATAAACCTCTTCAAGCGATAATTTAGTATAAAAACCTTTCAATCTAGTCCAAAAAGTATAGCAAGTTAGCAACCCAAAACCCATAAACATCAACCTAAACTATCGAACATTCGAACAATGAAGCATCAATGGTGAACTTACTTGAAGCTCCTCAGAGCACTTCTCTCTCGGAGGTGGCGGTAGAAACTGATCCAGCAACGTATCCGTACTTTCCCCTGATGCATCGTCAGCTCTCTCACCATCCGCAATCCCAGGCTCATCAATCATTCGACTTGGCCAATCGGGTCTCGATGATTCATCGTTTTCGAGTGACCTAGGCGTCGCGTGAGCGCTAGAAGCTCCACCATCCACCTTAGGCGTTCTGGAATCTTCTCCTCTTCCTCTCTCTTCATCCATGAAATTAGCTTCTTCTAGCTGAGCCTCGTCAATTCTTTCACCTTCTTCCTGACTTCTCTGCTGTTCTTCTTCTTCTTCCTCTTCCTCGGCATCTTCCATCTCTTCGTCATCCTCATCACTGTAAACGGAGAGTAAGGCGATTCCTTCAGAGTGCTTCTTCTTCGGAGCCATAAGAAACCAGCTTGGATCAAATCGAGACTCGGATTAACGGAATTCGAATCCGATTGCGAGGACAGATAAATTTTGGGAGAAGAAGACAGAGGAAATGGCTAACTTAGGGTTCTTGAGTTCTTCCAAAATTATTTCCAATTTGAATTGCAACCCGAACTTTTAGATCCACCGAATCAGAACCATGTGGGATGTTATGTCTTTCAAAACGTCGTTTATAGCCTCCTAGGTCTTAAAACCCAAATATTGGATTTGGACTAATTATAAATTAGACCTAAAGGCCCAATTAGTAAAATTATCATGAAATGCAATGAATCTATTGTTCATAACCCCGGAAGTAATTCTCACTTGTCTCTACATTCTTGACATACAACAGTCTGCATTATATCTTGTTACAAAAAAAAAATCAGTATTGATGATGATTAGTTTGCATGTCGTGTTAACTCTTAAGGAAGTCTAAATAGTACTGTAAGTTTTTGCAAACACACAAAGAAATTCTGAATCTATATGACTATATCATATCTAGGAACTTTGTGAATAATTTCGACTATTAACTAACCATTGCGAAAGGGTTGAGTTTATGAAAAATGTAAACACACCGAATCTGAATATAGAGAGTACCGAGGTACCTCTTGATTAAAGATTAACATACCTTAAAACCAAAAAGAAAGAAAAAAGAAAGATTAATGTAATACGACGTAATCTTCATATATTATCCTATCATGAGGAATATTAACCCTTCTATGTTTTATCTAAGTTTATGTTGATACCTTAATCCTTATAACTAGATACGATGAAACGAATACAGTTCAAGTTGGTCGTGCAGCTCGTGCTTGCACTTTGAGATTGAAAAAAAAAACATTTGTCTATAAAACGGCGTCAACTTACTTCATTAATTAACAAAATTAATGTATAGTAGGATATTACATACTTTTGGGAACTACATCTTGCTTGTTTAGCTTAAACATCTGCAGCAATGTTAGCTTACTCATAAAAATAAACATATAAACCTTTGATCTCTAAACAATATCAGCAAAAAAATTTCAATGGTGACAACAAAGTGCTAGATCTAGATGCTAAATAGACAGTGATTTAGACAGATTAAAAATATGAAATAAGTTGGTAAATTAAATATCATATAACGTAAATTTTATGAAAAAAACAACATTTAGAACACATGCAATTCATCAAAAAAAAAACTAGTGCAATAGAAATGGGAGTTCATTTACCAACTTTGGAATGCAATAAAAATAATATAGCTAATCTTTCTAAATGCACATATTAATTTATAATATTTAAAAACTATAAAAAAATATGAGGAAAATTCATTATATCTTTTAAGATGTGGTTCGTTTCAAAAATATAATGGATAGGATTAATATACTAAACAGAGAAAATTACGAACAGTCGTGTCACATATATAAGCTCCATCGCTTTTATGAAAAGCCACACAAATTATAAAGACACTTGAACCTTTATTAAATTAATAAACCCTCTCTGAATTAATTTAATCTCAACTGTACTCACTAAATTCATGATATTGTCACGCCTAGAAAGTACTTTCTTCCTCTCTTAAAACTGTAGACAGTCGGTAAGAGTATTGACTTTGTAATTGCTGATGTGTTCCTCCTTGTGCTTATGGATATGGTTAAATAATTAGCACTTCAAGGAGTGTGTTTTATTTTCCGCACAAAACATAATCACTTTGAGACATTCAACCATATAAATAAGCTAATCAACAAAAGTTAATTGTACTTTTACCCGATAATTGTTTTGTTTGTCGACTTCAAACATATATCTTTGTTGATATCATATCTTTAATGTCTTTTTTAGTAATTTTAATATAAGATCTATATATATATATATATATGCTCAAAAAATCAACTATTAATGAGTTGCTATGTAAAAATGTAGTTTTATGTAGTCTGGACTAGCTTTTACTAGATGAATTTTCAATCATAGTTATATCTCTACATTATTATTTAAATAGACATTTAAAAAAGTAACCTTTATTTTGTAAAATATTACATGATATGCCATTACAAATAACAAAGAATAATTAAATTAGGAAAGGATATAGTTATCTTTCAAATCTATTGAAAAAAACATGGAAAGTCTTTGTTTCTCATTTAATAGAGTATATTTATTATTTAATTTCTGAATTCTAAAATATGAAAGTTTTATATTTTTTTAAATAATATCATAAAGTATATTTAATTAAAAAACATGAAAATATTTTTTTCACAATTAAATAATATAAAAGTCAAAATTAAAATTTATGATATTTAAAAATGGTGAAATATTTTTTACTTTAATTTGCTATATTTATTTCATTATATATAAAATTATTTTAAATTATTTTTACCAAAAAAATGGCATGAAAAATTAATTTTTAGAGTAAAAAAGTTAGTATTGAAGTGAGATTTATTAAACAATGCCTATTATAATTAGTTTTATATTTTAATCCAGTACAAACATGTAAAGTAAACGGGTTAGTTAGGTATGAATGGATTACAATTCTAATTTTTTTAATATTCACCAAAACAAATTTTGCATTTCAAAATATTAGTTTTAAAATAGATGGTATATTCAATCTACTAAATATTATAATTTGTCTTTTAAGATTAAATAAATTTTGTTGCATTTTTATTTATTATATATCAAATCAATGTTTAAAGAATATTATACTATTTTTATATATTGTTTAAGAAGATAAAAATATTTTTTTATAGTTTGTGGACAGATTATAAAACTCAGTTACTAAGTGATGTAGTTGATTTTAATGATATTATAATATTTTGTGTATTAGTCTGAATATTATTTCAGTCTAATGCTAACGGGTTAAATGAACAGTTTATTTTGCTTTATCTTTTTATAAAATAATCTCATATACGGATTAACTTAATTTTTATAATTCAAACTAAAAAAAAAATATATACGAATCAACTCATTTTTAAAAATTCACAAAATATGCACTATATTATCATAAACTTTATAGAAATAACTGTTTTTATAAAATAACTATTTTTGTAAAATTATTTAACTTAATTGAAGATAAAAAAATAACTATTTTTGTAAAATTATAAACAAAGATATATTATTATTTAAGTAGACATTTTAAAAAGTAACATTTATTTTGTAAAATATTACATGATATGCCATTACAAATAACAAAGAATAATTAAATTAGGAAAGGATATAGTTGTCTTTCAAATCTATTGAAAAAAACATGGAAAATCTTTGTTTCTCATTTAATAGAGTGTATATATTATTTAATTTCTGAATTCTAAAATATGATAGTTTTTATATTTTTTGTTTTAAATAATATCATAAAGTATATTTAATTAAAAAACATGAAAATATTTTTTTCACAATTAAAGAATATAAAAGTCAAAACTCAAATTTATGATATTTAAAAATGGTGAAATATTTTTTATTGCTATATTTATTTCATTATATATATAAATTATTTTAAATTATTTTTTACCAAAAAAATGACATGAAAAAATAATTTTTAGAGTAAAAAAGTTAGTATTGAAGTGAGATTTATTAAACAATGCCTATTATAATTAGTTTTATATTTTAATCCAGTACAAACATGTAAAGTAAACGGGTTAGTTAGGTATGAATGAATTACAATTCTAATTTTTTTAATATTCACCAAAAAAAATTTTGCATTTCAAAATATTAGTTTTAAAATAAGTGGTATATTCAATCTACTAAATATTATAATTTGTCTTTTAAGATTAAATAAATTTTGTTGTATTTTTATTTATTATATATCAAATCTAAGTTAAAATAATATTATACTATTTTCATATATTGTTTAAGAAGATAAAAATATTTTTTTATAGTTTGTGGACAGATTATAAAACTCAGTTACTAAGTGATGTAGTTGATTTTAATGATATTATAATATTTTGTGTATTAGTCTGAATAATATTTCAGTCTAATGCTAACGGGTTAAATGAACAGTTTATTTTGCTTTATCTTTTTATAAAATAATCTCATATATGGATTAACTTAATTTTTATAATTCATATTAAAAAAAAAATTATATACGAATCAACTCATTTTTAAAAATTCACAAAATATGCACTATATTATCATAAACTTTATAAAAATAACTGTTTTTATAAAATAACTATTTTTGTAAAATTATTTAACTTAATTGAAGATAAAAAATGTTTCCCGCGTTACAGCGCAGGTTAATCTCTAGTTTTCATTAGAAAACAAAAGCGTAACGTGACAGTATATTACAAAAAATGATAGCTAAGCCTAGGAGTTATAATTAGAAAGTAGTAACCCTAAATTGGATAATGCAGAAGTCAATTCTATGACCACGAAGATTTGATATATATAACTTTGGAAATAATATTATTAGAAAGAATTGGAGCTTATATAGGGGGGAAATGGAACTTGGATTTAGATTTGGTCGGCAACGTGAAGTCCACGAACTCACGTAAGCACCAACTCAGCAACAGGTTGGTTCCCACAGATACCACTCGCATATTTCTAATTCATATCGTTATTATTATTGTTGAAATAAGATATAAATTAACACAAGTAGATGACGCAGTCAAGCAAATAGGAGGGGACAAGCCGAGAAAGGGGTGGGGAAAGAAATATATTTCTTTTTGTTTTTTCTTTTGTTGCAAGAAGAAGTCCAAATCTAGTGACGTACGATGGGAACTCTATGGATCCGTGATCTGCTGATCAATCAGATACCCTCTAGTGCTGATAAGTTATATCTATTATCTGGCACTCATGAAGAAATAGTAGAAAATATAGATATTAGACCAACTGCAATAGCTAGGGAATTGGAGTGTATTTTCATCCAATAACAAAAGAAACCTAAAAGGCAAAAACAAATAGAATACTGATTGGCATAAACCTTAACCCCAGATTAACAAACCTTAATGATAAATGATAATGTATTATAAACCTTAAACAAAGTAAAAGGTAAGACAAGTTAAACTTCTCTATAAATTTTGTTTTCCCCAAGAACTAAAGAATTTAAAGCGTTAAGTACTCCAATCTTCCATTTAAATATTTTTGGAGAACTTTTTTTGGACAGTTAGTACGAAACTACAAGCCAATATTTTAACAAGGCAAAAAAAACAACATAGTTTTTGTCTGGACTTATAGGCAAAATGAATTACATATGTATATTACTAACACAGTAACAGATGGCCATAACAGATGGAATCTCAAAATTATTACATATGACATATATTACTAACACAGTAACACATGTCGATAAGAGATGGAACATCTCAAAATTAGCCTTTTATTTCTTTGATTTTATAAGCATAACGGAAAATCTTGATGCTTTATTGGATATCTAATACAGTAATTCAAACACGTGTAAATGTGCTGGCAAAGACAATGGTGTGTCATGATAAATTCGAAGTCAATTGATAATATTAAATGTTCCAATAAATACGATTAGACCATTTCAAATTAGCAAGCATTTAATAATTCAACACAAAACAGTTATAAAACAAGACAAAATTAGGTCAAGTAGGCCAATATTAACAACCGGCCAAAACAACCAAACCCTATTTTATTTTCGTTCTGTTTCTTTTTCGCTTTTTGGTCGTTTTCACGTTTGGCTAACCAACCAAACAAAAGAGACTCAAACGGAAGAAACAAACCAACCAAAACCCCTCCCAAATACAAAAACCAAACCAATCAAAAACTTCTTTACTCGCGGATGGCTCAAGCCTTGGCTCCACCACTCCCGGTGGTCACCACCGTCTCACCAGAGCCGCCGCAGCCGCCACCACCACCGCAGCAAAAGCCGTACGCTCTACAATACGTGACGGATCTTCTTGGCCGGATCGGTATCAAAGACACAGACAAAGATGGCTCCATTAGCCCACAGAGTCCGAGGAGCCCTAGAAGCCCAAGAAACTCTATTCTCATGGGGAAGTACGAGCTAGGGAAGCTTCTCGGCCACGGAACCTTCGCTAAGGTCTATTTAGCACAAAACATCAAATCTGGAGAAAACGTAGCCATTAAAGTCATTGACAAGGAGAAGATCATGAAGAGCGGTTTGGTTGCTCACATTAAACGGGAAATCTCGATCCTCCGCCGCGTCCGCCACCCTTACATCGTCCATCTATTCGAAGTTATGGCCACGAAGACCAAGATTTACTTCGTGATGGAGTACGTTCGAGGCGGCGAGCTGTTCAACACGGTGGCTAAAGGTCGATTGCCGGAGGAAACTGCCCGGAGATATTTCCAGCAGCTGATCTCCTCTGTTTCGTTCTGCCACGGACGCGGCGTTTACCACCGTGACCTTAAGCCGGAGAATCTGCTCTTAGACAATAAAGGGAACCTTAAAGTCTCCGACTTTGGTCTCAGCGCGGTGGCAGAGCAGCTCCGGCAAGACGGGCTCTGCCACACGTTTTGCGGGACTCCGGCTTATATTGCGCCGGAGGTTTTGACTCGGAAAGGGTATGATGCAGCGAAAGCCGATGTTTGGTCTTGTGGAGTGATCTTGTTCGTGTTGATGGCTGGTCACATTCCGTTTTACGACAAGAACATTATGGCTATGTACAAGAAGATCTACAAAGGGGAGTTTCGATGTCCTCGTTGGTTTTCTTCGGATCTTGTTCGGTTATTGACTCGGCTTCTTGACACGAATCCGGATACTCGGATCACGATACCTGAGATCATGAAGAGTAGGTGGTTCAAGAAAGGATTCAAACATGTGAAATTCTACATCGAAGACGATAAGGTATGTAGGGAAGATGAGGAAGAGGAGGAGGAGTCTTGTTCATCTGGCAGGTCTTCGACGGTTTCGGAGAGCGATGCTGAGTTCGATGTGAAGCGGGTCGGGTCAATGCCGAGACCAATGAGCTTAAACGCGTTTGACATTATATCTTTCTCTTCAGGGTTTGATCTGTCTGGTTTGTTTGAGGAAGGAGGAGAAGGGACGAGGTTTTTGTCAGGTGCTCCTGTTTCAAAGATCATAGCGAAACTGGAGGAGATTGCGAAAGTTGTGAGCTTTACGGTGAGGAAGAAGGAATGGAGTTTGAGGTTAGAAGGTTGTAGAGAAGGAGCAAATGGACCACTGACAATTGGAGCTGAGATATTTGAGCTGACGCCATCTCTTGTGGTGGTGGAGGTGAAGAAGAAAGGAGGAAACAGAGAAGAGTATGAAGAGTTTTGCAACAAGGAACTCAGACCGGAGCTAGAGAAACTGATGCACGACCAAGAAGCAGAAGAAGGAGAAGAAGTTGTAGTAGAAGAAGCATTGTATTTGCCATCTGATACTGAATAGTAAAACAGAGGAAGGCTGTGAACAAGAATACAATAAACAAGATTATCACATTCTTTCGTTACTATTGATTTTTATTCATTATTCTTGTTATATATTTACGTTGGGAATTCTGCGTTGATGGTGCGTGACTGGGAGATTACGGAGATCTTTAAGATTCACTTCAATCTTGTAAGCTAAGATATCTCCCTAATCTCCCAATGTATGTGTATGTATATAAATATGTAAGTGATATTGTAATGTGAGTGATAGGAAGATGAGAGAAGGAAGAAAATGCAAAAGAGTGAGATATGAGTAATTTATTCGGTTTTTGCTGGTTACTATATGGCCAGTTTTTCGTCAATTTCTCATATAATATAGACATGTAATACAAGAGACGAGCTTAATGGAAATTCTTTCTCGGCCTTCCCCTATTTAACTGTTTTGTTCATCCTAAGCTTTAATATTTGCTCTACTCCATGAGATTCTTTCATCAAACTTTTTATAGAGTTTTAAAGTAACCTTTGTGACAGTTTTCATCAGATGCAAAACACCTGAATGAAAGAAAACAAAAAGAGAAGGTTAATTTGCTTTCGTTAATCAAAAGAAAACTCACAAAGATTAAAGGTTTAAGGTGCAAAGATCTCCATTGTCTTAAGGTAGAGGCTAGTGTAAGAGCTCGCAGGGACGCAGAAATCTCCAAGTTCAACGAAGGTCACCCCGGGGCCAGCACAGACTCAGCTTCTTTTCCACTTTTCTATTTTTAGTTTTGTTACTTAAGTGTTATTGAAATGTGAGTAATAGAAAGATGAGAAGAAAATAAGCAAAACACGACTGAGAAAGTGACTTTATCTGCTTAAGCAAAAGACGAGTGATTCTTATTAGGTAAACTCACAAACGATGAAGCTGCTGCACATGTAAATCAGTAAGAGATATTTGGGTAGATTTTAGGTTCACAAAACAATCAGAGACTTTCTTTACACTGGTGAATGAAATGACTATATCCGACAAGTTCTATTCAAGCTAAAACGTATGTATAAACCTGATGATCCTGGGGAGGTCACATCTCGTTAAGCTTCAAGCGCTCATTGATGAGATGTATGAGAAACCAGTTCCTGCAATAGATGAAGTAAACACCAACATAAGTTCAGCTTGTGCTTATGCTTATGCTTATTCATATGTGAAAACATGAGATGCTTACTTCAGAATACCGGATATGATCTCTGTGCATGTAGGTAGTCTTAACAATAGTTTCCCAATTGGTAACGTCCCTGGAGGTTTCGTTAAGATCTTGCTTTTGGGGATTGAACGGATATCTACGTGCAGGGATCAGAGACGTTACTGAAGGCAAATTATGCAAAAGCCAAGATTCAGATGGCTTCTTGGGAGAAGGTGGTGCAAGAGGAGACCGTTCACGACCACTCGTAATACTTAAATTTTCAAAAGCTTCAAGATCAAGATTGGCCTCTGGTTTCTTTCCTCCCATGTCTGCTTCCTTTGGAATGATCATGTCATTTGAGTTATGCTGATCATTGGTTATGGGAAAATTCTCGGTGTCCACATATACTGTCTTCTCCGAGAGAGAGCTGGTTGAACCATTGCTTTTTGGGTAGAGTAATTCCTGAGACCTGCTTCTGTTTCTAATATGCTTGTTCAACCTGTTAGCCCTCAGATTCTCAGCTTCCTTACGAGTCTCAGAGAAACACGCAGGGTGAAAGGGAGAACTGTTCCCTGTACTTCGAAATGGTGACATACACCTAGAGTGTCTGTAAGGGGATGAAGACCGAACTGCAACAGTCAGGTTTGGTTCAGAGTTGAACTTCTTCCCAACACTTGGATGTATTGGCGATTGAACTTTACCACCCAAATTGTGCTTAGAAACTGAATCAAGAGCCAGCTGAAAAGTGTACATGAGGTAATAGTCAGTGAGTGTTTAATCAGATCAATAAGAAACTAACAGGAGTTGAAGGGAAGGAGTCTGAAGCTAGAACCTTTTTTACAGATTGGAATCGAGATTTGAGTTGAGAAACCTTGCTTGACTTCACTTGATGATCATGGCTGTGTTTAGCTTTAAGACCAGGCACTGTGTTCAGCATGCCTAGAGATTCTTTAAAGCACAATTGTGGCAACATCCCACAACCTCTCTTTGGAAGATAAGCGTACTCAGAAACTCCATCATCTACATCATCCTCCTCGCTTTCTTCATCATTTATGTCTTGGTGGTCATAATAAGGTGGAACTATAGACTCATCATACCTATTAGGAGTTTGTCTCTTCTCCCCAGGCACTAACTCTCTTATCTGTATCGTTGGTTCAGACATAAAAGTCGATGGTTTCCGATTCGAAGCATAATGAGGCTGCTCTACAGTCATTGCTTTGGCAGCTGGTAAAAAACGATTCAACATGAAATCCCGAGATTGAGCATCCGCAGAACGGTTCAGTGGTTTCTTCGTCTCAACAACACCATATCCACTCACACCACTTAAGCTGTGGTTTATAGAAAACGAGTCCTTTGGAGAGAGTGTGGCACGCGCATCAGAAAACACATCATCTTCATCCTCTGATACTTCTTCAACCTGCTTACCCTTAAAACTCTGCAACCTTGTCAAGTTTCCATCAATGGCTTTCTCCACAGGACACTTGAGGATATCCATCACTTTCCCTGGTGGAAGACATGGTGTGAAGACTTGCTGCGTCGAATCACAGGCTTGAAATCTGAAATCATTTCCTTTAAGTCTCCCAGGAGCTTGCTCCCATGTGAAAGGAACAGAGGCAGGTTCAGTAACCTGATCTAAACCAATCTCTGGGACAAGAACTGGAAGAGAAGAAGAACCGTTTGTGTTAGAGTCATCAATGAACTTATTTGTCTTGTTTCTGCGGACAGAGACTGCTTTATTCCTCTGCATCCGCCTTGTTGAAAGAAGAGGTGCGTTGAAGTTCAGCTTCCTCTCCGCCATAGGAACTGAAGGAAGTTGCTAGCAATGGCTCACAGACCAATGAAACTCATTGATGAACCAACCAGATGGGATAAAAAAAAAAAAGCCTTTTTGATATTTCCAAGTTCTCTATAACAAATCAAACATGATTGTTTTCAGTAATCTGGATTCTAATTTCTATCCATACAAAAACCATATAATAATCATATAGAGTATCACTCTCTCTCACGATTTGTGGATTATCTGAAGAAACAAACAAAAAGAAAAGACCTCTGCGTAAACTTTTCTCTACTAGAAACTTCAGTTTAATATATAGTAATAAATACGCACACCGCTAAAGAATTTAGGGACCCATTATATATATTAGGAATTGGAATCTAGTCAATAAAATATGACATAATCATATCCAACTCAAATCAGACCCGTGATAATAATCATGGCAAGGCTTTTCGCAATTAAAAGTAACCACAAAACCCATAATTTTTTGAAGATTGTGATAATCCATGAAACTAAGTATAGTAGAGAAAAGAAACTTGATGATTGAATCTCAACTCCAGAAATGAAGAGTGAAAATGCAGAGTTTTAGATAATCTATGGAGAAATCAACGCTAAATCGACAATTAACTACTTAAAATTCATTCTACAATCAAAATGTTTCCGGAGAGAAAAGCGCAGATCGGAAGAAGCTAAGAGTAGAAAAAGAAACTAACTTGAAAGTGAGAAAAGAGAATCGTCGGAGTCGTCGCTTGAAAGAATCGTTGTCCACGCCGAGAGAGGGAGAGGAAGAGTCTTCTGAGACTTTAAAGAGTCCCGAGACTTGAGTAGGCGTAACAGAGAGAGAAGTAAAGCTTCTTTTTTTGTTAGTGGGAATGTGCCGTGAAGATGAAGGAGACGAAGAAGATGGGACTCGTGGAAGAGGAGAAGAAAAAGGAAAGCTTCGGTTTTGGTCACGAGAGGTGGGACAGTTGCTACTCTTCCTCTGTAAATTTAACTTTTATTTTTGCGTTTGGTCAAGATCAAGTTCTGGCTCTATGTACATTAATAGGAGTGGCCTATTTAATGAAATTTAACCGGACCAAACCAAACCAAACCAAAACCAAATTCAAGTTACAAAACTTAGGAGTATTCTCAATTCTGATTAATTAGAGACGTTTGGAAAATTACAGATTTTGTCTTCAATGCGTTACTTACAGTTATCAGTTATACATAACTGAGCACTGAGTACCGTATGATTATGAAATAATTATCAAATTATGAGTCTTTTTACTTTTTTACTTGCATTTTTGCGGAATAATCTAAGTTGTGGACCGACACAATGGGGAATGATGGAAGCAAAGATTTTATATTTTGCGACACCAACTCAAGTCTCAATCTATCATTATCAATCATGTATGTATAAATTAAACCACCAACTGAACTCATTTATTATTTGAATCACCAATATATTTGCCGTTATTATACCATGAAGTCTTCTATTTTAATATAAGTGGATACTTTTCTTCATAACTTGAGAAAGTTTATATTGCCAGAGAAGTGATGTTATAATGTACAAGTAATGCCATACTATATAGTATTTTTAAAATTAAGTTGTTGCAAAAATTGGAATGCCAAACATCTATTGTCATTCTCTTAATTTCTATTTCTTTCCATTAATTTTCTTTGACTATTTTATTCAGACATAATAATTGAAACAATGAAAGCTATTATCATCATGCAATGGAATCCCATCCCATACAACAACTAACAGATGGAAACAACTAATTTTTTTTTTTTTTTTGAAACCTATATTATAGTTTATTGGTGCTAAAAATTTTGAACCAAATAGACTAGTTAGCAAGGCGCAACCTTATTGCACATTTTTTTTCTAAATTTCTTATTCTATGGTTTCGTTTTGGTGTTTTCACTTGAAGAATTGGTGATAAAATTTAGTTATATCCACAGCGAATGATGTCACATATTAATCCAAAAATGTTGATCATGTGGCCGACAATCATCCCAAGAGATTAGATGGTAATTTGTCCCACTCGTGCAAAAGCAAAATTTGTCTAAATAACTATTTTAAAAGATTTTAGTAAATTGATTTCAAAATTCACAATTGGTGAATTTCCATTTAGAAAACTTTGCTCTGTATTAAGCTTCCGAATCTGATATATATTCGAAAATAGTATGCAAAGAAAATATTTTCTACACCTACTATGATCCTCAGATAAAAACGTTCACAGATACAGAGAACACAATCCAAGATAACATTCAAAGTGAGCCAAAAATTAACGAAATAAAACAAATAAAGTGTGTTTAACATTAAGCAGAGAGATAGAAAACGAAGAAATCAGATCGACGACAGAAAAAAAAAACACTAAAATGAGATTTCAGCTCTGTTCTTGAGCTTCTGCAGCCTCCTTCTCTTCATTGGCTGCAGCCATCAATTCATCAAACTTCTCAGACTTGGCAAGCGTTATCTCAATCTACAAGTCGTGAAGCCACAAAATTAGCAAACAACATAGCAATTATCCAGAACAAAAATCATAGAATGAAGCATGATTTATCACAACCTAAGCAATTTTTTTTGTAATGTTGAAATAATAACATCTGAAAACTATACCTTGGCTTTCTGCACAGGATGTCCCTTTGAATCGTCCTTGATATCAACAGTCGAAGTCATGATCTCTATAAGAAGAGACAATTTCCAAATAAACAATACTTAGTCACTGAATCAATGAAGATCTCTTGTAACATTTGCTCATTCAAGATTGAGAAGATCTTACTCTTTTCAACAGCAAAACCATTGTTCTTCAATATCTCGGCGACGGTTACAACAGTAGCAATGGCTGCAAAATTAACGTTTGATAAGAAACCAGGATAATCTCTTCCAATTAATAAAGCTCAGATAAGATTAGGTAAGATCAAAGATTGTAATCCCATGACAATAAAAAAGGAAACTGCTATTCAGGCAACTTTTAATTTAACGAGCTTAGATACATTGCTTAAACCATACATTAGATTTTGATATCTACACAAGATCATAAAGAGGGAAGCAAAATAACATTACCCATTCCAAGTGCAGACAACTCTACATCTGTGTACTGCTGCATGTATCTCTGTAAACGTAAAGACGTTTAATTAAAAGAAGGAGAAAAAAACATTCATGAATCCAAGAAATAAGCATTTCATTAATCCAAGATAATAACACAGAGCACCAACATTCAAACAGTTTCAGATTTTACCATTTACAGAAATAACTCATAGAAGATACTATTCACATCTAAATCACAGATTTCAATAAGAACATTTTTCAAATCCATAGATTTCAAGCTTAAACGAATTTATCAGTAATCAATTTAAATGGGTTTTGTACCTTGGCGAGATTGACGTAGAAGAACAATGGCTTCTTAGTGTTGGAAACCTGAATCCGATTCTTCTTCTGGGAATCGACGGCCAAGCTCATGTTGTTCACTCCTTCTGTGATACCTTCCATTGAAACTAACTCAAAAATCGATACTTCTCCTAACAAAAATAAAACTTCTCTCCCACTCTGTCTCAGAAACGATGAAAATTGATAGAAAGAGACGATGAAGTTTCTCCTTTGAGAACCAAACCCCCAAAAAACCCTAACTCGAAAACCGAAACGACACCGTAGGTAAATATTAGAATGGGCTTGAGTTCTGGCCCAAACGGCCCGGTAAAAATGGCGGATAATTATTGAAAATAATATTTATTTTGGACATAATCAATTTTCGCGATCAGCAGAATCGGCGTTATCCGATCAGATCATTGAATCTTTCGACAAGACTCAAATTGATTTCGAAACACTCGCCGGAGAAGCCATGCCGGTGTTCAAGGCGCCGTTTAACGGCTACTCAGTGAAATTCAGCCCCTTCTACGAGTCACGCCTCGCCGTCGCGACTGCTCAGAACTTCGGAATCCTCGGAAATGGCCGGATCCACGTGCTCGAGCTCGCTCCCGGAGCTCCCGGAGTCACCGAATCCGTCGCTTTCGATACAGCCGACGCCGTATACGACGTCTGTTGGTCGGAATCTCATGACTCCGTACTCATCGCCGCCATCGGCGACGGCTCCGTGAAGATTTACGACACAGCTCTTCCTCCTCCGTCTAATCCGATTCGATCTTTCCAAGAGCACGCGCGTGAGGTACACTCCGTAGATTACAACCCCACGCGCCGGGATTCCTTCCTCACGGCGTCGTGGGACGATACGGTGAAGCTCTGGGCCATGGATCGTCCCGCGAGCATCAGGACATTCAAGGAACACGCGTATTGCGTTTACCAGGCGGTTTGGAACCCTAAACACGGCGATGTATTCGCCTCTGCTTCCGGAGACTGTACCCTGAGGATTTGGGATGTGCGAGAGCCTGGATCCACCATGATCATCCCTGCTCACGATTTCGAGATACTGTCCTGTGACTGGAACAAGTATGACGATTGCATTTTGGCTACTTCTTCTGTGGACAAGACGATCAAGGTGTGGGACGTGAGGAGTTACAGAGCTCCGTTGGCTGTGCTCAATGGGCATGGATATGCGGTGAGGAAGGTGAAATTCTCGCCGCATCGGAGGAATTTGATGGCTTCTTGCTCCTACGACATGACTGTTTGCCTTTGGGATTACATGGTGGAGGATGCTCTTGTGGGTCGTTATGATCATCATACAGAGTTTGCTGTTGGGATTGACATGAGTGTTCTTGTGGAAGGTCTAATGGCGAGCACAGGTTGGGACGAGCTTGTCTACATTTGGCAGCAAGGGATGGATCCAAGAGCGAGTTGAAAAAGCTAAGTCTTTTGATCAAAAGAGACTCCTTTTTTATTTATTGTGGAATTGGTTCTGTTTTGTTTTGTTAGTTGGAATAAAATTGGGATCTTGCATAAGAGCGGATGTAATTGATGGAAATTTCACAGATGATTAAGCTCCTGTTTTAGTGTATACAATACATGAGCTTGTTACAAGAAGAGCTGATCGAAACACATACTAGCTTTGATATGATATGAAGGTATCGAAAACATAGTTTAACTCTTGATCAGAGAAATGAAATTGTTAGCATGTTGCAACAAAAAAAAGAAGTATATTTCAAATAAAGAAAGGTCCTTTTTTATTTGTGAATGTGTAGGCATTATATACTATCGTGGAGTTCTCTTCTAATTTGTTCAACAGGCGCATTACTAAATTATGAAGATGTTTTATAGGTAGATATTGTGACACTTCTAGCCTCTTGCCATTTGTTACTGTTTTTGCTTAAATACAGTTGGCTTATGTATCCTCGCTTTAGGTTATATTGTATCTAGCTTCTGCCATTAGGATTCTTCTCTGGTATCCTAAGCTTGTATCTACGTACCGTCTCTCAAGACAATCTTTCTTGATATGTTTGGTTTGATCAAGACTTTCAGTGTGATTCATCGTAGCTATTATCCTCTTTCAGATCCTCTTGAGCACATTCCCACGGAAACTCTTTGCAGTTTTGCTGTTGATTTTATTTAACCGGATCGGTTTAGGTCCAATTGAATCTAACCGAACCAATTTGTGGGTTCTGTTAATTTCATTTTGGTTTGGAATTCCTACCAACATTTTCTTTTGTTTAATCAAATCCAATTCGGTTTTAAATTCTTTTTTTTTTTTTGGTGGGGCTGGTGGTGGTGGTTTAAATTCAACCCCGTTAGCATCGTTATTTTAATCTACTAATTACATCATTTACTTTCATTAACTCTAAGTTAACATAAAACTATGGTGTAAAGTTGTTTATCTTTATGATGTGAATACGAGAACCAACCAACATTTTCTCTATAAGAACTATTCCTCACGAAACGCAAAATTAACAACATCATAAGGGAACCGAAACATAGATGATCATGACTAACATGATTACATCTTTAGCAAAATGGCAATTATCTTCTTTTTTTTTTCTTCTGAATTAATATCATTATCGATATTAGAGGGATCAAGAAAATTAATCTGAATTACGCTAAAATTACTTTGATATCAACTTACTTTTTCTTCTTCTTCTTTCTTTTCTTTTCATCTTCAACACAAACTATACCAAAAATTAAACTAGACAACAACAACGAATAATAATATATAATGGAGTTATTATAAGTAAGTTGTAGAAAACTAACTAAGAAACACTTTTGAGTTTGTCTTTGAACTTTGTAATGCAACACTATATTTGCCGGTGAATACAAAGAATGACTATTCCTACGAAACAAAGTTATAGACACATATATATATATATATATATCTATATACATATATAATTTGTTGTTTCAACAAGATTTGTTCCTACAGACGTTACAGACATATTTAGTAGTTTGAACTAAATGTGCTTTCATTATTAAGTTATAACCAATATATCGGCTGATCCTATGATCGTAAGCTAAGCACCCAAAATATATTTATCTATCCTAGCTAGTTTCATTTACTTACCAAAGATCTATTAATATTTGCATGTCATATACACTAGATGGAACATATTCAATTTTACTTCTAATAAAACATTCTATCAGTTCAAAGTTAAATGAAAAGAAGTTCACCAAACATCAAAATGTAAAAGAACGAGAGCAAGAGAGAGAGTAGAGTGAGAGAGAGAGGATGGGTCCATGAGTCAATCACTTTCAAAAGAAAAGCAAACCCACATGATCTTGCTTCTGGATATATTGAAAACACACTTCTCTTATTATCCTTTCTTTTTAGGTTTATTATAAAACATTTTAATATCCTTATTATGGCATATGTGTCTACATACTCTTATTTATTTCGAAGAAGTTTATGAAATGAATCCATAATCTATTAAGGTTTGTAGTTATCTCCGTAATTAAGCGGTTGAAGTTCAAAGTAAGACCTGACCTTCTCAAAACAAACTCTATTTATTTGGTTGAATTAACGTGTTGTATAAATCAACCTTATTTTGATTACTTATGATATAAGGTCAAAATATAACTAACAAGAAAAAGAATGAGGTAGTAGGATCTGAAATCCAACAAGATGCGTGCATATCTTGTTAGGATCCAAACTAATGTCATCAAACCTCGACTATTTCTTATTGGATTGACTTTTAATGACACTTAAAGACAACAAAACGAATAAAAGCACCAAAAAGACAATAGGGAAAACAGAAATTGCAAAGATAACAAGTTGGTTCTAATAGTTGTTATATGGATTTGGATCCGTACTAGTATTTTTATTAATTATTATGATTTAAATTATTGAAAATCTTTTATAATATGAATCTTGATTAGAATTAGCCAATCACACCACGTCAATTTTTTTGTATGTTTAAAAAGTTAGCACTCGATAATTTTATCTGCACAATATTTTTTTTCTGGATCTTTCATTACACTATAATATTGGTATCAAAGTATTTATATTAAGCGACAAAGCATGGAAGACACGAGGACGAGGTGATGATGTATATGAGTTTAAGAATATGATAATCTACTAAATGTTTTGAGTATGCATGCACACATGAACAACAGTTTTATGAAAACTAATGCTACAACAAATAGCCCTTTATAAATTAAGAACAGACATCACAAACTAACCGACATAAATTGACAACGAGTCCGACTAGTTGCATTCGGCAAGACTTACTTGTAATAAAATTAGAAAAATACATTATCTCGTTTTAAAATCTGTTCAATTAACAAAAGTGTTAGGATAAGTAGCTGATTGTTGGTCCGTGACTATTCGGGGTAGAAGCGAGAAAACATTACCACTATCTGACTAACTAATGTCTTGAAAGATCTTTTTAAGATAGGGTTAAGTTGGTGAAATTGTGGAAAATGATTTGTAATGTGTGTAGTGTTGATATATATAATGGAGACCCAATGATGCTACAACATGTGTCTACCCATAAGCACCCAGCCTAGATGAACCACACTGTGCATTATAAAAACTAAAACTAATTATAAGATAATTAAAAATGTAGAAGAAGAAAAAATAATTGAAAGCTTTATAGCGAGGAAGAGGGGTCCCCTCAAATGCGAATAGAACGATGGATCCAAAAGGTAAAGTACATTTACGTTACATCGTTGGGTGCAATTATTCATTCCATCTATCTCAACCCCTCTTTTGTTCCCTCTCCCCACCAATTTTTAATTTTATTTTTAAGAACAAACTCCATTCATATTTGTATACATACTTGTGTTATTGAACTCTTCTTTCTCTTTACTTCATTTGTTTGTTTATATTAAGGTTTTATTCAAATGATTCTACATCTCCGTATGGTTTATGTTCTGTCTCAAAGGAATACTTTATAAAGGAACATATACATCTACCAAGCTTTTATAAATTTTACTTTTGATATTATATTATTGACTTTAAGACATATACATCATCTCCCATCTCAATCAAAAGGACAAGCTCCACTTAGTTATCTCATGATTACTTTATACGGATCACAACTAGTAGTTCCATATATACTGTTTTGGTGCAACGTGATATATGTATAAACAAATGTACAAGACAGCTAATGAAAATTTCAACACCTTCCACAAGCTTAGGTAAATGCTAGTTCAGGGAATATTTAAAACTCGAGCAATGCCAACATATATATAAAAAAAAAGAGTGATTATAACGTATATTCCTATCAGCCGCTGAAAAAGAGCAGAAAAAGAGCAACTAACAAAAACCATAAAACTATATATTATATTATACACAGTCACATAAGATATACATTCAGTATACAATATTAAAAAAAAAATTAAAACACACCATAAGACGTCAAAAAAGGAGGACAAGAAGAAAAAGAAGAAATAGAATTTAAATCTAGCTAGTTCCCCTCAAAGCTTCTCTCTTCAAGATCACTTGCCTTACGTCTCTCTCTTTCTCTCTTTCATTTTTTCTCTCATTTTCATCTCAATATTCTCTGATGATTTTCACAAGAACTAAAGTCTTTAAATTAATTATTTTTCTTCATTAAAAAAAAAAGAAACAAAAGAGGATGAAGGAGACAATCAGGTGCTGCATCGCCTGCATTCTACCGTGTGGAGCTCTGGACGTGATCCGCATCGTACACTCAAACGGACACGTGGAGGAAATTAGTGGCACGATCACGGCCAGCGAAATAATGAGGGCCCACCCGAAGCACGTCCTCAAGAAACCTTCTTCTCCACCGTCCGATCATCATCATGAAGACCGCGATGACGTCATCTCAGCCACGAAGATCGTCATCGTCCCTCCCGAAGCTGAGCTCCAGCGTGGCAAGATTTATTTCCTCATGCCTGCTACTAAATCGGATAAACACGCCGCCGGAGGAAAGACCCGCCGGGAAAAAAGCAACGCAAACGCCGTCAAGAAGCGTGTACCGAATCGTCGGCGTCGTGATCAAGATGGTGGTGATATTAATAAGTCTAACGGGGAAAATAATGGTAAAGATAAAAATGAAGACAAGGATTTATCGCTGATGGTTTCTGATGATCGGTACTTGACGGAGATATTATCAGAGAAAGTCGCGACTCAAAAAGATCGGAGGAAGGGACGCGTCGGCGTTTGGAGACCGCACTTAGAAAGCATAAGTGAAGATTGAGGAGAACTTCTTCAATATTGCTTTTATTTTTCCAGAGAGAAAAAAAAGAGTTTATTCATATTTTACTCCTATTTTTTTCGGCTGCGGTAATTATTATGTCCATTTTAGAACAATGGTTCATGAAAGTTCTTTCATCGACGAAAGTATTCAAGAGAAAGTTTTGCTTACTTTGAATCATTTTTTTTTTAAAAGTCCTCATGTTACTCTTGTACCCACTTCCTAGTTTTTGTTTCTAAAGACATGATTAAGTAATGCAACAAGCATGTTTTTTAACTTATCTCATCTCATGGCCCAAAATATAAAACGTACAGGCAAAGTCAGTGTTCGTTCGTTATATATTAGCTATATAGGTTGCAACTTATAAACCTAGTTGCTGAAGCCATCAAACGAGAGTATGAAGATCACCAAATCATACATGTGGTGGATAACATGCTACGGAAGAGTGCTTAATCACTACTACACAAAGCTATATATAGCAAAGCGTCTACAATAGGAGAAAGAGGAAAATGCAAAAACTTAAACTGCTAACTGTGTGATTCAGACGGGGAAGAATACTATGAAAATCTTGAAATTTAGCTCAGGATTACCATAGTTATCTCCAATATTACAGGCCTTATATAACTCTATGTTGTCTCTTGATGTTGTTCGTGTACTATTTGCATAAGTAAGATTGCTTACTTCTCTTTAAATAGAACCTGAAAAGTATTCAAAACTTCATGTTGTCTGGTGGTATATAATGCATGCTTTTTTTTTTTGTGTGTTGCTGCCTCATCAAATGCTTGGAGATGCTATATACATTTAATTTGTACCATTTGAGCTCAGGTTCTTTTTTTTTTTGGTATCTGTCTCAGTTTGTGAATGCGTATATATAATACCTTCTGTATTCCCATTCTAAGACAGCTTCAAGTTTGTGTAGAGTAGGAAACCGCAAAATCTCCTTCTCATTATTTTTTCCGCCAAAAATGTAATTGAGGCTATTTTCGTCATTTCATAGAGTAGGATATTTTCCATAGAAATAAGTTTGTGGTTAACGGCTTTTCTCCAGTCCAAATTACATAAAATGCGTTTCTCTTCTTCACGCCAAAAATTTATAATCTTCCAAGACTATAAAATCAAATCTTTTACTTCTCTGATTTCGCTTCAATCAAATCGTTAAAAACCGTAAATGGCACATCTCTCCGCGAGACTGAAGCTTCTCTCTAGCAGCAATGGAAGATTCTCGTCTGGTGTAGTCGATTCGACAGACAAATTTCGCCAGGGGCTTTACATGGCCAATCGATCGCCGTTGATTCGTCTGCGCAGGAGCCGATTGAAGTTTGATGGGTTTCGCGCGAGGGTTTCTTCTTCGTCTTACTCTTTTTCTTTCAAGAGAAAGAGAATCAGGGATTTAGATGATAACACTAGTGAGAAGAATCTTCTTGGTAACGACGAAGACGGAGATGACTGGGATTTTGACGGAGACGACGATGATGGGTTAGGGAATGATGATGATCTGTCTTGCTTCAGAGGCTTGGTTCTTGACATTTCTTACAGGTCTTTCTCTTCTTCTCTCTTGATTTTTAGGTTCTTGACATTTCGTTTGTGTTACCATTAATAATAAGCTTAGTATTCAGTATTCTCGTTGAATGCATGTTTGAATTGGCTTATTAGGCTTCCTTTCTTTTATGTATTAGTGCTCAATTTCTGTCTAGAATGTGGCTTAATTCTTTGTCCTGAATCACAGTGTAAAATAATGGTTTTTTAGCTCACTCTCTGTTTGTTCAAGTTGATGCATACTTGAAATGGCTAGTTGGAATTTGGTTGTATTGAAACAGTTTCCTAATCCATCATTCTTGTCGATCACTTTAGGCCGATCAATGTGGTTTGCTGGAAACGCGCAATTTGTCTGGAGTTCATGGACAAGGTCAAGCCAAAAGCTTTTGAATACCCATTTTGATACTTATTGTGATGGAATCGTAAATTCAGGTTTTGTATTTTTTCGATACTGCCCTCTCTAGGCCGATGTTCTGGAGTATTATGATCAGACTGTTGATTCTCCTAGCGGTTCATTCTATATACCTGCAGTGTTAAGGGTATGTAGAACAATGAGTTTAGTTAACCAGTTTTTTATCTCTTTATGTTAGTTTCTTTTACCACTTACATTGTAAGCTTACTTCTTCGTCTTGCTTCAGGTTCCACATCTGCTTCAGGTTGTCAAGAGAAGAAGAGTGAAAAACTCACTGAGTCGTAAGAACATTTTACTGCGAGATGATTACACTTGTCAGTGAGTAGTTTTCTCTGTCCAGTCACAAGCAGTTTCTTTGTTTTTTTGGCTGAAACAAACTGTTCTTGCTGCTGACAGAGCTTTTTGTTATTTGGGATATAGATATTGTTCTTCCCGTGAAAACTTGACAATTGATCATGTTATGCCGATTTCTCGAGGTGGAGATTGGACCTGGCAAAATCTGGTAATGTGATTGATATTGAAGTAGCAATTGTGCTGTGGTTGTTATTGCTTAAAAAAATTCAATATCAGTTTTAAGTTTGTTCATGTGATGTGACATAGGTAGCTGCATGTTCAAGATGCAACTCAAAGAAAGGTCAGAAGACAGTGGAAGAAGCACACATGAAGTTACTTAAGGCCCCAAAGGTATTTTCTTTAAGTTCTAATATGCAACAAAAACATTGTTTTATGGTTAATGTTTTGTTGGTTATATGGCAGGAACCAAAAGCATACGACATTGTTGCGATACCATTAACAAATGCAGCTATAAGGCTTTTGAGATCGAACAAGGCAACGCCAGAAGAATGGCATCAGTATCTGGGGAAATACTCATCCGCACCATAGCAGTTTCTATCAAGGAGCGAAAAGGGTCGGTCCAAGCCATCTTGTTGATACTGAATGGTGGCTTGATTGCATATGTAGATTCATATAGTTTAACTTCAAACTGTTCACAGATTGTCATGACTCATGGACTTGTTTTGAGTGTTGCACTCAGACATGTATATAATACGTAAATAATGGCACCAGTCTCAGAATTTAAAGTCCTAATTCATTCACAAATTGACACAACTTTGATTTGTAACAATGACATTCACTCACTCTTCTATCAAAATCACCGTGATCAGATTGTATGAATGAAAGATAATCATCACTTTGCATGAAAGTAATGGGTTTTACTGGTTTAAGGTATTGATAAAGTGGTGTTTTAGTGACAAAATTTGGAACTCATTTTTTGAGTTAGTGCAGGAATCTATTTAAAACTTTTATTTTTCCAAGTTTTCTCAGTGAAGGTTTTGAGTAAGGGTTTAGAAAAAAAGACTATACTGGTTCTGTCTTGCTGTTTTTGGTCTTTAATCAATTTTTAAGTTTATGTTTCTGAACAACTCCTCATGTGGTGACTCTGTATGCCGGCTCTGGTTACGAGCTTCCGTGTAGCCAGTTGCTAGACAATATATTGCTATATTATCAAAACTGTAGCTTGGTTTGGTTTGGTGGTCTCTAGACCAAAAGGGTCATCTTATATTTGGTGGAAAACCATAAGCTGCACAAAGTAAGAAACTTTCTTCAAGCATTGCTCGATTACTTGATTCAGGTTTTTGCAGCAGAGTTACTGAACCAAAACACAACAATGGTATGGCACTATACGCAAGATGGAGGAAGCCAGTAAGGGTCTTTGAAAGAAGTGGGTGCACCTTCAGGAGCTTGAAAATGATGGAACGTTGTGTCAGCGAGATTGTAAATACCAAAGCCATGGCCTATAAAATAGATGGAGTTAGGGTTGAGACCGGGGCACGAGCTGGCCTCCACGCAGAAAGCCTCGCTCATTGAAAGGAATATGCACACATCTCCAATGTCCTCTGTGTAATACATGTATCTTCCTTCCATCGTCGTCTTCTCTCTAAACACCATGAACCGCCTCGTCGTGTAGTTAGTTCCTTCATGACTCATCGAGAAGAAACGTTGCGCGTACCTGAAAGCACACAAGCAACAACATAAGCCATTCTATGAAAAACATTCATGCTAACTAAAGAGAGAGAGAGTGTGTGTGTGTGTGTGTACCATTTGACAAGGAAACGTTCGCCATTGGAGACTGAGTCCACAAGGTGTTCCGTCCTGCAACACCAACCCAACAGCTTCCACTCAGAATCATCCAACTCAGGAAGGTCACGGAAGAGCAACTCATGGATCTTAGGGCTTTTGTTCTTCTTCAAATGGGGATCCCATGAGTACAAGGAGTTGCCTCCAGGACCAGGCAAGTAGAATCTACGGTCTCTCTTGGAATACATCAGGTTTGAGTTCTCCAACTTCTGCAAGTTATTCTCGAAAAGCATTTCCCCGAGGTTAGTCCAACGCACGTCACAATGTGGTCTACATAGACTGAGTTGTCTATCCAACAACTTGATAGCAACCACGAAGTCTTCATCACGAGGAGAAGATGATGACATTGCCACGTTCCAGACTACGTTTATTTGGTTAGAGTGTACAGAAGCAAGTGAAGGCAGAGGAATCATTGTTGGGTTTGACTTGGAAGCCAAGGAATGATTGTAAAGGTCGCTTATACATAGTGAACGTTCATGATCGTTGGAGAAAACTCCCCATCCACGTCCACTTCCTATCTGTCTCGAATCAACGAGCTCTTCGGGGAATGTTTTGTTCGGAATTGTAAGCATCTCTTCCTTTGCTGGATCAAACAAGAGGATATCTCTTATGTCGCTACCGTCCGGGAGATCATTCTTGACCGTAGTGCCAAGCGTTAAATACGGAGTGGTTAAGGAAGATGAAAACAAACGGAAGCTCCACTTGTGTATCTGCAAAAGAATATAAACAACACCACAGAGATTAAACAAAACCAATTATCTCTAAGAATGTCTTTTGCCTTATTATTTGAAAAAAAAGTTGCATCCTTTAATTAAGTTCAACTAAAACAGAGCAAGCACAAGAGAGGGAAGGGAAGGGAAAGGAAGGGAAGAGAGGCTTTACGAGGGCATGGTTATAAGGAGAGAGTTTGCAGAGTCCGATGAAATTCCGAGACATTGTTGCAGAGAAACTGTAAATTGAAGCTGATGGCATTAGCAATACATGGCCTCGATATATCCTATAGGGAATACGGGTCGAGGCTTCTCGTGATTGGAATCAGCAATTTGGGTGAATTGAAAGGGAATTAAGAGATTGGCTTGACTTGAGGAAGGAGGTCTAGTGCAAGTGTTTGACGATATGCCCTCACCGAAATAAAAGGATAGGTCAAAGTCAAACACTTAAAAGACTAAACAATTCTTTTCAAAGCCTAAGGGTTAATTCATAGTAATATAGAAATATTAGGACTAAAAACGATAGTTTATTTCTAAGATTATACAAAAGTCATAAATATATATACTCAGTCCTTCTGTTTCTCTCTTTTGCAAATATATATATATATATATATATATATATATATATATTGATGTGTTTCCTATGAATGCCCTATGCAACATTATGGTTCATGCCAGTGGTGGAACTAGAAAAAAAAATTACGGGGTCAGTTATAATGTACTATGAATAAATTTTACAGGGGTTATTTAAATAAATTATCATATTTTATATCTTTTTTTTTGATAAAAATACAAGTATATATAAAAAAAATTTAGATTTCACCTGGGTCATTTGACCCACCTCCCAATATGCTCCCTCCGCCACTGGTTCATGCCATTGACTCCCACATAAATAAGTTATCAGTGCAACTATGTTGATGTATCATATATGGGGTCACCTATTCAGAGAACATTTTCTAGTTTTGACATTGATATTAAGTCATAACCACACCAATAGTCTATAGGGAGGATATTTGTATATTGTGTAATTAGTCATTTACTCACAAGAAGAAAAAAGCTCTTCTTTTCCATTAATTTTTTTTTTTGAACGGCTTCTTTTCCTTCTATGTTTCGATAAAGAAGAACAACGACAACCAACTAATTACTTAACTGACAGATTAACCAATCTCAGTCCTCTCCTCTAGTTAACCAATTTAACCGTCTTTGATAACTATCTAAAATAAGAAATTTGACTATCTCAATATACTAATATGATACTATTGTGAAGAAATATCACTTGATAATCAATTAAAACATTTTTTAGAAACTTATCTTTGCCGACCAAAAAAATTAATAGCTAAAGTGATTGATAGGGAAAAGAAAGATGGATACAATACAATAAGAAATGGACACAAATTGTGGTGGTAAAGTATTAGGTAGAACTAATAACTAAAACGGCCATGACTACAAGTCATCCACGGATCTCATCACTTTCCTTCATCTTCCACGGCTTCAAACTATAACTCTAAGAGAATAAAGTTAATGTAGCCATAGAGAGAGAGAGTGATATAATTCTTGTATGGGAACTAGGAAGATTTGGAGAAACCCATTTTGCATCGATTATGCTAATTTACTCGCATAGTTGATAGTTCCAAGTATTGATTATGTGTACAAACACATACAAGTTACAACAATCTTTAAATGAGGAAATTCATCGTCATTATTGAAGAATTATCAACATTTTTTTTTGTAAGAATGTTAAATTTTATTCAAACAAAAAAAAAAACTGTTTTACATCAGTGATGTGCGCAAGTTTTGACATTATTATCGACATTATTTTGATAGAACCAAATTTTATTCAAACCAAAAGAATTATCGACATTATCATATAAGTATTTGAAATGTACTATATATTTGTGTATGTGCTTCTCATTCATTGGAATTTTCTTCTAAACATGTAACCAACTCAACAATTCTATTTATTGACAAGAATACAAATTCCCATCTTAATAAGTACAAATCTTGACACAAAAACATTTATATGACAGTGACATCCTCTCACTCTACTTAAGTTCTATCAAAATAATCGTAACCAATTTCTTTTCTATACATAAAGTTTTGACAAGGTAAAATAAATGACTCTGACACAAAAGACAGAAGTGATTGGCTTAAACGACAGTTATGACGAGATTCATAATATTTCTTCAAAATCGAAAATGATTTTTGTAATCAAAACTATCATAGGTTAGATTTTAAATTACGAACAAGATATTCGTAACCCAAAATGGCAGTACATGTTTAATAAATCGTGCGAACCAATAACCTTACTTTCTTTGAACTTTTTTATGAAAAAAAAATACCTACTTTGATGAAAGTCTTATCTCGTAATAACACACAAAAGCTGAGGGTAGTTCGGTCTTTTCAAATCTGTAAACACATGAAATGGAAAGGAATGGCTTGCGGTATTGGCAATGTCTCTCTCACAGTCTCTCTCTCTCACAGTCTCTCTCTCTCTCACATTCTGCCTCCAAAAATTTCCCTCTCTGTTCTGGGCAGTTAAGCTGCCGCAATCCCACCCACTAGAAACCCATAAACAATCATTAATCTTTTCCACTTTTCCTCGAAACCCATTCCTCGATTCGTCGAGACCCATTTGGCTCTTTCTCCAAATTTTTTTTTCCAGCTCTGTTGATGCTTTCAAAGAACAGTTTTTTTTCTGAGTGTGTGCATTTACCAAGACTGGGTTTTTATGCTTTTGATTCAACATACAAAAATGCCGCTTTCTAGGCTTGAGTTAAGGAATGTATACGGTATGGGCCAAACCGAGCTGTGTAGAAATGTCGATCGTGAAGACCCCAAGGCGATTCTCAACGGCGTTGCTGTCTCTGAACTTGTAGGGATCTTGCGTCAGCTTGGTGATCTCGCTGAGTAAGTATTGAATTCGAGCCCTCAATCTCTGTTTTTTGCCTTTGACAAAAATTTGGGTGTCTACTGTTGAATGATTCTTTGAGCTAATGGTGAAGTTAAAGAGATGAGAATCATCGCTTTGCATGAAAGTAATTGGTTTTATACGGGTTAAGGCTTCCATTGGTATTCTAGCGATAAATTAGGAACTCATTGTTTGAGATCATTACAAGATTGCATGACCCTTTTGAGATTTTTTATTCCAAGTTTTCTAAAGTGAAGGTTTTGAGCTAGGGTTCAACAAAAAGGAAGAAGCTTCTTCTTTTTCTTCCTTTGCCTTCTCTATTGATTAAAATTTCTGCGAATGCTTTGCTGCTTCTGTTTACCATTCCCCTAAGATATATCTGTAAAATCTTCACTTTTGTGGTGTTTGGTCTTTTTGTCGTTAACTTAATTTATGCTTCTAGGAAAAATCCTCATGTGGTGGTGTCTCTGATATCGACCCTCCAAAGTAAGATACCAATAATTAGACAAACACTTGCTGGATTATCAAAATTGTAACTTGTTTTGGTTTGGAGTGGTCTCTGGTTCAAAAGGGTCGTCTTAGAATTAATGTAAAAAGTAATAAGCTGCAGAAAGGAAGGACCTTTTTAAAAGATTGCTCTTTCTGTTGATTCAGGTTTGCAACAGAGATTTTTCATGGCATACAGGAGGAAGTTATGGCTACAGCTTCAAGAAGCAATCAGTTGAAGATCAGATTGCAGTATATAGAAGCTACAGTGCCTCCACTAGAAAAGGCGATGCTTGCACAAACAACTCACCTACATTTTGCATACACAGGAGGTTTTGTCTTGTTCTCTCTTGTCAATTGTCTTATTGTCTTGACCCAAGGTGTCTGATACTTGTTAGATTTGACATTAATTTAGTTAATAAATTATGTCATCTGAGTTCATTGTAGGCCCAGTTCACATGCCTTTTCTTTTACCCCTATACTAATTTACCCTGGAGATGGCTAGCTTAGAATCTTGAATGATTTAAATTATTTACAATTTCTGCGAAACTTTAGTATAGATAGACATAAAATAGAAATGTCAGTAATGGTTGGTGAGTCCCGCTGTATTGATACGAAATGTCTTCTAGTAGGATCAGTATTTGGGTTTCTATTTTTTGAATTGATTGAGTTTTATGCCGTTCTCAGGTTTGGAGTGGCATCCTCGTATCCCAATTGAGCAGAATCACCTAATTTACGACGACTTGCCGCATTTTATCATGGATCCCTATGAGGAGTGCAGGGATCCACCACGGTTGCATTTTCTTGATAAGTATGACTCGCAGTTTTAGTCTCTTTAATATTGTATTATTTCAACTTGCAGGGTAAAATATATTTATCTGATATGCATGTACCATCATGTTACACTCAACTTTTTGTTTTATTTCCTCAGATTTGATATAAATGGTCCTGGTTCTTGCTTGAAGCGATACTCCGATCCAACTTATTTCAGAAGAGCGTCAAGCAACTTGGTTCAAGGAAACAAAAAGTTCCAAAATAATAACAAGAATTGTAAAATTAAGGTGTGGTTTCTCAGAATAAATTGGTATTAACCTTTTGCTGTTGAAATTTTTTGCACATGATAGTTATAGGTCTGTTTCTTTGACATGGACAGAAGAAGAAATCATCGTCAAGGAGTCGAGATATGTCACGTCTGGCCTCCATTGCTAACCAGAGTGCCAGGTAGAATGTAGATTTTATTGGCATAGTTAGTATACGTGTCCCAACGAATAGTTTAACTCGGTTTCTTTTCAACGTATTCATTGTATAACTAAAACATGGAATTTTTATTTCAGGAAGACATTTACTTCATTTAGTTTCAGTGGACAAACCTCTTCGTCTAAAACTGCCTCAACCAGTGACATGGAACAAAGATCTGATCAGCAAGATCGTAATTCTCACTCTTTTGATTCCAGAAGTGGCTCAGGCTACATCGAATGCCTTTCAACCGCAACCTCTTCATTGAAGACTGGAGAAAAACCAAAAGTTATATTCGTTTCATCCACCTTGACACCGGGCTCTTGCACCATCGCTTCTGAATGTGAAACCGAAGATGGACATGATCGTTTTCAGTTTAGTCCTTCTCAAGGGCAAGCTGCTCGTGGCTCTTCTTGCGTTAGTTGGGATGAGAAAGCAGAGATAGTGGAATCTATTGGTTTGCATACAGATGAGGCTTCAGATATGAAGGAGACGAACTCTGTTGTGGATGCACTAGACGAGAAAGCAAGCAATGAAGAAGGGACTGGTAGAGTTGATTTCCATTCTAAGGACATTCAAAATGCTAAATCAGAATCAGGACTACAACAACAAACTGGGATTGAGATTGTGGGAGAACCGAGGGATAGTGAACCTGAGACTGAAAGTGAAGGGGATTGTTTTGTTGATGCGCTTAATACTATCGAATCGGAATCTGAAACTGATCAACGGCTCCAAACTAGTCAAGAAGTAGTGAGCAGTTCATGTGGTCTTACAGACGAGAGATTGGAAACATCAGCGTGTGAGCAAGAAACAGAGAGGAATGCCAACAGTGTCGAAGAATCTTGTAGATCAGTGGAAGGGCTTATGGACTACGGTTTTGGAAATGACGAGAAATCTTGCGGTTTAGTGGAAAGGTTTTCATCTATAAATGCATCTGATGAAATGAATCATCAAGATACACGGGTGAGTTCAGATATCAGCCGTTCACCACGAAATGATCGTTGTACAAGTAACATTTCCGGTGGAGAAGATAACATCATCGCATTTACATTTGTTCCGGCACCTGAGAAGAGCTTATCTAATTCTTCAAACTCCTTGTATCATAGTGACCTACAAGAACATCAAACATCAGAAGCTGAAACTTCTCGTGATTTTGAAGGTATTAAAATATGGACTAATGGGGGACTGTTGGGACTGAAACCATCGAAACCTCCAGTCTTGGCAGCGCCATGTTCTTTAAGTCCGGATTGCAAGACCAAGAAAATGACAGTTGGTTCTGCAGGTGCTGAAAAAGACAAACCAGATGATCTTGTTGAAAATGCTTCACATAGACATGTTCTGAATAATTCTAGCTTAGCAACTCCAGGAACCCAAAATCCAGTTAGTTCAGATAGAAAAGCCATGATTGTTGTAGACCAGAGAGAGTGCCTTGAGACTTCTTCAGGAGTTTTTGGACTCGGTCACAAGTTACTCACTAATGGTTTCCGCAGAAAAGATTCATTTGCCCATGATAGAAAGACTGTACCAGAAACTATTCCAGAGAACGATGAAGTGACGACAGAGAAGAGCAGGTTTTGTGACCAACACATTGATGAGCAAACCTTGATGGATCCCTTTAGAGACGAAGCTCCTATTGATTGGATTACTTCGTCACCACCTCTTCAACACATGAAAATATCTCTCAATCCCGTTGACACCCTTCAGGCTTCCAGGCTGAAGCTGAAATTTTCAGATGGGGAAAACAACAATCATACATTTTCTTCCTTTCATTTGCTTCCAGAGGCTGCTACTTCCCTTCTTGATTCTTATTCAGACGACGACACTTTTTGTAGATCTTCTCCTTACATGTCAGATACCGATTATATTAGCGATAATCACTCCTTGTCAAATTCTGAGCAATGGGAAGGATCCAGTGACAGCCATGAAAGAAAAGAGCAAGAGCTATATGATTCCTTCCATGAAAGTAGGCATGTCGATAACAATGCTGAAGCTTCTTCTCTGGATATTGAATCAGAAAGTGGTGGTGTGGCTGTAGATTTTTCATACCTTCAGAATCCTGCTGAGCCTTTACCACCGCCATTTCCACCTGTGCAATGGATGGTTTCTAAGAAAGACTCAGAGAGATTTGACGACAAAACAAAGCAGTCCCTACAACTACAAGATGCTCTCAGGTTCGCCTTTGAGAAGCATATGTCATTGCCTACTGTCAACAAAGAACTGCCTGACATAGTGACTTCTGCTCATAAACGAGAAATTAAGGTACGGAGAAGTTTTTTACTTTTTTCTTCCTATTTGAGTACTGTGTGGGTCAGTTCCAATCGAATGTTAACAAGCATATGTTCTCATAGGTCCATCTGAAGAATAATGTCAGGGAGGACAAACAAAGTGCCAACGAAAAAGAGTCTGAAGCTGGAGACTTCTTGCAACAAATCAGAACACAAGTGAGTGCAGTGGATTCATTCTGTGAAAAAAAAAAAGTTGGATTTGGATTCTTGATGTGTTATATCATCTTTTGGTACTTTCTTGATTTCTTGTGAACAGCAATGCAAACTGAGACCTGTGGTTATGACAACGACGCTATCTGCTGCCGCAACAACTGACCCTACAATAAACACTAAGATCAGCGCCATCTTGGAGAAAGCAAACTCAATACGCCAGGTTCATCTTTTATACATCTATATATCCAAAGCAAACCTAATCTTTGGTTCAGTATCTAAGTATTTTTTTTTTGGTCCTAATTCCAACACATGATTATCTATCACGCACTCACTTTCTCTCGCTTCTCCTTTTCAGGCTGTAGCTAACGATGGAGATGAAAGCGATACATGGAGCGATACGTAAAAACCCTTTTGATCAAAGATTCTAAATTCATCTTTGTTATTTACTTCCTGCAAGCATTTTTATTGTATCATATCATATCATGTCTAATGTGTGGATTGTGTAGATGATGTGTAAATTTTGTATCTGTATCTTCAGGAAAAATAATGTAGTTCAAGAAATAAAGATTAAAGAAAAAAGTATAAGCTAATAACATTGTGGAACTTTTGATTTCAACCAAGAATGACACAGAGTACAAAGCAGTTAACACATCAATAACAAATCATCGATCTAGGCTTGGAAATGGTATATACCTCTTCAGCAAGTTTAGGCATTATGAGGAGCCTTCGAATTGTTGAAATCACAAAGATTACAACTAATTACGGGTTGTATGTTAACTGCGAGCTGTTAGCTACGAACTATGTGAACATTAATGGCTAAAGTTAATAAGAGATTTACATTTTTTATCAATGATGAGTAAAGCAGAGTCACCAGTTTTCAATGGATAAGTTCCATATTACAAGAATCCTTTTCGATATATTTCCAATTAGGAATAACAAGCATATGTTCTCACTTCTCATACGTCCATTCAAAGAATATTATCAGGGAGGATAAACAAAATGCCAATAGAAAGGAGACCAAAACTGGACACTTGCATCAAAACCGAACATAAGTCAGTGTAATCGATTCTCTTCATGAAAAAATTATGTCGATTCTTGATGTGTGTTATATCATCTTTAATTACATTCTTGAATTCTTCCATATGAATAAACATCAACTAAACCTGAGACACGTGGTTGCCACAACGACGACCCTACCATAAACACTAAGATCATTTCGATTTGGGAACTTTGCAAACTATATACGTTAGGTCTTTTAATGTCCTCATTCTATCCAATGTAAATCTGATATTTGCTTCATATTCCAATTCTTCTCTTTAAACTACTTTATACACGACAACCGTAGCTTACGGAGAGACAACCTATATTAGGATATAGGGTTTATTCTTGTTGTGCAAGCAATTTATATTGTATCGAATCTTATACATGTGTATATTGTGTAGTAGACAAGTACATTTTGTCGTACGTGATATATATCTTTAAGAAATGAAAATATAAATATATATATACATATATAAGCTGTTATGCTCAATTAATTCTTTATGAAGGTTGACGTTAATGTAAAAGTAGTGGAAAATAAATATACTTTTGAAATGCATTTTAAATATGTTTTATTTATTCGATCTAAATACTAGACGGAAGGAGCTCAGTTTTGAATCAGCTGTGCTATCGTTTATGGAAAAAAATCGCAATCAAAAAGTTCAAAGGAGAAAATACTAAATATATTTTTTAAAGAAATTAATAAGTGGTTTTGTTTGTTCTACAATAACTTTTAAAGAAAAATCAAAAAGTGAGTTGGCGAGTAGAAGAGACTTCGAAGAAGATAATGTCTTCAGAACCATTAGGCCGTGAAGTTCGCTTATATGCTGTGGTCTTTAATTGTTTTCTTAAATCTTCCACTTGAATCGAAAAATAAAAATAATTGAGGTTATGTTCTTGTGTGTATACTTTATTATTATCTTATAGTACGTTGCTAAACAATTTATCTACAATGTCTGTCTCGCATTTAATTAACATCGAATATTAAATCTTAGAAATTTGCTTGTGGGCATGTGACAATAAATTGAACTATATAATATATAGTTTTTTCCGGAAACAATATTCATCTGGTTTTATTCTTGAACTATACAAGTATGGGTGACAGAATTATAATCTCAACTGAGTGATAGAGAAGTATACAACATAATTGTGTCTACACATCTTTTTGTCGTTATTGAAAGTGCCCGTTGAATATTGATCAAGAAATGAGTATCTTGGATGTACTCTTATGAGTCCATGACTAAAGCAGCAACCAAGGTTTTAAAAGAAAAAAAAATTCATATCAAATAAACAATTAAACTAAGTAGCCTATATATATTGTGTAAAATTAGGATATTATACCAATAATAAGTCAAAAATATTTAAGTTTCGAAAACGACAATTCTATTCTTTTATAATTAAAAGTCATCTAAAATTTGGTTTTTAGTCTTACCATTATAATTTGGAAGTCTATCACTAGAAAATTGAATTGTAGTGCGGATAATTTGATTTCTTTAACATAATAATATTTGAACGCCGAATTTAATTTGAAATGCATCACGGAAATTCAATAAGTTAAATTTATTCAATTTATATTTGTTATGCAATTCGCATCTAAATACAAAGAATTAACTATTCCTAGAAAAGTAAGTTATAGACATAATTAATCGTTTCAACTACATGTGTTTAAAGTATTATGTAATAACCAATCGGCTGATCCTCTGATCGTAGCCTAACCACGCGAAATATATTTATCTATCTTAGCTAGTTTCATTTACGTACCAAAGATGTATTTATAATGTCATATAGACTAGATGGAATATATTAAATCAAAATTACTTCTAATTGCGGAGAAACTGGTTCTTGATTGGGGCAAGAAGCGATCTATCAACAACGTAATTCATTCGGAACGGTTTAGTATCTAACACGGTAGTTCAAACGTAATGATACGGTGGATTCGGCTCTAGGTCAACAAGCGTAAAACTTGCTATAGTATTGGTCGACTCTATCATGTGTAAATACTGCATGTGGACCACTTGATCCTTTGATTTTGGGTTCACATTATTTATTTTTCATGAGACATGCAGCGAGAAATTTTCTGTCCAAAAGCTTATTCATCTCCAGGTATATATAGTCGGACACTTCAACGAAATCCAAATATCTAATAAGGACTTAAATTTTTTGGGCTAGTCTTAATCAGGTTGGTTTTTATTTTCTCCTAGGATATTAAGCCTCATGGTTGATTGTCATTCTGCAAAGCAAACTCTCAAATTCGTATTATACAGTGTCAGCATACTGTAATTAACATTCTCCGAAACGGAAAACACATCCTTGAAATGTATTTATTTGTTCATAAAAAAAAAATAATGCTCCTCAATTTCGTCCTATTTATCTTTAACTTTTACATTCTTAATCGAAAAAAAAGATTTCGAATGCATGTACCCTCAACGAAAAGTGCACCTTTTTCCCAATGAAATTAAACACGTATAAAGTTTATTTTGCTAATTCATTCCACTTTATCTAGCAATTATTAAACATTCCTAATTGTATTGGATGTCTCTTTTAAACTGTGGAATATGGAACCACTAGTATTAAAAGTTGGAACCCTCGGAAAGAAACTTCTTATTAATTAATAACAAACATGTTCTCCACATAAACCCAAAGTATATAGTTTTTTCAAAATAATAAACATAAGATTACATAACTAACTTGCATTATACATGCACGGCCATGCGGGGAAATTAAATCAACTTTGATCCTCTAATTATTTTTAAATACGGGTAGCACAAATATATGAGAGCAAAATCCGACAAGCTGGGATAGAAATGGATAATTTATTATTTTATTCTTTCATCAATAAAGTATGAGTCATAACTCTATAATAGTAGACATTAAAGAAAAATTAATAATCCTTTCTTTGTTCGTCTAATTAAATTTTAAATTGCTTTATTAAAGATAGAATTGATTAAAGAACAAAACCCATACAAAAGATTTTGCTTTTCTTTTTAAAGAGAGCCTTTTCATAAAGTGAATTTTCTGAACCCAAAAGAAGCACATATTGAAAAGCTTAAGATTTGAAAGGAGAAAAGAAAAAATCGGGCAACAAACAAAAGTTAGTCACCAAATCCATTGAAACCCTAAAGAAAGAAGGAAACAATGGCTAAGAAAAGATAATCCACCTTTACAAGTTACAACTAATTATATGTGTCTATATACACACACATATATATATATATATAATTTACATCTATTCGGAGCATGACTAAACTTCCTTTACTTTTAAAATGCTTATGTTGTCTAAGAAATGTAGCACGCAATGTAATATGTATTAGTACTCCATAATCGAACATGTGATCTCAATTTTTAAAACGAAGAAATATCAAAAATAACGAATAAGTAAAGATAATCCTATTAGTATCATTTTTCTTATAATTTACCTTTTTAAATATTGAATTATTTTCATTAGTTTGGAAATGATGATTAATTTATGCTTAAATTCTTGTATTATTTAACATTAAAATGTTTATGATTTTTGGAAGTGAAATTTAAATTTATTGTTTTTTAGTTATGCTATAATAGTTTTAAAATAGCTCAATTCAAATTAAAATGGTCCTAATATGCAACTAATATAATTTGCAAAAACAGATCAATGATGAAATTAATTATTCTTCTCAATATTTATATATTTACGCACATTTATATTCCCTTTTTGAATAGTCTTAAACATTGCTTTTATTTATATATAATAACTAAAAAGTCGACCTCTTTTAAAAGTACTTAAAAGTTGTTCTTTTGCGACTATGTAGTATAAAGGTTCCAATGAGAAAACATATAAGTATAAAAGCACGAATTTGAGAAGAAAAGAGAAACATGAACATCGATTAGTGCTTTCTTTTCTCTTTTTCTTTTCTTTTTCTTTTTTCACTTTCTCTCATCTTTTACACTCTCTTTAGCGTTTAATAACGTACGTGAATAATGTTAATTTAAATGAAATATTTTCAAAACATGCTTTGCTCAACATTTTTTCCCCCGAGGCAATATCTATTAATTCGATCCAGGAAAATAGCACAAACTTTATAGTCCAATTTTACTGATAACTGATAAGAAGAGATAGGTTGTCCGTTTTTGTTTGATAAAATTAATCGAAGAGAACAAACAGCAACATCCAAATTATTTCTTTCATTTGGTTCAAAGTCCTTCAAATTAGATGTCATCCTTATATCGACATACATGAACCCTTGTAAAATCTTGCTACACCTTTCAATAATAAATTCAAAAAAAAAAAATAGTCGTTCTGCATGCAGTTTCAATATTAAAAAGAAATACAGATCATTTACGTCAATTTATACGGCAACACCATTCCATCGGTTGAAGTAATGTTACACATCATTAAAACGTTATCGATTTGTTACCTTTTCATAACTTATTATATAACTCGAACTGTTCTGATATACGAAGTATATAAACGAAAAGAAAGGAAGTTATTCTTCTCAGATGAAATTCGAAATTCGCTAACAATATATAACACATTGGAATAAAATAAAAACGAATGAAGAAAATGGAAGGATGACCGGGAACACACCTGGAAAGAGGGGCCTGCAAGATGATGTGTGTCTTTGAATTGAAAAGCTGATCCCTATTAATAAGGCTATTCATACGCAATACAGTATTTCTCTTTGGCGGCTTTGTCCAAATCCAAATCCTTCTCACTTAAATAAGAATCAGTGAAATATAATGATGTAACGTTCTCATGTATTACTAAAATCATAAAATCCGAATGAACCTAATATTTCTAATTCTCTTGTCACCATTTACTCTGTAAAATATTCAAGTATAAATTCTCTAGATCTTTAAACATCGCAAGTAAAACTGTAATAAACAATACGTATATAAACAAGAAAAAATGCATATTTTTTTATAAAGTTAATAGGCTGTGTTTTTTAATAACCGGGAAACTCCAAAGTCGAAACCCAAAGTCGAAACCCAAAGTAATTCCTAATACTTCTGAAAATTCAGATTTTCTTGTCATTTAAAACATCTATATGTGGTTAACCGTGAATTTAATTTAAAATGGAATGATTCGAACCTTTATATTCAACTAATAGAATGAATCATCAACCACTAAATCACCATGGATTGATTTAACAGATCCGGTTTTCAATTGATAGGAGCATAAACAATTTTTTCAGTCACTTAAATATTCATCTTTTGTTACTCTGATTTCGTTATACTAATTTAGATTTTTAAGATTGAGAAAAAAAAGGGGTATTTGCGTGAACCACAAACTTTGCATTTTAATCTTAGATTGAAGTTTTTAAAAAGTCATATTGATAAATTGGGTTCAAAAAATTGTGGTAGAACCCCAAATTAATCACTGTTGGCACAACCAAACGTCACATTTAAATTTTTATTTAAACATAAAACAGTGTATGTGAGTTAGTTTAACCCATCAAAACCATTTTTATCCAGGAAATACACCCATTAGGATGTCTTGTAAGTTATTATAGTACTAATCTTATAGACACTACTTAGCTATTATTCTGTTTATTCTAACAAATTGCACTTGTTATGCTTCTATATTCCAACTATTTACAAGCTTAACTTATATAATTGATGCTAAAGAAAAAGAAAAAAAATTATTCATTCTCTTTCATATTGAATATGTTTTGAATTTATTTTGCAAGTTTAGCTAGCAATTAAAAGTAAAACAACACATGCACATCTCATTTATTAGTAGTGACTAAAAAGTACTAAAAAATAGTACTAAAAGATCTTTATAAAAGTCATGAACATAATAAGAAGAATTGTTAAGCACCATTATTCCAAAAAAAACAAACTTTTTATTAAATATACGGACGGAGTAGATTGTACTGAATACACAGTTTTGGAGAAAAATAAAAAGAATACACACATTTTGTCAGCTGATATGGATCGATATAACTTTGAATGCAGTAAGCAATAAATGCGCCTAACATATTCTTTCATATATATATTCTTCTTACTAACACTATTGCTTTTCTCTCCTTTCCTACGAAAAAGATATAATAATATTGTTTTCCAAAATCTTTTTATAAAAAAAATAAATAAAGAAGATTGAAAATCTTCGTCCTATAAACGTCTCTTCTCTCTTTCATCACTGCAAGAAACTTAATCACATCTCTCTCCTTTTCTCTCTCTCTCTCTCTCTCTCTCTCTCTCTCTCTCTCTCTCTCTCTCTCTCTCTCTCTCTCTCTCTCTCTCTCTCTCTCTCTCTCTTCTCATTTTAATGGCGACCCAAGATTCCCAAGGAATCAAACTCTTCGGCAAAACCATAACATTCAACGCCAGTAACATCACACAAACGATTAAAAAAGAAGAGCAGCAACAGCAAGAGCTACAAACAACAACAGTCGTTAGATCATCACCATCGGATCTAACGGCGGAGAAGCGTCCAGACAAGATCATAGCATGTCCGAGATGCAAGAGCATGGAGACTAAGTTCTGTTACTTCAATAACTACAACGTTAATCAACCAAGACACTTCTGCAAAGGTTGTCAGCGTTATTGGACCGCAGGTGGAGCTCTCCGGAATGTTCCCGTCGGCGCCGGTCGTCGGAAATCCAAACCTCCGGGCCGTGTCGGTGGATTCGCCGAGTTGCTTGGTGCTGCGGCTGGAGCCGTTGTTGATCAGGTCGAGCTTGACGCTTTGTTGGTGGAAGAGTGGCGAGCTGCGGCGTCTCACGGTGGTTTCAGACATGATTATCCGGTGAAGAGACTCCGTTGCTACACCGATGGTCAATCTTGTTAATTATTTATAAATTTTAATTTTCTTTTTCTACTGTTTCTTTTCCTTTGTTTCGGGTTTGGGTTTGGGTTTCCTTAGTTTTAACCCGTTAGAAAGAACGTGGTTAAATTTGCTTTGCTTTGCTTACTGGATACGTACAGGCTAGCAACAAAAATTAACTAGTTAATTAATTAATTAGGAGGTTTTTAATACTTGCTTCTCTACTAAACAGCTGTCGCTTTTTTTTTTTCAATTCTCTTGTTGAATATTTTTTTAGTTGTAAATTGAAGCTCGTGGGATTTTTATCTTCGAAAAAGAAAAGACATAAAGAAAACCAGCGAGACGGTGTCGTTGACCATTAATTAACCCGTAGAACTATTTATTTGAAGATGTGTATACTATAGATAATGTCGGTTTTGATTAGCCTCGCAGGTAGTGTTATTGCTTCGTTTAAGTGTACGTAAAGTTAATTAAAAGATTATGGACATTAGTTTAGTTTAACGTTTAACCAAGAAACCTCATTCAATTGGGCATTTGAGAAAATAAGAAACTAAATTGACAATCAAACAATATCCGGGAAGACCTACAAAAGTAGAATAAGATTTGTACTGTGAATGAAGAAAAAATGAACAAAAAGTGGGGTATTATTCTAAATGATGTCTTTCCAATAAGACTTAGACCACTGATGATATAAATAAATAAAAATACATTCTAAAGAATACCACAAACAGAAATTAAATTTTTAAGAATCCTTAAAACATATTTATTGTAAAAAATATTGGTCTTAAATCTTAAGAAAAACTCTAATCAGTCAAAATATATACTAAGATCAGCATTTATGGGTGATAATATTATCTTCACACATTTTAGTGTTAAATGTGAAAGGTAAATTTAAAGCTAATGATGATAAAGGTTAACAGAATTTGTTTATTAATTAGCAAGTAAAGTCAAGTTTGAAATCGACCCCAACACTAACGCATAAATAAAACCAAACTAGTAACTCCTGACTCCATAACCAAACTGGTCTACAATGAGTATCACAATTCGCAGATAAATTTTAGATTTTTATCTCATAATTTTCGAGAGCTAATTTAAATTAGAACTACGAAGCTAACAAGAAAAGCTACTGTGACTAAACTCTAAAGCACACAAACGAATATTACAGAAAAGACAACAAAATCAAGACTTGTGTGCAAGTCATGCATTGCTTTGGTAATAGAAATGGTGGGTCCTGTGAATTGAGTTCTGGGTTGGTCAGAATTTTATAAATGCGGAGCGGAAAAAAAAAATCATTGTAAATTTTGGATGAGTTAAAAAAAGAGAGGTTTTGGAAAAAGAGAACACAAAGTTTGACCCGTGAGGTTAAGAGAAAGGAAACTGCAACAGACAAATTAAAACAAATCCTACCATTTAAGCACTAAAGAAAAGACAAATACTTGCATCTGTATCGCAGAAGATACATAAGCCCAGAAGGAGCAATGGGAACAATCCAGACAGTTTTACTTTTGTCATTGAGAAGCATCAGTTCTTTTGGGTCCAAACGATGATCTTAAAACAGTAAAAAAAGGAGAATTAGAGAGAGAACGAGATTAAGACAACGAACTCTCACTCACTCAGGCCATGATTTTTGCAGACCGGACATAAAGGCTGTCAACGACCTTCCCCATGTTTGCAATGGTGTCAAGAGTAGCCGAGTAGATAGCATCTGCCTTTGGATCTTCAAATATGATGAGGCATCCAGCTCCTTGATCCAACGTACCTGCGAATTTCTTGTCAAGTATCATCTGAGATAGCTTCTTCTCCACATGGTCGACTGGTAACCCAATCAGCTCAGCAATGTGAGCTATCTCAACTCGTGAGAAGGGCTCGATCAAACGGCACAGGTTTTGCTCCAGAAGTGTGTCATAGAGAGATGAGAGATGCCTGTGGACAATCGGGTCATCCTCTAGCTGCACTTTGTAGTCACGGAGCGCGTTCTCAAACAGTTTCAAGGACCTCTTCGAGTGAGCATCAGCGACTGCTTTCATGGCATCTAGATCGGGGCCAACGTACTGGAGTCCAGCCTTTGAGGAAATTATTCCTGCAACATCATCGGCTTGGCTAACCATGATCTTGCACAGCAACATGTATTTCAAACTGAAAACCGCTCTTGGATCTCCGAGCGCGTTGAAGGACTCAAAGGCTTCGAAGAAGTAGCTGTATCCGGTTTTGTAGTCTTTCTCTTCAGCGTGAAGAATCCCACTCTGCAGATCAATGGTGCCTTGTTGGGCCGGGGGTACATATATAGCGTTTGCAGCTGTCCTGGCTGCGGTAAGTGCAGCTTTTGCTTTGGGTAAGTTTCTCAATGAGAAGTGAAGTTTGCTCTCCAACAAGTCTATGTCGACCAGAAGGAGCTTATCATCTAATCTCCTAACCTCTTTCACCAAAGTACTCAGCAGCGCCAAAGCTTCAACATACTCCTTGTTCTCCATTAAAAGAGCTGCTAGCCTCGCCTCTACTCGCTGCCTGAGGAAAGTACGCTTCTCAGCACGAGTCCATTCAACCATTTCTTTGCAGAGAGTGATCTGGAGATCAGTTGTTCCGGGTATCTTAGCCACAGCATCAATGATTCCTCTGACGATTTTCGCGGTTTTGGCCTTGGGGATCAGTGAAAAGAAAGATCTCAACTTGGTTAACAGTCTCCGGAGATCCTCACCTCTCTTCTCTTCAGTCAGACGATCACAGAGGTTAGTAATCGCTTGCTCCTTGATCCGCAGAGCCTCTGGAGATGAAGAAGGGTCTTCTAATACCTGGTACAGTATCGAAATAGCCTCCGAGCTGTTGGCTTCTAGAGCCAGGGAAATCGTCTCCGTTGTAGCGGGATACGAAACCATTGCTGGCTTTACGCAAACTTAAATCTCCTGCAATACAAAAAGCCATAGATGTGATTATGTAATGTCCAAAAATTTCTCCTTTCTGACATTCCTACTCGTTAATTTCACAACACTTAAAAAAAAAACCTAATCCGTTGTCGATACAATAACAAGATTATCAGATAAATCAACAACAAAGAATCACACTAGAGATCCATCAAAGACAAGCTAAAACGAGGCAAAATTAAAGCAACAGGTAGTATAAAACACAATATCAATTACGAAGCACAAAGAAACACTGACCTAACTTCAAATAATAATATGATCACGGACGCATAAAGATCAGTAATTACTAACTATTCAGTTCGATTCATCTACTTTTGAGATCCACTCAATTCTCTATCAATTTCGGTAGCTTCGTACTAATCATTGTAAGATGCTAACTTAGGACATCGTCGAGCTAATCCACGAATCGAATTTTCTTCGCAAAGATAAACTCAATCGGACAAAGCTAAACCCTAGAGCCTATGGCCAAGGCGACTGAGATTTGATTTTTAAAAAATCGAAACAAACACACATGCCAAAACCCATAACTAATTTAGATCTGATAAACACATAGAAGAAAAAATAAACGAATTGGCGCAAGAAAATAAACTCACAGATGAATCGGCAGAATCTTCGTCTGTGTGAATTTGGTAAAGCCTTCGACGAACGACGACGGAATAAAAAGAAGCGTCGAAGATGTCTGTCTTGAAAAGGAAGATAAAGGGACGGGTTTTCCGTAATTTGTAAAAGAAATTAAAGGATATAAATGTCATTTCCGGTATGCTGAAATAAAAAACGCTTAATTCGACATCGAAAATACAAACCAACGCCAAACGCTGCAAAAGATCCACGTTTTCTACCAAATGCTTTTGTTTTCTTATAACGTCGTGCAAACGCATGTCGAGAAAACGCAGAGCTCGAAACGCATGTTTTTGTAATCAAATCACACAGAATTTAGACGGGGCGCATCTATTTATTTGCCATCTTCCGTCTTAAGCTTCATTACTTTTTCTTTCAGCTTTTCATTGTTAGTCCTTCAAGACCTTTACTATTTTATTTTGCACCTTAAACTTAAGAAGTAGTAATACTTATGAATTGATAATTCACATTACATGTTTTAAAAAATGTCACTACGTTATTTGTTTGGAAATTTAGAGCATAATGTTTTCGTTTCTACATTATTACGTATGTGTTCAATGAAAAGTAAAAATAAAAAATTAAATAATGGAAGATAATCAAATCATTCTTAAAACAAGAACTCAAAGATTAAACAACCAAGAAAAAGGAAGAGTTGGAACAAAAACATCACATAAAAAACTCACACACAAAAAATTCGTTAGTTAAGTAAACTCAGACAGACACATATAAATGTTTTAGATAAAGAAAAAAAAAGGTTATCAAAAAATGAAAAATTGTATACTGTATATGGGTATATATATATTAAGAAGCTTAGAAGGTGACGTCAGGGACGATTCCAAGCTCCTGGAAAGCTTGAGGACAATCAGCGAGAGGAGTCTTCCTCATGAAGCCAAGTGGGTTAATGGTTCGAGTCTCGTTGGAGACAATGCCATCATTAGCCGTGAGGCTGACCCTGGCTGCGTTTCTTAGGAACTCTTGGTTGTTCACGTCGGAACACTCTGCGTCCGGTGAATGGACGAGGACGATCTCGCACACTTCCTCTTCGTGGTCTCCCATAACTTCCATTTGGTAGTTTCCGGCTTTGTCGGTCACAGCTTCTTTGGTCAGTGTCACTGTCTGGTTCTCACGACCCTTGCACTCAAGCTTTACCTTTGCCCCTGAAATAGAGAAATAACACATATGAATTACAAGATCTTGTATAGCCGTTTAAGGACGCTAGGTCGTTTAAAACTATGTTGGTTTTTTTCTTCTAATATAATGTGCAACGGTTATAGAATCCTAGAAATAGCTAGATAGGAAAAGATTCTGTAGAAACATATAAAAAAAAAAAAAACTTAATTAAAAGGTAATTTTCGATTCATTTATGTATAGAAATAGCGTAAATGACAATTAAATGCTATACAAAATTTTCGTATTGTCTAAAAGACTCCTTGCTTGATAATTATCTTTGTGAGTTTATACTACTTCATAATTCCAAACCATTGAACCAAAGCAAAATAGGACTAATCTTGTCTAACCAATATGCCAATATATGTTCGTATTGACTGTAATATCAGATGATCCACACATATATGATGAATTAGATTAGAGAATGTCCTTAATTAATTACCTTCGAGGAATTTGCTGAGGCGGGTGACGAATTGGACACGGCAAGTGTCGCAGTAGACGGAGCCCTTGATGTGGAAGCGGTCGAAGTCGTCAGCATCAGCTGCGGCGAAGTGAAGGAGGGTGGTGAAACATAGGGCAGAGGCAAGGAAGACGACGAAGAACTTGGCCATTATGCCTTATTCTTTAATTCTTGTGTGTTTTACTTGTTTCTTCTTCTTCTCCTCTCTTTGGTTTTTGAATTTGTAAATTTGGATTTCTAGGTAAAACAGTTGTAAGTTTTTGGGTGAGAGGAGACGCTATGATGGATCCAACTAATTCTGTCCTTTTATAGAGAACCAATAGACAAAACAACAACAAGACATGTGATTCTATATCTATTTTTGGAAATGCTAGTTTATTTTTGGTGTTTGTGGTTCTTGAGTTTTCTACGGATGTGTATTTTTTGAAACCGATCTTTTCTCATCACCATCTATTTTTTCTGTTATTTATTTTTTGTACTTTTGTTAAAGAGGACATATTTTTCAAATGTCAAACTATAATCTTATACTCTTACGTATGTTCACTAAAAAATCTAGTGGGGGTTGGAGAATTGTCTGCTAGATCCAAATGGAAATGGAAATAGTTTAAGTGACTAAATTGGAGCTGACTTTGGACAATTAGAGCTCGACATGAATCTGTAATTTTGAATTGGGAAACAAAAAAAATCTGTAGAGAGCTGAATTGCTGAATATATATATAACATCTTTAAAGTGGCGTATCATCTATCACCAAGCTATTACAAGAAAATAATGTACAGATGAATTGGATTGTACTTCCTCTGTTTTCGCTATATATAAAAAACAAAAAATCAAGAATGCAAACGATCTTGATCCGCATCAATCTCCCAATCTGTATAGTAGAAAGAAAAAAGAAACAACACTATTGGTTAAAATGTCTGCGGCGGGAAGGAACTTGAAGACTTGCACAGTTTATAAGCTGGCGGCAATAAACGTGGAAGACTCTTGCTGTTTTATGGTATCTGCAACATGCGCAACAACTCCAGCTCCTGCTTTGTAAAGTCTTTCACTTTTCACCTGAACAAGACCAAAATCTCTCTATTAGTTCATGTCTACAAGAATGAAAAAAAGTGAAAATGTTTGGAGTTTACATGAATATTGTTATGAGCTAAGTAAGGCCAGAAAGTAGAGTGGAAGCTGACATCAACTTTCTTCCACCCTAAAGTCTGCAGACCGCGGATCATTTCGTCTGCAAGCATTTGTATAAACTTTTAGTTTCTTGCTAAATCAGTCAAATTTTTGGGCTAATAATTAGCTTTTTTTCCTCACCTTCCACTATTTCATGATACTCAAGCGTGTTCTGAGGACTAGGCGAGCTTTGTGCGGCTTCCTTGGCTTTAGCAGCCTCTGGAGGGAAATGGGCTCCGTCTGAGGAAAGAGGTGGGCAGTATTCTACATCGACAACATGCTTGTATCCATCTAGAGACCGACGTGAGGCTGCATGTAACATGAAAACAGGGGAAACACATCTATCAGCTCTCAGTCTCGACTGCTTAATAGTTCTCAAACTTGTAGTTGGCTAGTTACAAGCCACATAGCTTATTGCATGAAGAGGTTACCTACCAATCTTCTCTAAGATATTTGAAATAAATGAACTGCCAAAAAAATATTTAGTGAATTTCTACAGACAACTGACTCGTTTTGAGATTCTATACAGTACAATATGTCAACTGATTCGTCTGCAAATGCCGAGTCTATCAATGTTGTGGTCCTGCTATAGAATATAAAGAACCAATAACGAGATCTTAACCCCAGAGAAATTTGTTTTCTTTTACTCAATATGGGTTGAGCTAGAGTGGACAAAACAAGGATGTTCATAAGTACGGGGAATGTTTCCTCTATGATCGCTCTCATTATTCAGAAACACAGGACCCATTTACCACCGTTAACATCTCACTGCGAGCAGACTAAATATTGGCGAGTCCCATTTTCTAGCTAGTGTTCCACAAGTTTTATAGTCAACATCTATTTTTATAGGAGAAATCGGAAATCAAATGGGATAACATTATATAGAAAGCTTTTATTGCTTCAGATTAAATTAAACGTACCTTGAAAAGTTCAGTTTCTCTCCGTATGGAAGATGTACGCCAACCAACCATGTCTAGTTAATGTCAAAGGAAACATTCAGGGAAAAAAAATGCGGCAAAACTAACAATCATGCCTGAACAAGTTTGACAGCAACAGAAATGCACAGGATACGGTCATAAGATACATTTGCATAGACGATGCGACATCGAAACGACCCCAGAGCCGACCTGCCAGACGAGGAAGGTTATTAGGATTCAAACAATTCGGTAAGGGGTATGATATTTTATATGCTAAAAGCATTACTCACAAAAATTTCAGATCTCCACCATCAGATGCCATTCTTAAAAGAAGAGGTGGTTTATCAGCTTTACCATCAGTAAGAAACAACTGGCTACCAGTCCGACCAACAACGAACGGAGCTATTGGTGCAGCAAGTTTCTCTAGAATAGGAACTCCCAACAAGAAAGGCAGCTGACACAAGAAGAGAATGAGATGGAATTTCCAGGAACTATCAATTAATATTCAGCAGTCTAGACACTTCGGGAACCAAAAACCAACAAGTGCAAAGGCAGTTTTGATGAAAAGTATGATATTCATTCTGAACACAAGTAGGACGTATATGAAATATAATACACGTGAATAACCATGAACTTCTTTCTTAACTAAGCAGACACCACACATAGGTTCATGTATATATATGAAACTATCTGATTCCAATATGACAAGTGAAGAAAAAGAGAACCTGCTTTCTGCCTCTCACTCCTAGATGAGGTGTTGCCAAGGTGATGAAATTAATCGGCTCGAGCCCAGCAATCCTACCTCGCAGAAGATGTGAATCCCCAGATATAGATATAGCACCATCAGAGTCTTGTGACATTGCTGCTGAGTAAAGAACAGCAACAGCATGTCTGGCAAATAAGCCACCGAGGGAGTGGGCTAAAAAGGAAATCTTCTTCAAGCTCTTGCTCTTTTGGACAACTTGCCTAACCTATCCTCTCTCACATCAGGAATGGAAATAGAAATCAGCTGATTTGGTGAAGTTAAGGACAAGAAAATCCAGACCGAAACAAGAAGTGGAAATGACATTGTAGAAATTTAAAAACTCACCTCTTCTGCTAGTCGTTTTCCAGCTCCATCGACCCCGCCAAATGTTTTAGTGAAGGTATTGGAAGAACTTGCTGTGCATGTCCAGGGGGAAAAGAGTAACTTAATAAGAAATATGTGTGATTCACGCAAGGAAGAGAAAAAACATGAGTTGAATGATAAAATACAAGACTAAAGAATAATAAGAAAAACGACTTGTGGTCTCTGACGAACAGATAAGAAAATTTTCCGAAAGTTTATCTTTTACGATTCTGTTCGCGAAATCTCTCTTCCATATATACTCCAACAAACTGCAAAACTAACAGAGGATAACAAGTAGAAACCAGATGAGCATACCATAAATCAAGAATCTTCTTCCAAGGCGTCTTTTCATCTCAGCTTCTACGTAGAGCCAGTCGCTAGGACTGCAAGTCATGGTGTCTTAATATATTAGGAGAAATATAAATAATTAGATCTGATAACAGTGCAGCAGAAATGATATACACAACTATCAAATTCAAGGCTTGAAGAAGGGCATTGATAATAACAAGAGGCAAATTAAACACCATTCAAAAAGATGAATTTCTAAGACATTATACCTGGCCAAAATACCATGTACAAGAACAAGAAGGTGATCAGGTTCATTTTTGTCGTCGGTGTCGCCTTTCGACAGCGAAAAACTCCGTTGAGCTGTGGCACTCATTGCTTGAACTCTGAGTCCCTGATGGTTCCAGCTTCTGCTAGACCCTGCTTGTAGAGTAATTAAAACGAAAGAACACTGATATAAACAGAACCCATTCTAGATCGAACAGATCATGATTTTAACAATTTCTTGGCTTTTCACATTAATCGTCTAACATCTTGGAGCTAAGCAACAGTGAATAACTGAGCCTTTCCTCTAATACTATTCTTGACCATTCAATTGATCGAGCCTAATTTACATCTTTGATCAAGAAATCCTCAGCTCTGAAACTAAACCCTATCAAGATCCACCATACATACACATGAACAAAGACACCAACACTTAACGAGCATAATACGACTCAAAACGCAGAAACCAAATGAATCGAATCCAAATTACCGAAATCAAAATTCAAAATCTCTGAATAGCCACAAGAGCACGAGGAGGACGGCGATGAAGAAGAAGAAGTAGAAGCTGAAACGACGCCGGAAAACTGCCGCGCTATGCCAGAGCTTCTTCGCTTAGCGATATTAGAACCACCACGACGACGATGCGGTAAGTATCTACAAGGAGGCTGAATCCAAGAAGCCGTAGACATTGATACTCGAGAGTATATATATATATATATAGAGAGAGAGAGAGAGAGACAGAGAGAAAGGGAAAAAAAGAGAAGTCAAAATCAGAGAAAGGCGTGGAGGAAAGATCCTTGAATCACGGTTTCAGAGTGACGTCAGCTTTCAGAAGCATACATGCCTCTACGTTATCCTCATCACAGAGACCCATGCTCTCTCTCTCTCTCTGGTTTTATTTCAGAGCCAAAACACAATCATCGAATTACCAATTTTTCTGGGGAATGATGATGATATATGTTTTTTTTGCTTAATAAATTAATTTTGGCTGCTGTTAAGCGAGTCAAGCACCTTAATTAAAAAAACACATATTAATGTAGTTTATTTTATTTGTCCAGAAAACGAAAGATGGAGGTGGAACGTAGGATTTTGGAATTTTATATGTTCAAAAGGTTTAGAATCCGACCAAAAAACTCCAAACGAAGCTCTAATAATTTATTTTTTGCTTGTCCTTTTTATCAACCAATTAAGTTTTGGGCCAGGCTCGTTAACCTCTTCGGATAGAACACCTGAATTGAGCCTATTCCAAATTTATGATTCCAGATTGCCGGAAAATTGGCTTTTTTTAACCTAAACTTTGCGAAAATGTTAAATTTATATCCGAACTTTTAATCTTGTTACATTCTTTATCAATTTAATAATTTAAATTTCATACTTAAACTTATTTTTTTTTCCTTAAACCTACTTTTGTCTAAACATAGTTAAATTGCCGTCAAACATAGTCTACATGGCATCCACATAAGCGACAACGTGGCATCGGAGATCCTCCCATCACCGGCAGCGAACCTGAAAAAAAAACAAAAAAAAAACACAGAGATACAGCTTCAGATCCAGCTTAGTTAGTGAGGATTATGTCTTCGAGGTTTTACCGTTCGATGAAGAAGCCGAAACGGAGAAGCTTCTCAAGCTGCTTGGTAATCTCATCATCAAATTCATTCTCATCGTCTTCTTCTTTTTCTCTCCTTTCCCTTCTCTCTCTCTCAAAAATTCAGTTTGTGTTCATATGTTTGTAACTGACTATTTTAAGCGCTCCAGCAGATGATCCATATGTTCTACTCATGCTGCACATAACGAAGAGGCGGCCGCGAAAGCTGCGGCTTCTCTTGCTGATACCGGAGCTCCGACTATGGTTTCTTTTTACACACAATTATGAAATCTGAGAATCAGTAAACCCTCTAAAGTTGGATTTTTTGCTGAAGGATTCAGCTTATTTGGGAATAGCATGTCTATATTGTTTGGAATCAATTGAATTGAAATGGTTATCGAAGCAGAGCTTCAATGGCTGTTGTCACTTCGTCTTCCTCTATGCTGCTTCGGGAAAAATAATCTACAGATTTTTTTTGGATTTGGTTGTTGAATCAAATTGGTAAACAGAGTTTTGTTAAACATCGAGATCGCAGTAGCAACACGAGGCTTCGCTTTCCGTATCTCCGCCGTGTTGCAGAGGGAGGATGGAGATGTCATTGTTCTCGCCACCGTCAATGCCTGCGAGGCGGTTCCTTCTGAATCTCATCCTGAATTTTCTCACTACCAAGATTTTATCCTACGCCAATCTTGTTTTCTTTCTGTCAGTTTTGGTCAAGACAGAAAACGATGTCGTTTAGTTTTTTTTTCATAATTCAAAAATATTAAACACTTTATTGCTTACAGTCGCTTATGTGGATGATACGTAGACTATATTTAACGGTAGTTTAACTCTGTTTGGGCAAAAGTAGGTTAAAACTACTGTTAAATGAGATTAGATATGAAATTCAAATTATTAAGAAGATGAAGAATGTTTTAGCTAGGTTAAAACTTTAGGTATAAGTTTAACATTTTTGCAAAGTTCATGTTGGAAAAAGCCAATTTTCCCCAGATCGCCTAAACCACATTTTTGATGCACCTTGAATCATTAGAATAGGAATTCAGTCTCTCCCATATTCCCAAAAGTAAAAACCTCTGGGCAGATAGTCTTGCGAAAGGAGTTCGAGCAAGAGAATATATATTCACCCACATCGATCATAACGAGCCGGTTGAGGACGCCCCTGAGTCAACCTCGATCTGGCCAACAGTGATGTAATAGTTGGGTAGACGACAAAAAACAAAAATAATAAATAAATAAATAAATACGAATGGAAATAAACTATCAACACTAGACTAATAAATAAGGTTTTTTTAAAAGAAAAAAAAAGTATTCCCGCTAAAACAAGTAATGTTTTCAGGTCCACTAAATGCTTCTTTTTGCTTTCACTCAAAATCGACCCTGTTTATATGTCGAGGTACCATAGGTTATAGGTTTGTTTTGCCTATTTAAGTTTGGTAGAACTAATAATGGAGGGAATATGTTATATGTTATACGATTGATTATAAAATCCTGAAAGATGATAACGTTTTCTCAAGGAAGAAAAAAAATGATAAAGTTTGTGACATTTAGAAGCATTTGGCAGTTTGCAAAGGTTTTGAGGCTTGTCATGAGATTCACTCAAATGTTAATTATGAATGCTGTGGAAATTGAGTAACATCTTTGAGTTCTCGTGCAGGGCGCATAAAAGATATCCATGTTGTCAAAGTCACACATCGATAATTGGAGACATTGATAATTGGAGAATTTGTGAAATAGTATATAAAAGATAAAAGTAAATCCATTGATTGTCAATTAGTTTTGAGCTGGAAGTCTATAAACTCATATTTAACATGGTATCAAAGCCATCCGATCTTTGGACCATTCTCGGTTGGACTTCGTCGTAGATATTTGTTTTTACAAGTTTTCATACTTCAATCTTGATTAGTGTGAGAAATAGTGTTCTAAAATATGGATTTATAGATTTCCAACTGAAAATCATTGACAATGACTGGATTGACTATTATTTTTTCTACTTCACAAATTCTCGAATTACTGATGTGATACTTTTACAACACATATCTTTTAAAATATTTAACATAATTTTTATTTTGTAAAACCCGAGCTTTCTCTGACTTGACCAAATCTAACCCAAAAACGATATCATTACAGTAAATTTGATCTGGACTGAATCAAATATACAACTGAGCTGATGACTTGAATTTATTTATCTTTTTACAAATTAAAGAAGCACCAAGCCAAAACGAAAATCATATAAAAACCGAATTAAAGTTGTTCCACATATTCATAGTAGTTGTTGAAAATGAAGATTGCTTCACATGATGGTGCAGAAATGAGGGTTTTCCTCACTAAACATAGAGCTAGCGTTTTCGTCGATAAGACCCGAATATGGCCGTTCCTGACGGTAACCATGGTCGTGTCCGTGGCATCCATGCTTATAATAGTTGTAAGAACTCACTTTCTCACCATTCTTCGACATGTTGATTCTTTTCTGAAACTTCTTCTTGAAGTACCTGTCGTGAAATCCATTAGATTCGTGGTGGTAAGGGCACGACCATAAGCACACCTCTCTTTTTGTAATGTTTCTTGCAACTTTCAGAACCTTCTTCTGCTCCACCGATCCCGTCACCGTCACTTTCTGCTGTTTCATGTCTATCTGAACATCGTGGACTCCTGTTGAATCCAAGACTTAGTTATCAGTTTTCTTGGTTGACGAGATGCTAGTTTCTTGATGAAATGTTAGTTTAGGATTTTAACATATCTTCATTAATTCATTACGTACCCTTAATATTTTCAAGAGCTTTCCTAACTTTTTTTTCGCAACCAGCACAATCCATAGGCACATCCATCTCCACTACCTGCGTACAAATACACATATTCAATAAACGTATACACGAGTACTCATGAAAATTAGTATAGAGGAAGTTACTCACAGTCGTCATTTTTTTACGATAGACCTTAAAAATTAGTCTAATTAACACAGTTTGGTCGATGGATGACTAGAGGAGAAACACACTTACATATAGAAATTTTCATCACACAAATTGAAAAGATCTTTGAAGGTCCATATAATAATATTTTTATATTATGTTGCTTCTACAGAAAAAATCTTGTGAAAATGCATGGAAACTACCTTGAAGTCAAAAACTTATGTGACCCCGATTTTACAATATATTTGACTAAACTTGAAAAGGATGATCATGATTTGACATATCCATTTTTTTTATTTGCCAACATCATGATATGAGGAATTTGTGTTTCTTTAATCCCAAAATGATATAAAACTACACGAATTCTACAGAAAATTACTAGATATATAGCTAGTTAGTTTAAAACTATAGCAATTTATACGACCAAACTTATAGTACACGGTCGTATTAACAAATTTCAGTAATAACTTTCATTCGTAGATTTATGTTCTGATCTGGTTAATATAAATCTAACACAGCTGAATATTTTCCTCCAAACACAAATTCACTAGTTTTTAGCAAAAAAAAAAGCAAAAACAAAATTCACTAGTTAAATTAAGTTAGTAATAAGATATAAACGATTTAGCTTCATAATAGAGCAAATAATGAGCTTTGTAGAAAGCTTTCTTATAGTTTTTTTTTTTAACTAAACCAGTTATCTAGTTACAAACTTATCTTTTTTGTTTTTTCTTACTTATCTAATAGGCTTATCAGTCGAGTAATAATATTACGAAATACGAATAAAATAAGTTAAAAAATTGCAAGCAAAAGATTTTTAAATTCCTTGCTGTCGGGAACTATTGCGTGACGATTTATGCAAACGATGCACTTTATAAGAAATTCAAAGATAATTGTTTTTCGTAATCTATGGTCAATTTCTCAAATAAACCTAGAGAAAAATACATTCCACTTATAATAGTTTACAACACGCTTAGATTCAAGAAAACATAGAAAACGAAATTTATTTTTAGATGAAATTTAATTATGGGTAGTAGGTCGTTGACCCTACTAATCCTACAAATTCAAATGAATGATTGTAAGGGAGTTATATAACTCACCAAGAATTAATTTTACACTTTTCAGATCGATGAAAGTTCGAACGGATGTGAAAACCAGATTACACATAAAACGGATCATCAAATACATTTGATAAAGCGTCGAATTTTTTTCGACCAAATTAAGTAGTAAAAGTCCAGAATCGGTTATCCGAAAATCGATATGAAAAAACATTGAACCGGTTCAAATTGTACCCGTTTCATTATTGAAATTTGTCGAAACTGAAAACCAATTTCAGCCGCTTAGTTTTCTAACTTTTCTTGATCTATGGAATGTAGAAGCGGTCTGATGTTAATTAGTGAAAATAGGTCGAACTTTTGTTATGAAAATCTGATTGGCTTTGACATTCATTTGACGAACGATCAGTGGCATTCATGACCAAAATTATTCTCAAACACTAAAGATTCTTACTGAGTGTGTTCTTAATTGCAAATACGCACAATTTTTATTTATACTTTCTTTTAACTAGATTGAACTTTTGAAGACTTAGAGCATATGCAACGGGGTATTTAGCAGCATTTCTCAGATTTTTTTTGTATTTAATTAAATCAGAAAGAAAATAATTTGCCAGAGACGTCTCTTATTTAGGAGATGCAAGAGACGTCTTTTAAGTACACGTGGCTTACTGTTATTGGACAACAAAAAATAGAAGAAAAAAATATTTTTATGGTCCTGTTTTTTTTTTCCAATAATTCATTCTCTCCTCTTCCTTTTCTCCGTAGACGACGAATCTGGCTGCTCCGACTGTTTCCGACCGAGGCAACTCTGCCGACCGAGGCGACTCTGCCGACCGAGGCGATTCTGCCGACCGAGCCGGCGAAATCGAGTTCGACTATAGGTTATCACCAGCCAAACCAATTTTCCAGAACTCGGCGAATCTTCCAATGGTTGCCAAACCCATCTACGGTATCGTTTCCGATGCTGTCTACTTCTTTGGCCAGCATCGAATCGCTTACATCGCATTTGGAGGTATGCATACGAACCCAATCAAAGTTTTTAGTACAAGTTTTGGACTTTGTAAATTTAGGAAAATGGTTTCCTTTAGGTTCTTTGACGTGCTCTGAGACTTTGATTTAGAATTGTGTATTAGAAGAAGATCAATAGCCTGACATAACGAGTTGATTGAGTTTTGATCGAAGAAAATGGTCTCTCTCTCTTGTGGCAATGTAACTCCATGATTTGGAAATGTGATTCAGAGTTGATTGAGAAAAAATTGGTGTATTCTTGTGGCAATGGATCTTCCTAGTTTGGAATTGCGAATCAGAATTGATTGAGAGAATTAGGATTCAGATGTTGGATTCTGTAGTTTGATCTTTGTTTCTGCAGCGTCTGGCTTGTTGTGTCTCTGTTCTCTTACAATCTATTGCAGATTGTTACCTTATCACGTCGTGGCAGTTTACGAAGCAGAAGAGGACGACAGAATCCTCGATTCAGACACAACAAGCCAAACGCTATCATGCAATCAGCTATGGGACAACAACATTGCAGCCAAAGTGGCAGAATTCACGGCGACATTTGAGAAGCAAGCCTAAGCTTTCAACATAATAACTCAAAAGAGAAGGGAGTGGAGAGCTCAGATCCGAGGAAATGTTGATGGTTGAGCAAGCTTTGCTCCAAGACGAGAGAAAAGCATGTGTTGATGTGAAATCAGAGTTGGATAGAGAGATGAAGGCTCAGGAGGCGAGGTTAAGAATGGTGGCTTTGGCTCAAGCAGGACAAGTGAAGGCAGAGTCACACCAATCTCATACCGAGATGATGGCTCGCAACCTGCTGAGAGCTAATGCGATTGGGAATCATGGAGAAGGACGTAACATGAACCCTGATGAGATGATGATGATGATGATGATGCATGGATGGGGAGTTTGATTTGAATACTCGGTAAATGGAACAAAGAGATTATACTTTCCCTTTTTCTCTTTCTTTTTTGGTGATCCAAATACTTGCAGAGCTTGAAGGCTCGATAGTTGTAGTTAAAACTTGAAAGGTGGTGAGAGATAACTTGTATATATGTATAAATCATTATTATCATTTTAAAAAAAAAAAACTTAATTGGGTCTCTACCATTGGACCTACTAAAAATGAATTTTTTTTCAATTGGTTTCTAACCCAACTTAATAATAAAAAAATGGTTAAAAGATCCATCAAAATCTCTCTCATTGCACATGCTTTTATACGCCATATATAAACTCATTTAAGACAAAATTTTGAATTCTAGAGTTTATGCGGCGACTAACGTTGTCCATCATGACAAAATTCTTTGTTCAAAGCTCCAAACGAGTTGGTTATATTTATAGAATAAACTAGGGGTGACTTATGCATTTGCAACCAACTGCAAAAGAAAAAATTGGAGAACCAAAATTTGGACACGATCAAGATCAACTGACATTGCATATGAGATTACTTTATGTTCTGATCTCCACAAATAATGCTATGATTATTCGTAGAGAAAAAAAACTTGACTCTCGTAGCCATGTATCAACTATTTAGTCATTCCAATCGAAATATCTTTGGTATTTTTTACAAGGTTTGAAAGTTAACTGAAAACTGTGAAACAAAAACTGTATAGCCAAAACAAACATTAAACTTGTTAAAAAAAAAAAAAAAAAAAAAAACATTAAACTTGTTCACTATGCATGTGCCATAACTTTCAAACCCATTTTTCAACGTTGTTTAAAAAAAAAAATATTATGAGACTAGACAAACAAAAATTATTCACCACCTAAAACATAGAACGTTAGGGTTCGTTTTGTCTCTTTAATGGTAATATTGGTAGAGACAAAATCTGTAATAGCAAAACTATGAAGATTACCATGAAGATGGCCTTTTGGGTTTTAAGCTAATTGACAAAAACATCTTTAAAATTGATAAAAAAAAAAAAAAAAAAAAAACATTAACAGTTTCTATGTTGCGACATATAACTAATACAAATCCTTATACTAATTATTCAATATGAATTAATGTTGTATAACTGTATGTCACGAATTAGTTTGCGGAAATTCATCTATCTACTAAGATAGATCCATGGCGGCTATTGGTTCACTGGGTCCGCATCTTCGGAACCCCACGCTTCAAATCTTAGTTTCATAATTCATAAGACAAATGATAATATATTAATTTCTCAATGCGTGCGTATGTTGCGGCGCGCAAGAAAGACGTCTCAACTTGAAGATGAGAAAAGGTACGCCGCCATTTACAAATTCAACGTTTATTAGTTCGAGTTCCCACTATTAACAAATAAGTAGACTCGTGCTAATGACCTAGGTTCTACATATCGCTATAGATATGGTCATATTGTATAGTTATTTAATTTCCGAAACTTAGCTTAACTTTTACGTCTGCGAAAACCAATACTCCCTCTGTTTCATTATAGTTGATTTTCTGAATATTTGCACACAGATTAAGAAAGTTATAAATGCTCAATTATTTGCTGTTTATTTTGTTTAATTAGGTTATTTTTACAATTAATTTCATTACTTTTATTAGTATTACTGGTTTTTACTTTAACCTGGGCTTTTCATCTCCTCTTTTTTAATTAATGTTTACAATTAATAAGTTTTGTAAAGCAACATGCATAAATATGATTCATTCAACTTAAAGAAAAGATGTACATTAATTAGATGTAGAAAATCAAATATTATGAAACAAGAAAAAAAACCTAGAAAATCAACTATAATGAAACAGAGGGAATATATGCTAAATCTTCAAGGATTCGAGTTTTTGAATTATACATATTAACATTGTTACATCATCACCAGAAATAATTGATCTAACTCTACTATTTGATCAAATTCCACTATCTAGAACATTTGTGATTATGATGAAGATCTTCGAATTCTATTATCGATAACATTTTATCTACAAAGTTAGACATCTTTCCTTGCAACACATACCTCGACACTCTCAAATCTCGGTTTATTATTATTCTGTAAAACTTTGTATTTTATTGGGATAGAATCTCATGCCTGGTGTAAAAATATTTAAACCCTTTAACCACTAAACTAAGGAGCTTCCATGAGATTTTGAATTTAATTACAAAACATTACTTAGTAGTCATCCAAATTAGAAAGTATGAACAAAACAACTTGAACTTGGAATTATTTCACCAATACTATACTTTTAAAAAGTGAAATCGTTTAAGAATGAAAGCATGAAAAATAGATCTTTTGAAAATTTAATGGATTTGATTGGTAGCCCTTTACCGTTGGTGCAGAATTATTTTCTCTTTCCTCTGTCGTTTCAAATACGTAAAGATGTTCGACTCCTGCAAGCCAAGAACAGCAGAGGCATGAATATTTAAGAATAAATATGAATCACCATTTGGAGCCCATGCTTCAATGCTCCTCCATTCCATAATGGCAAATGTATTTTTTTTTATCACTTTGCGACTCATTGCAAATATTACTTTACTTTTCTACAACTATATAAGTTGAAATACTTTAAATTTAATTCTGCCTTTATAACATAAAGTGTTATATTTCCAACTATATATGTATTATATCCAAAACCCAGTAATAATATAACTAAAAAGCAAAAATAAAATAAAATAAAAACTAGATAATGGAGCAAACGTTAATTAACAAATAAAAAACTAGATAATGCAAATAAATAAAAAATGATGAAAAATAACCACCAGTCTACCACGATACAGAGATCAGTTTTTCCGTCCAAAATCGTTTGCAATGAGTTCTTTTCCTTTTTTAATTCACTAGTTGACACTATACATGCAGTTTTTAATACTGTTTTTTTCTGCCTACACAGAATCCTCTAATTTGGGAAGCTTGCTTTACGTATAACTGTTTTTTTTCTTTTTGTCTTTGCTTCACAACAAATTATTAATAGAATGAAAATTTTAATTATGTTGCTAGTCGAAATTATTTTATTTTTCAGGTAAAATTTTTTATTAATGATTTATTGCATCATTGGTTTTTTTTTGGGAACAAAATGACTCATCGCATCATTGAGTTAAAGATTATAGCTAAAATAATACTGTTGAGTAAGATGTCTTGACTATTGAACATCTAAGTATCTTGGATATAATATCATCACACCAGAGTTTCTATTTGATCTGTGTGCATACTTGTATCAACGGTCCAAACAATGGACAAGAAAAAAATCTTCAACAACAACGAAAGGACAATAGATCGCAACTCGCAAGTGGGAAACATCGATCATCTCTAATGTGGAGCTTTTAATTATTACACACACTGATACATAGCACACCATTCTTTTTTATATATCATTATAATTTATTTCTTTATGATGCTGCAACGGAAACTCGAGAATCGTTGAATTTTAGGATCCGTCTAAACATTTGTAATGTATTTTTTTTTTTTTTTTCGTCTACACATTTGTATTGTATTATGGATTACGTTTTATGATCATTCTGTCTTCCTAAGTTATATATAAAGTATTATCAATAAAATAGTAGTTATATCCACCTTAATGTTTTTACTTCCAAAGGCGCATTAAAGAATTTTGATATGTAACCTGAAGAAATCTCGTATCTCGTTTCATCAAGTGATATCTGCACTTTCTTGCCATAATAGGTAATTCAGTAATGGACAATCGATCTCCATTGGGTTAGCTTCTTCTTTTTTGGCACAAAGAGGTTTCAATCTCTACATTACAAGACAAAAAAAAAAGACACGAGCTATATGAATTAGACCGTGATTAGTCATATTTGTTTTTAATACATAAAGGACACATTAATGAAGATTTGTTATAACTTCTTACTAATATTCTTTTCATTTGGCAACTGATATACATTTCTATCATCAAAATATAGGTACGTTGATTGGTGATGGGCTGAAATTAAACAATATTATTTTGACCAACTATTGAAAAAACAATTTGTTCACGTTAAATTATTATATAGTTTTAATACAAAGGGAAAACAAAAGTATGTTTAGTTTAATACTTTTTCCAATATTTTGGAGATATATAATTTCCCAGTTTCTCATCTTATTAATTATTAATCTTTTTTTCTTACAGGCCCCACTTCAGGCCATATTAAAATCCCATGCAATGGAAGCTGAGTGCCATAGTTGGTCGGCTTAAGCGATAAGCCACTAGACTATTGACCTCTGCACCGGTTCGTCATATTATTTAGGATTAAATCTTTACCCATATGTAAAAAATGTTTTCATTAGTATTCAAATCCAGAGAATACCAAATAAATAAAGAATAAAATTTAGTTTTTTTCTTCCTCTTGAACAACAATGAATCAGTCAAAGCTTATACTTTTGACATGCAAAACTCAGTTACCCCAAAAAAACTAATGATGCAATGACAATTTTGGCTTCGAATTAACTTTAAATTGTAAGATGCACCACGACCGAGAAATTATAAAATACATTTGATTGGATCATGATTTCATTTAAACGCAAATGTAATACTACCCTAAACACTAGGTTGCTAGAAGTAGTAAATATAGCTAGATTTATCTCTTTGTTTTAAAATGAAATCGTCATAATATATAAACATTAGTTGCAATATATATGTGCATATAAAGGTGGGAAAGTTGTTCCTCCAAAGATCACGCCGCAAGTTAATGCAAACTATAGCATCACCAATATAGAGTCAACTTGCAATTTGCTCTCATTTTTCAGTTAGACATAACCAACTCCGAATTTTCCCTTATAAATACCCTTTCTTCCCCTCCTCAATTCCTCACTACAACACAACACAAACCCTTTACATACAACAAAAAATACAATTTTTTATTTTTCCTATATTTTAATTTGCCATATTCATCTACACTATGGCATCGATAGTATTTGTGTTCATGATCCTAACCATTTTTTCCATGGGTCTAAAAGTCTCTCAAGCCACATCTCGTGTCTCTTTCCACGAGCCAGTGCTTGCTGACCACCACCAGCAATGGATGAGTCGATTCTCTCGAGTTTATAACGACGAGCTCGAGAAACAAATGAGATTCGATGTGTTCAAGAAAAACTTAAAATACATTGAGAACTTTAATAAGAAGGGGAATAGAACCTACAAGCTTGGTGTCAACGAGTTCGCGGATTGGACAGAAGAGGAGTTCATTACCACACACACTGGTCTCAAGGGCATTAAAAGAATTTCACCCTCTGAGTTTGTCGATGAAATGATACCGTCTTGGAATTGGAACGTCAGTAATGTCGCTCGTGAGACCAAAGATTGGAGATACGAAGGAGCCGTAACACCTGTTAAATACCAAGGCCAATGCGGTAATAAAGCTTTCTAGAATTATACATTACATATTATGGTCTCTACATGTATCATTTACCGCATTTTGATTCAATATGCACAACAAAACTGCTGGATAACTACATGATCTCAACATTCGACATAAGAAACTTAAACACCAAGTTAGGGTTAGCCTAAGCTAGGTTTAAGGTTATAAGACTAGGAGAGACTCGTTTATTATCGGGGAAAAAAAAACACTAATGAAAATGTATGCATGGATGTATTAATGAGCAGGATGTTGTTGGGCGTTCTCAGCCGTCGCAGCGGTGGAAGGTGTGACTAAGATTGCACGAGGCAACCTCGTATCATTATCTGAACAACAACTTGTAGATTGCGACAGAGTGGATAAGGGTTGTGGAGGCGGGATGATGTCAGACGCTTTCGACTACATTATCCAAAATCGAGGCATTGCTTCAGAGCAAGCGTACCCTTACCAAGCGACAGAGAGAAGATGCCAGTTCAATGCGAGACCCGCTGCATCGATCAGAGGCTTCCAGACCGTTCCAACCAACAACGAGCGCGCATTGCTCGAAGCTGTATCGAGACAGCCTGTCTCGGTGTCCATTGACGCAGATGGACCCGGTTTCATGCATTACTCAGGTGGAGTGTACGATGAGCCATACTGTGGGACAAGCGTGAACCATGCAGTGACGTTCGTTGGGTACGGGACGAGCCCGGAAGGGATCAAGTATTGGCTGGCTAAGAACTCTTGGGGTGAGAGTTGGGGAGAGAATGGTTACATTAGGATCCGTAGAGATGTGGAGTGGCCTCAAGGCATGTGTGGTGTGGCTCAGTATGCATTTTATCCGGTTGCATAACTAACTGGGAGATGACTTACTATTAAAGTTATATAAGTTAATTAATATATATACACAACATTATAAACAACAACAAAAATGTGATATTATTATATATTTTGGTTTATGAATTGTTTAGGTGTGGTCTAAGTCTGCATTGCAATGCTTAACCTATATACTGTATAAAAATGTTCATTATATAATATAATTTCTATTACGTATAGACTATATAGTTGTTATTACTTGTAAGACATATGTAATGGGGGATATATTATATATATATATATTTTTCTCGTTTAAATTGTTACAGAACTGTTTATTTGATTTTGTGTTTTCCATGTCACCATTTATCAAAAAAACTTAAAAAAAAAAAAAAAATCTTTCAATATATGAACTTTGTACTTCCCTAGTATGGAGACGGTGGCAACAGTAACAACTAGTGAGAAATTGATCGATCACGTGTTTGGGACACCTACTATTGAAAGTAGCTGAGTTGCTTTTGTATTTATGTATTATTATGTAGTAGCTTAAGGACAAGAATATCTGTGAGGATAATTGCGCAGCTGAGCTCTTTTTTTCTTGTTCTTCTTTTAGGCTTAAAAAGGTCTCTTTTTCTTGTTACTTGATTTATTTTTCTTAAAAAGAAACGTTATATAACGGCTTATAAAGTAGCAAAAAATATCATCTTATCATTCGCAAGGAAAAGTTTGTTAGCGTGTCGGGATCCCCAACAATCTGTTAAATTTCACTATACGATAAGCTGAATTTTGTTTTTGTGGTTTTGCTCTCCATAGATATATAGTGTCTCTTTCTCAAAGGTGTGTCAGAAGTCTGGTTGCATTTTTCATCAGTTTTCAGTTTTCAGTTTAGGTAGGTCCTTTGAGATAAGGTTTTTCTTTACTTTTTTTTTGCTAAAAAGTTCAAGATGAGTTTGGACAATATGCGAGGGTTTTAATTATGGTGGAAATTTTTGATTTAATTATTTATCATTTTTCTTTGTGAAGATTGCTTTATCACGCTAATTTTCGATGTAATCTGTTACTCCCCTCCGTTTGTTTTATAATAAGTGTAACACATTTCACACAGATTAAGAAATTAATAAAATATATAAATATATCTTTAATTAATATATTTTTATAATATTTAATTATAAAGACTATTATCTTTAAATAAAGGATAAAACAGGAAATAAGAATAAAAAGTTACATTGAAAATACAGAATGACACTCTTTTTGAAACAAAAATTGAAATCTAAAACGACACTTATTATAAAACGGAGAGAGCATCTGTGTCCGTCTTTCTTTAAAATTCCTGCATATTTGAGTTTTCAAGAAGTCACTGGCCAGTTACTTTTAGATGCCAATAAAATAATATATGCTTATATCTTAGGACTCCAAAATAACGAATTGGACAACATACATTTCAGTTTTTGTCTCACATCGTCTAGGTAGTGAGAGGAGGAAGGTAGTGACGCGTGTATAAAACGGAAAGAGGGGCGTTCAGTAAAAGGCATGATCCTTCAGTAAAGTTATAAAGGGGAAATGAGGAATGGTAAAACTTCGCTAATGCAAGAAGAGCGTTCTGCCCAAAGCTACATTACAACAATTTGACGCTCTCATTTCTTACACCATCTGATCCCTCTCTTCCATAAGGACTTAATCTCATTTTAGTTTTTAATTTCTTCTTTTACTATAAGATTTGCACTTGAAAATGACTGTAAAAGCTTAATTAGTATTAGATAGTAACACTCTTAAGTCAAACTATGGAAGGTGTATTGAACGTCTAATGACACCAAGGGCAAGGACTTGGGTGATTAATAAAGTGAAATGAACGCAGAAAGGAGTTCAATGAATCATGCTTTCTCATTGTATCTTCTAGCGGATAACAAGAAGGAAAAAAAAAAACATATCAAACAAGATTACAGAGAAAGGTGAGTGAGGATAGGAAAAAAAAAACACTTAAGCTCGTTTGCCGCTGCTAGGGTTGGACTTGGGACAGAGATTCCAGCGTCCCTTGGCACGTCTGCGCTTTATGGTGGCTCTGCCACTTGTGGTTCTCATCCTCCTACGGAAACCGTGAGTCCTAGCCAGAGATTTTCTTGATCTGCTTCTCTTTGTTTGACACAGAGCAGCTTTTCCAGCTCTCACCACGAGTCCCCTGCGTTTCTGGCCATTCATCCCACTGGTTCCATTGCTGACATCAAACGCAATGGACAAACCTGAAAAAGACAGCGAAACAAATATGAACTTTATAGGTCAGGTAGTATCGAGATAGTTATTCTTTTGTTCCAATCTCCAAGTCTCGAGCAATACAAGAGACATTTATTTGATGTAGAGTTTCTAATAGACGAGTAAACAGAGTAAATGAAGTATATTTCTTAAGCATCGTCAGACACTTAAAAGATATGATTAAAGGATCAGGACAAGTTTTTCGACAGTTCAAAACAACTGCAAAATGTCATAAATCACATAATCAACGATGTAAACAGCCTTGATCTATATGAGAAACAGAGAAAGCCAACAAAACTAACTTGCTTCTTTGAATCTCAAAGAATTCAACAGAAGAAGCAAGCATACCACTAACATTAGAATCTAATTGTTTGATGTGCTAAATGCCAACTTGCCAAGATTTATGTACTGTATAGTAAACAACATTCCCTTTGCGGCTGCAACTACAGGAGCATTGAGCATAGTGGGTTTTCAGAAACTTCTTTATCATAACTTAAATGCTTAACTTGCAAGCTCAGATTTTTACAAGGCAATTTCAAAAAATGGATTCACCATGACAACTTTGTTTCACATTTCCCTAATTCTTCACAAAAGTTCGACCAAATCTCTTATAAATTGAAGCAAAAACCAAGAGTGATATAATCCACAAACCCAGTGACGACGCGAAAACCGAAAACCAAAACCAAAATTGAGGAGACTAACCAGAAAACGTAGAGGATAGGGAGAGAGAGGAAGAGAGAAAGGAGCAATGGAGCAGCTGAGAAGAAGCGGAGGCGGAGGTGGAAGAGCTGAGAGAGAATGGACTCCGATTCGAACCAGTGCGGAGAGAAAGCGAAGCGGAAGGACCACTGATCTTCCCGTTCGAAGCAGGATGCCATAGACGCGAGGAAGCCGAAGCTACAACGGAGGTGGATAAGGAAGCCATTGGATTTTTTTTGTTTTTCTTATCTCCTTCCCAGTTTTTTTTTCTTTCTTCGCTACCTTTACTTAAAAGAGGATAAATCCTCTACGGACGCTACCAGTGTAACCTTGGGCCAGAATATCCAATTAAAAGCCCATAAAGACAAATAGTAAGCCCGATAACTCTCTCTCATCATATGGCACAACCAAAAAAATGTGTGAACCGGTCTAGACTGTAGATTTTGGCCAGATATATTAAATCGGTCTAAAAAGGAAGGGAGTAGTAGAAACATCTCATACGGTTATTTGACCCAATTTTGCTTCATGTAAATTGTTCAAAACCAGCAATCTATCTATATAACAAGGAGCGAGATAAACCACAAATTGTTGGAACTAGAGAATATTTCTAAAAACAGGGTTTTATATTTGGATTTCTTCCCAATTTCATAAATAGTGTGTGTAGAGTGTAGATACAAAATAATGGATGTGAATAGATATTAGTTACAAAATAACCAAAAAAATAGTATAACCTACATTTGCCAAGTAATTCATTAAAGTATTAAAATGAAAATCACTTGAGATTATGAGGATGTTCAATCCGAAAAGATTTTAATTCAATGTCTGCTGCTTTTTGTTTGGTGTCTGACACTTGAGGTCTGTTTTCTTTGCAATATGCATCTCTCGGAGGTGCACAAAGGAGCTGAAAAACTTATCTTTCTAAAAAAACCTGTGTCAAGTCAAAAGTATTCTTTCTTAGTATCGCCACAAATCACTTTATTTGTGAAAGAATTTCGGATGTGTGTCTGTCGTAGAGCTTTTTCGATGTTATTTGTTGACTCCTTCACATGACATTCAGGTAGAATATGACATGTATTCAAGTCCTAAAATAATACCAGTCAGAGTCGTATCTAGAATAATAGAGGCCCTAAATGGTGGTCATAGAATTTAAGAGACTGTAAGTAATAAAAACAAAATAATTATGTAAAAATTGGTCATAAAATTTTTTGATCACTTGTCCAAAAAACGATTGTGAATCAAAAGAATTTCGGTATATTAGTCGATCTTGATGAGCGTTTAATTGACATCAATACTTTTATCATTCATTCAAATTTCTTAAACTATATAAAAAATTAATAAGTGAAAATATTGGCCCTCTTAAAATTTTATAAATTAACATCAAACACATGCTAAATGAATTTGTATCCAAACATACACACAAAACAATCTAATATATGAATATTGGTTTTGTTTATCCAAATTTCAATTTAATTATATTAAAAAACTAATCTATAAGTCTTTGTAGTAAATCAAATTTCGATTTGTTAGATAAAAATTTCAATAAGTCTTCAATGTTTGACAGATGTATTTTATAAACCATTTTTTTTTTCTTTATGTAATTTTCGTCATATGGATTATGTTAACAAAATTTACTAAATATTAATTATTAGGAAAAAAAAAATAAGCATCATAAACTATTCAAATTCACTTTGATTAAATATACTCTCTATTCCATTAAACTAGACCAAAACTAACCTACTTATAAGATTTGAATAAGAACTAGTCAATCAATGAGTGGTTTCAAATTATAATTTAAAATATAGAAATTTTTCATTTACTTTGAAGAAATTTGGTCGTAGATTTTAATTGTATTTGGACACTGTAATTTTGTTTCGTTTGTTTTTTTTAGCTTGCTCGGTATAAAAAAAAAGCTAATTCTGTAAGATAATGTATGATTAAAAAGAAAAACGAGAAATACGATCATAATTACTACCAAATAACAAGATACACATTTTCTATATATCATTTTACAAAATGACCCCTAAATTAATTTAAATTCTATGGCTCCAAGCAAAAAAAAAAGCTTAATATGCTTCTAATAAATTTGTTGAAAAAAATTTTGTATAACAAAATATAAATTTACAAGCAATATTTATTAATTTTTTTAATATCTTAACCTAAGGTTGTTCAATATTTCATTTTCTATTTAAATGTTTTTCTGTATGAAAAAACAAAAATAAAACGCGATGTATAATATAGTTTTGTAAAAAAATAAGCTTTTAATAGTATATTTTATTAAAGTTGGGCCCTAGGCCAATGTTTCCTAATCCATAACATATAATCATCATGAGTCTCTCATCTTTTAAACATCTTCGACCACATGTAGAGAATAAAGAAGCAGAGGAGCGCGAAAAGAACCACGTGCATGATGTGGTTGTTGCCACTACGTATAATGCTCATGTTCAGTTTCCTTATGTTGTTCTTCACCCCGGCTTGTGCTCTCATCAATGTCACTTGCTGTCACAGACAAAAAAAAAAGAGACAAAAAACACCATTAAAGCTTTATGTTTCAGACAAGAACAGCATTTGGTCAATTTGTTTTTTTACAACCTGGAGTAATTCTGTACAACAGTACCTATTGACAGAAACACCGGTCTAATCTCATATAACCAAGCCTATGTGCTCCGTATTATCTTCTCTCAGTTATTCATTAGGTAACATAAGAAAAATTAGTACGAACTAAGAGCAATGATAAAATAAGACTATTTCCTGCCGCACCCACCAAATTACCCGAGATGGAAGATATCTGTTTCTGCTTACAAGTGTTCAGACCAGACCCTACGTATAAGTCGTAATCTAAACTGTGGATTAATCAAGATTCATTGGTTCGTAAGCTACAATGGAATTTATCTAACGTACGTAGGAAAGAAGCTGTAGTTTCCCAAATAATGAACACAACCATTTAAATCAAGTTAAAGAGAACCCATATTCGGATATGCTATATTTAATCAGTGATTCGCCTACAAATGCATGCTAAAGATCTAAATTTAAGGGACATCAACAGCATACCAGTTCATCTAAGAAGTCCCTCTGAAACTTGGCTTCTGACCCAATTTCTTGAGCAATCTGCATCAAAATAAGCGAATAAATGGAAAAATAGTGTACACATTGAAGTCATGAGAGATATATTACGTGCAAAAGATAAGGTATAACACAAGGAGTTGTAGAGAATGTCCACTGCATCCTTTCAAGCATAGTATAAGACAATAAGCAATGACGGCATATAAAAGATAATGAACCAGTGATTTCAATCCGCTAAGTCAGCTAATTTATCACAGATTCACTGATGAGTAAAAAACATATACATTATTACAGTGCCCTCAACTAAAAACACCTACAAAACTAATTCACAAAGTCCCTAAACTTTGAAACAAGCAACAAAAAAATTCAAGACAATTGCAAAACCAAAAAAAGCTGTAATCGAAACAGGAACAGAGTGTCGTTTGCAATAACTCGTCACTGATCTTCATCCACCTAGTCACTCATCAACTAGCCATAACAATAGCTAAGAGAGAAACAAAAAAAGACAAGTTTCCCAATTTCATATGATCAACTTAATCTACAAACATAAATCATCAGAATCATTGAGCAATCAGCAAAAGAGAGAGAGAGAGAGAAAGAAATTGGGGAATTTAGAGAGTTCTCACATTTTTCAACTGCCTGACTTGGCCATGAAGACCTGTGATCTCTTCATCAAGGTCAGAGTGCATCGGATCAATCCGTAGCTGGATTTCCTCTGAACCTGTAGCATTTCTAGTGCTAAGCCCATCTCTGCAACCAAAACACCAACATCCATTATTGGACTCTGCTCAAGGAAATACAAATCTAGGAACCATAAATCTCTAGTTTTTTTTCATTATTCAGATGATCCGAGGAAGAAGTCAGAATCAATTTCAGAAAAAAAGGAGAAATTGATAATATAAATTGTACCTAGATCTGTACGGAGCGGCGCCGCCATAAAGGGAACCACCCGCAACGCCTCTGTGAGGATTCGATGCCATCGACGCAAAATCAAAGGAGAAGAAATTTTAAAAAACCCTAAAAATTGGATCTGCTGAGGTTTGAAGAATCGAGATGGTGTTCTCTCAGAAAAAAAAAGAAAATTGAGAAGAGAAATTGGAATCAAAAGGAAACAACAACAATTTCAGGCAATCAGAGAAAATTCGAGAAAAGAAAAAACAAACGAAAGTGGAGAAAGAAAAAATCCGTTGCGATGATGACGGTGAAAACGAGCTCGCGGGTTTTGTTCGGTTCAATGAATAAAGACCCGTCAAGACACACGTGGCGTTGTATTATTGGTTGGTTATCATCATGCTTTCAAGTTTATGAAGACGATGGGCTCTGTTGGAAAAACAATAATAAAGAAGGGCAGTTTTGCAATATTCGTTACTAAATCTCTTTAAGTTTATGGGCTTCTTAAAACGGGCTGCTTCCAAACCGATCAGGTTTAAGTGTGACACACAGTGAGTAAGAAGACTATGACACGCTTCACTAGTTGATGACTAAAGTCTAAAAATATGCTTCTTGACACACAAAAAACCTAAAATATTTTAAATGTCAGCTATTTTAATATTTTAAGTTTCAATTACTTATATATAAAATTTTATCGTTAAACTTCGAAACGAACATGGTTTTAGGTCATGTACCAACGAAAACAAAATAACACACAATACTCTGAAGTGTAATGAATTTTACCGAGGACACCGAAAAAAACAATAATTCTCTTTGTCATTAACAAATAAAACCTCTCATATGACCAGTATATCAGTTTTGGTTTTACATAGTTAGTTACAATATGTTAATTTTGACGTTAAAATGACATGAGAGATATATATAGATTGTAGTAGCTTAATAATCACTTAAAATGATCTTGTATTATTGTTTTTGTGATGGTTGTGTTTGTCTGACTTGTGTCTAGTTGTCTTTGAAGTAGTTTTGCTTTGTCGTAGAATCAAAGAGGTAATTTGGCAAAAAAAAAATAAAAAAAAAAATCAAAGAGGTGCCAAAAGAATTTTGATTTCAGGACAAAAACGAAAATTTCTAGTCCTAAATCGAATTATTTTAAAGTTAATTGGAATTCTTACAAAAAAAAGTAATAATATATATATAGAAAATTTTATATATATGAACCGTATAATATTATATACATATATAGGTATATATCTTCTTTTGTTTTTACAAGAATCTGCCTTTATTTTCTGTCTGTACGTAGACATGGTCTAAATTCTCTGCAAGATGGGCATATAATCCATTTGTAGTTATCTAACAAATGGTTTTAAACTTCTTAAGTCTTGTTCCATCATACATTTGTCCTGTCTATTTTAGATCTCCTCTGACATCAACTATATAATACGGTTCATGTTTGCATTCGCCGGCCTATCTATTGGTCAAATGTTTGACCTTTGTACGTTGTCTGTGTCTTTCTCTTGTTTTCTGAAAGCAGAACTTTCTTTTTCTCTGAAAACAGAATTACTATACCCATAAATATACTCTTTTAATACGTTAAAAAAATTATTTAACAAAAAATGGAGCGTACATACATGGAAACTTTCAAAAAGCAAGAGGAGAAATTGGTTTTGTTAAAAAAAAAAAAGAAAAAAAAGAGGAGAAACTGATTTGCTAATAATTCGAAAACAGAGCAAAGGGAAAAATTCAAGCTCGTATATTTTCAAATCACATGCACATGGTTTGTTTAATCACTGATGCAAAGGTTGTCGAACGGATCGGATGTGCATCTATTTCAAATGCATTTCTCAATTATTAGGGAAGTTTACACTGATTGATAATATATAATAAATTAATTTTTCTTTCCCCCCTGCAAATTATAGATTGATGGTAGGATTAGAAGATAAACAAGATCAGTAAGTCCACATTTTCACCTCTGCATTTTATCACTTTTTTTTCCATTTTCTTAAAATACAAAATCGTCTTGAGCAAATAAATATTTGTATCGGTTTCTTTGTTATTCAGCCGAATCTAAACGGAGTGCAGCAAAAGAAAGTTCAAATACGATACGAAAGTCTTATAAATTCGGGATTAATTGGAAGTAAGATTAAGTAAACAAAAACAAAATAGAGTCAATATCTTGTAAAATCGACCGACAGGTCATATATGGAGTCACAGTTACGTAACAAAAGACATACATTATCATATGTTGATGTATTATAAGTTGGTTGTCGACAAAAAGAAAGAAAGTTGTATTGTAAGTTGGTTAATAAATCCCACCACATAGTTCCACTACTTCACAAATCACAACTTGGTTGACTTTTCGTTTTTCCATTCGATTTGTCATCATTATCTCCCAATATTTAGTCCACAAAGTCGTATATAAAATCCCAAAGATATCAAATCTATACAAACAAACATTATAATACTTTTCATGAACTATATAGACGTCATAACAAAAGAGCTTCCATTTCTTGATTCCTAGAAACTTATTGTATTTCAAACATAAATTATTTTTAAAGTAAAATATTCCATACTATACCGAAATAATTGATCGTTTGAAGGAATAATGAACTGTGGAATCAAACTTGTTCCATATCTATTAATTAATTATTTTTTCCTGTTTTATAAAAAGAGTCATTTTTAGGTTTTATTTTTATTTCATAAAAAATTCATTTTATTTTCTCAGTGCAGAATTCAGTTTTAACTTTATAATTTTAGTGTATTAAATAATAAAAAAAATCTTTAGTATATTTATTAGGGATATATTAGAACTTTAATAGATTTGATAGTTATGTGTAAAAAACACTAAAATAAAAAGAGAGACATAGAGTATACTATATTTTTGCTACAAAAATCGCACTTAATATAGCATAATTACCAATATCATTTCACAATAATTATCAAGTATTTGTATGTAGAAAGACATATCTTATATAATTGACGAAGATGTTTAGCACAGCCATTAATTAAATCTGAAATCACAAGGAATCTTTTCTACATGACTATCCTTCTACAATTATGCAAAGTAGTAGTCATATATCATTTATTTAAAAGATGAGATTGCTGTCATATTTATACGTATTTATAATATAAATTATGTCACTTGAATCGAAAGCTGTTTCTCCAGAGTGTGGTGACTGTCGATGATAGGTCTCGGAAGCTTAAGAACACACGAGTTTCCAACAATTTATTCGCTATCAACTCCATTAACAATGATGTGTTAAATACACAAGAAAAAAAAATAAACTACAGTTGTCAATTCTACAACTATTATACAAAAACTACTGAATAACAATCCTTTAATTTAGGAAAAAACGTAAGACCACATATTTTCTTCCTTCTGACTTGATCGTTGTTGCTTCTCTTTTAACTGATTTACTTCGTTTGTGTTCATCAGTCGATTGCAGTGTAAGAACATTCATATAAATTCTGCAATATTGGCTCTTTAATTTTAATATGTAATGCAAAAATAGATCCTTGACCTATACGCAACCGTTAAATTACTATCATTTGCGCATCTCCGATGAAAAGCAACCACTTCATCCAATTATATGTGTATTGTTTTTATAAGAAAATATCAAAACGTTAACTAGAGAATCCATAAAAAAAAAAAAAAAAAAGATGTATTAGTGGATACGGAACTTGGGTTAGCATTGCTGGAAGCAACGTTGGCCACCAAACATAAACCCACTCATTGGAGCAACGTGTGTGGACCCAATAAAAGAGCATCGTGGGGTCTATACGACCCATCCAATTTTTATGTATTTTATAGTTGACCAAAATGTTATGCATCCATGTCGAATTGTTTGGCTTTATACATTTGTATATATATGATTCAGCTGCCTCGATTACAGGGATATAGTATTCACCATATTTCTAAGTTATAACATATTTTGCGATTTGTAATTCACCATAGTAAGTTGATAACCACTCCAAGTCTTCCAAAATCTAACAAAACTCAATGATTCACGTACGATGTCGTTGGTTTCCAGTATATGTATAATGTATTACATATGTGTTACTCAAACCTCTTAATAACATTGAACCACATAGGTTTCTTTTGTCCTTTATATATATAATCTATGAAGTCTCACGAGAGCCGCCGTCCGTGACACAGAGAGAGACGACAATAGTACGAACTCTAATTCTTATAAATCTTTTTTGGGAACTAAATAGTCAAATCACTTTGTAATAGAATAACGTAGACAAAAGAAATAAATTACAATTTATCCAAAAACATCCCTGCGTGTCAACTTTTGCAGACGCTTCCTTTGAAGATTCCTTCACAAATCACAATCTCTCGTTAACAAATCGATAACGATGGGTTTTCTTTTGGGAAAGTTGTTGTTTGAAATTTTTAGATGAAGATGTTTGTATCTATGACTTGTGACATCCCCAGAGATACTTTTTCACAATTATAAAAGTTGAAAACATTGCGTGAGGATGACAGTCGATATTATTAGGCAATATATTATAGGGTAATATTATATGATTGTTCACAGGGGAATGATTGGTTGGTAGGTGTTTATGTTTGCTTGACAGCGAAGAAAGCTATATATGTATATATGGTGTTATTTTTTGTTGTTTAATTTGTTGAAAAAACATAATGATTTATGAACTCAGGAAGAGATGAATGTTATGTAAACAAAGTCAATCAAATTATCATATGACAATATGAAGACTGATCAGTAGTTTTAAAATATATTATCAGTTAAAGAATATAGAATCCTCTATAATGCATGGGGGGTTTTGATTCTTTTCAAAAGGTGTTCAATTTGCATTGATTTAAGTATCATTTTTCTGTTCATCTTATTTATTTTTTATGTCTACATTCTAGACACGACTTAAGATTATCTCTTTTCCCTTTTTTTTATAACAAGGGTTTTAATATTAAGAGTATTTCTACCAGTACAGCGTACCGAAAATGATTTTTATAACAGTGATATATATATATATCAACTTTCTTCCCTTATTTTAGTTAAGATGATTTCTTCTTATGTACATGTAAAGTCTCGTGAAATACTACTCCTAATTCGCCATACTGAAGACACTATCAAAAATTAGAATTTATAGTTTGTTTTTGGCTTATAATAACTGTATTTTCAAAAATTTAAACAAATAAATATTATAAACAGTCAATATTACCTGTATTGTACTGTCCAAATAATGTTGGATGTTTTTGACACAAAATAAAATAATTAATATGACCACAACAGATGGCTTCAAAGCATGTGAAGATTGATGAAAAATGATTCCCGTGACCTGCACTGCATATGAAAGGAATGTCCACGAAAACCTTTTCTTCGTTCGTGGAACCGTGCCTCAAAAAAAAAAAAAAAACTCTCCATTTCATTATATACAAAATTATACTTAAAACTGCAGACAATTAAAATATTTTTTTCTTTCAAAATATCATTTAATTTATAAATTAAAAAAATGAATTAATCATAAAAATTGCAAAATATAAGTGTGTCACACTGTATCCAGTGAGTATACAACTGTGAAAACAGTGAGAATATTACTCATTTCGGTAAATGTACTTGTGATTTCGTCAGACTGATATAGTTCTTCTTTTTTTTTTAGAAAAAGGAAAACAAAACACTTTAAAAATTGTTGGAATTTTTCTGTACTTAATGGTGTAAAAAAGTTGCATTAAACAACTAGAGAAAATTATAATATTACTAGATATTGGCTAAAAAGATGTATAAAAAAATTTAGATTCCCTAGAAAGACCAAGCCTGCTCCACTTTCCACTCATGAGTCTTCCCCATATCCTTCCATGATCTTTCTCTCTGCCATATACATACATACACCCACACATGTATGATGATGTATTATGCATATATGTACACTCCCCAACATACGTGTTTTCTTCATGTGACTTGTGAACCCACGACGGTGAAAACTCATCTTTTGTCTTCTACTCTCAAAAGTGATTCTGGTTAATAAAGACTAAATTATAACAGAATCGAACCAAAAGCTTGTCATGAACTGTCTACGCCGATTTAACAAATGGACTGTCGATGCAGACTATCAGATCCTAATTATTTTTTCTATAACATTTTAATATGAATAACTATCACCAGCTAAAGAAAGTTAGCGCACTTTGCTGCCTCAGTTGTTCATTAGTATTAAAAGTTTGATATATACATTTTTGTATCTGTTAATTTAATATTACCACATATAGATGCATAGTATGTACCTAATTTGCTTTATATTTTACTTTGCATTCTTCTCATATTAAGTATAATTTATAGCGCCGAATTAAGGCTGAAATTAATCATTGAGATGGACTTAACATCTCTGAGATATTAATATATTGTCATTTCAAACAAAAAAAAAAAGAAGATTAAATTTTGTTGCTAAACAACATTATATAATTTTTATAACAGATATTCCATCAATTATTATGCAATAAGCAGTATTATGAAGACCCACAGAAGCTGATCGTAGCAAGTTGTGTTTTGAAGCTTCCTAGGAATCTGTTTTCACAACAAAAATAAAAAATGCCAAGCACTTTATTTTTATTGTTATTATCATGTGTTCTCTTCGTCGCCTAATTACCCCTGCAAAAAAACATGTCTTAAGACGTATATATTCAGCTATTTGTTGTTTTGGACACATTATTGGATAAAAGCTCAAAATCGAATATAGATAAATTTACCCAAAAACTAAGTTTGTGGAACATCGAGTTTACAATCGGATCCCAAAGTGTTTACTAATTACGCCAAAACATATTAAATGAACTGAAAGAAAGCAAAAATATCTACATCGTAGATGCATAAGTCTAGGCTTCTAGCTACCAAATTAAGGCTCTAATATTATAAGTTGTTTGACCCTAAAAAAATCTCATATTTGAAGATTGCCTCTGTTATTGAATCTAATTATAAGGCCAATACCTTACATTTATACAAGAGTTTTCTATACACAAATTAACATATTTTTTACATTTAATATTAAAAAAATATCCGAATTTCACCAAAACATCCAATTAAAACTTTGAGTAAATAGGCATTTGACAAAGAGTTTACCACGAATAAAGCGTTCAGACCGAAGCTGTAAAATTGAATATAAGATTGTAACGAGTTTACGTCCTTAATTAGCATTAGAGCCGAGATCACCGTGCTCGCGAGGCAGGGTTTTAATTTGACAGAATCGTGTACATAAGTAAAAGTTAGATTATTAATCAAAGCACATTAAGGAACATGTACATATAACATTTTATCGTAATAATATATCTATCTGTATACGTACACAAATATGTGTATAAAAGCTTGAACCCATCAACAAGCTTCTTCACAGAAAACCCAAAACCTTAGATAATTGTTTACTCTAAAAAGATGGGTTTTAACCTCATCATCTCTCTCCTTCTTTTTCTTCCACTTCTAACAGTCACAATCTTGTCGGGAGCCGAGCAGGCTTTGGCTTCCGACAACACACTCCTCGTGAACAGCCACCACCACCACAACAGCACGGCAGTTTCCGGCAATGGTGGGATGTCGTCACTGAGAGGGAAGAAGCAGAGGAGGTCTTCAAGTTGTAACTTGTTCCAAGGCCGATGGGTGTTCGATGCTTCGTATCCTTTCTATGGTTCGTCCACGTGTCCTTTCATCGACGGCGAGTTTGACTGTCTCAAGTTCGGTCGACCTGACAAACAGTTCCTCAAGTACTCTTGGCAACCTGAATCTTGCTCCATCCCAAGGTTTCTACTTAATTTTACACTGATTTTTGCTAAATACTTAATTATTCACTTTTTTTTGTAAGAAAAAGGGTTACTTAATTATATACTTACCTCGAAGTTTTTTTTAATATAATAGTAAAATTGAGCTAAAACAGTTTATTTAACATCATTTAGCAAAAAAAAAACAAGAATTTGACTGGAGGGTATTTCGAAAATCTCATTACATGCATTACTTAGCAAAGTTATATTTTTAAAATAAGCATTTTCCTATATACAATATACATTGTATAATTAGTAGGAGTTGGTGTTGATATATATAATAATCTATTTACTAATGAGAAGGATTTTTTTTTTTATAAATAGTATAACAAAAGTGACTAAGTGGGTTTGTTTGTTGGTGTTGCTAGTGTTATCTATGTAACAATAGTGTAAAGTGATATCAAGTTGTGATAAATCAAGTAAAAGTGTAAACGCTTGATAATGATTATGTGTGTTAATTACGTAATTAGGTTCGACGGTGCGGCGTTTCTGAGGAAATGGAGAGGGAAGCGAGTCATGTTCGTGGGAGACTCACTGAGTCTGAACATGTGGGAATCATTGGGATGTATGATACATGCGTCGGTACCAAACGCCAAGACCACTTTTCTCAAGCGTACCCCACTCTCTACACTCACTTTCCAGGTCTCTTTTCTTTTTCTTCATAAAATTATAAGATTATGTTCTTTGGATAAATACAAAATCTAATTATCAATCCTCACGAGGAATAGTTGTCATTAACGAAAATGATTTCGCTGTCATTAATACTGAATGCTTGCTTATTAGTCACGGACTATATTATATATTTCGTCTTTAGAAAGGAATTGAAAAAAGCTGTTTGGTGCTAATAATGTTTATTATCATATTGTTGTTAGTGTTCCATCACATCCACTTGCTTGATATCCTTTTTTCATTTTTTTTTTTTTTATTCTATCTACTATTTATGAGAAAAGTGACACATACCGGATTACATAAGTATATAAGATATACGATAGAAACACATACATTTTTGAAGAAAAAATATATATTTGTTTTCATTCATTCGAAGAAAGCCAATTTTTATATTTACCCGAATTGTGCAAAGTTCTTTATCATTCATCAATTGCGAAACTGAAAACAACATGAAATGACATGTCAACTTCACTTGATGTGGAAGAAAAGAAAGCTATGCACCTCCAAACCTTTTTCTTTTTATTTGCTTAAATAAAATTAATTTTGAACTATTTTTTTACCACCGTGCTATGAAAATATTGTCTCTTTCCTTCTCTTTTTCCTAATACTATTTTCAATAATTCGAAACCAATTATACTCTACCATAAATAACGATAAAAACAAATAAAAAAGGACATAATACGTAAAGGAAGTACACAAACAACTCCAACAGTCCAACTTGCTCTCCCTGTCTACTTTCTACTATTCTTTTTGTTCTCTTCTTTAACCTTTTCTTTCATTTAATAATTTTCTTCTTTTTAATGGAAATAGATATTTCAAAAATATTCTTATAAGATCCCTGAATCTGAAATATATTTTTTTTGTTGTGTACAAAACAGGAATATGGAGTGACGTTGTATCTATATAGAACACCATACATAGTGGATATATCCAAAGAGAAAGTAGGGCGTGTGCTTAACCTTGGAGCCATTGATGGAGGTGCTAATTTATGGAAAAACATGGACGTTCTTGTCTTCAATTCTTGGCATTGGTGGACTCATAAAGGCCAATCTCAAGGGTCCGTAACATTGATGAACCAAATCTTTAATCTAAACTTCCTAACTTAATGTTGATAATCTTTTTTTTCTTGTTGCTTGATTTGAATATATTTAGGTGGGATTATATTAGAGATGGGTCGTCTTTGGTGAGAGACATGAACCGTCTTGACGCTTTCTATAAAGGACTTACTACTTGGGCTCGATGGGTTGATCAAAACGTTGATACCTCCAGAACCAAAGTGTTCTTCCAAGGCATTTCTCCCACTCACTACGAGTAAGTCCATCTAACTTGCGGTTGATTCAAACGTCAGCTCTGTATGTTGCAAGTGTAAGAATATAAAATATTTGTTTCAAACACTAAAGATCAAACAAGAATTGAGATGCTCATTATTTATTGTTTGAGAAGATAGCTTTCAAAACACAAACCTATATCAATTTATGTCTTTTTTGTGGGTGGCAGGGGAAGGGAATGGAACGAGCCGAGGAAGAGTTGTAATGGTCAAGCGCAGCCTTTGAGTGGATCAAATTACCCAAGTGGTCAGCCTCCATCTGCAGGAGTTGTGTCCAAAGTGTTGAATGCGATGAGGAAGCCTGTCTTCTTGCTCGATATCACTACTTTGTCTCAGTTGAGAAAAGATGCCCATCCTTCTATTTATGGTGGCGATGGAGGAACAGATTGTAGCCATTGGTGCCTCCCAGGGTTGCCTGATACTTGGAACCAGCTTCTCTACGCAGCTCTTTCGATGTGACGCGCGTGCAAGAAATCTCTATAAAGAAAAAGTGCAAAACACCTTTATTCTGTAAATTACATTCTTGGAGGTGCAAAGAATCTGACAGATTTACTTTTGGGGAATTCAGTGAAGACTACAAGCATACAGAAGATGGATCGTAAAGAGCACCTTTTATATTCTTTTCGTGTGGGGAAACAATAATCTTAAAATTCGTCTAGTGTTGTGTGATGCAATAGAAATAGATTAATAACAAAGGAGACATTCTCAGCATAATAATACATCAGTTTGGTAATTCCTTGTTTAAATTGATTTGAGAGGAAAGCTCTTCTGTAAATTTCTATTGAAAACAGGTTGAATCACACTAGGAAGCAAGTATTTTGACAAACTCATAAACAACACAAAGCGAATTGCGACTTTAAATGTAGTTGAATCTAATAGGATTAAAGAAGATCAATGTAGCATGAACATGACTACATGACAGTAACAAAGATCAATGTAAACATGAACATCACTGTTCTGGGTAAGGTAAAAAGGCTGAATCTTTCCGGTTTCTTTCTTCATTACTCCATAGAACATGATTACATTACTAACAGTACATCACAAACCAGAGTTCTATGGAGTAATGAAGAAAGAAACCGGAAAGATTCGGCCTTTTTACCTTACCCAAAACAGTGATTGCGACTCTTAGTTTCTGAGAGATGAATTGTACAAGAAAAAGCATCATTTACATTCCTATCTTCATCAAGAATCACAACACGAAGAAAAAACTTGACCTTGAAGAACCCTAGATTACATTCATTTCCGATACTCGTCTGATTCAAGGGAAAATATCGAAAATTCAATTGAAAATCACCTTAATTTCCTGATGGGGTTTGTGTTCCTCCAGGGAATTTGAAACCTTTTTTCACGAGCATTTGCACGTAGCTAATCTTCTCAACCTCTCTGTCTTCTTCCTCTGCGTTCCTCGAATTCATAACTATGGCTTTCACAACATCCCTCAAAGGAATTTTCAGTTTCTTCGCTGGTGATTCCATCCTCTCATCTCGAGGCTTCCCTGAAGATGACGATCGTCGATCGGAAAACAACAGGTTACCTGATTTCTCCAAAGAAATTGAACCACTTTCTTCATCTTCCACAGGAACCGTCCGATCTGCTGCTACCTCCTCTAAATCAACGGTATCCGCGCTTTCCGGCGGAGAGACGAATCGAATCGCATGACTCTCCACCAAATCCTCGCCGTCACCGATTATACTATCCGTCTCAGAATCATCGGAAGCTCGGTGAGGTGAGACTCCGTCGTTTAACGGTGGCGAGACTCCGACGGAGGGATCGGAATCTGGAGGAACACCACCTCGTCGTGCAAAGCCGCAGCTCCGTAGAAAAGCTTCCTGAGACGCAGTTTCATGGCAGTTTTCGAAAATCGAATTAAGTTTCTTATTCCCTTTCATTGTCTCTGCAAATTCGTCTTTCACAGATTTGGTTTCTCACTTAAAGACTTAAAGTTAGAGAACTCTCAGGGTTTATGGAGGGAAATTTTTGCCGCTCAATTTAGGTCGATGATTATCGATTATTGCGACTCACAGTTCGAGGCGGTCTGCCGCAAACGCGCTTATTCCTTGAACGCACCAAACGTTTCAGGCATTTAATGAGTCCAAGACTGTCTAAAATACATTCTCGTAAGACGAGGGAGAATCAAACCCCTGTTTAAGGGCATCTCCATCGGAGGAGGATGACTCCAGTCTCTTAGGTGGGCCCGGTGATATTTCTTGGATTTAAAATATTTGAAAAATGCTTAAATCCATTCATCCCGTATCTTTCCAGTCATACTTTTAGAACCTGTATCATAAGATTATCGTCGGCTACGTGGCAGCTTCTGATTCCTTGTTAGTAAAATGTGGGAAAAATCTGTTTTTCACCGACGATTTGGTTCACTGCTGGCAATAATCTTCCACAGCAAATCGGAGACACGGTGGCTGGAGATCTTCAAATCTATGGCTCGAGAAATTGCTTTCTGGTGAGAGTGGAATCAGTTTGATTGATCGATTTGAGGCCTCCAAGTGTCTGAATCTCTTAGTTTTGGATTGATTCTGAAAAAGGTTTGAATACTCTTTACAATTTTGGATTATTTGTATCTGTTGACTCTCTGGCTCACTGATTCACATATTTTTAATTGATCAACTGGAGAAAGTGGATGTGAAGGATGTGGCTGCGGAGATTGGGGTCAATCCTGATGCTTTGAGTGCCAAATTTATGGTAACGCGTTAAACTCTCATATACCTGGTTAAAACCTTTGTGTTCTCATTGTGGGTTTCTGTATATTGATTTCGAAGTTTTGAACTATAGGATGGAGACTTGTTGCCTGATTTACTATATTGGCTTGTGTAATTCTTCTCACAACTTCGTGAGGAAAGGGAACAAATCTTTGTTGGCTCTTGTTGTGTTCTCTGCAGCTCTTAATTTTGTTGCGATATCAGAGGCGCTGCAGATTTCTCCATATGTTATAGCAGCTGGTGTGGCTGTGGACAAGTAATGTTCTTTTGTTATGAGTTAATTTGGCTTGACTAATAGTACCTTCACATTAATCGCAGGTTCGTGTATTAGAAGTTCCTGGTGTCTCAATGGAACTTTGTGGTGGCACTCATGTTGGCAATACTGCAGAAATACTAGCCTTCAATATAATATCGGAACAGGGGATTGCATTTGGAATCAGGCGTATCGAAGCGGTTGCAGGTGAAGCATTTTTTTGAATACATAAACTCACGGGATTCTCAAATGAAACGTCGATGCTCAACTCTCAAGGTATTCTGCTTTTAGAGTGTTTTCTTTTCCATGTTTGAAGATGTGTGTAACTGACAAAAAAACAAGCTACCTAGATAGATAAAAAAAATGCCTCCATCGTATAACATAATTTAAGGTAGTTGTTGTTACTTTTGCCATAACCTCTTGTTATTTGATTTAATCTGAAGGTGAAAGTAGAGGATGTTACTAACAGAGTGGATAATCTTCTAGAGGAACTGCGTGCTGCTAGAAAACAAGCATGGAAAATGGTTAACACATTGGATTTGCTTGATGGGTCTATAACATATTAGCATTCACGTGCATTTGATAGTTGTTTTAATCTTTCTCTGTTTTTATATCTCTTTCTCTGTTTAGCTACGTGGCTGATGATTGCAGGTCGTTTTCGTGGAGCTTTTTCCAAGTCGATTTTCTGTTCTCACACCTCAGGCTTTGAAGGTTTGCTTCTCAGGTTTGAAGTTGTCATATTGTGTCTGATTTTGTTAACGTGATCTGTTTGTTCTGAAACTAACAATGTGTAACTTAAAAACATGTATCTGCAGATACATTGCTTTGATGCTACAAGATTGAAAAAGGAAGACATGATTGTCACTAACTCCATCACGTATTGCTCCTTGGGTGTTGGATATGGTCAAAGAAAGCTTGTAAATAATGAAGAAGGCATTGCAGAGGAAAAGAATGACAGTGTAAACTCTTTTCTTTTTTTCCTTACATACTTTTATCTTCATTTGTTATCAAGTTAGTTTGTAAAGAAAAAAGTGATGGGGTTCAGGGTTGGATTAAAAAAAAGTTATGAGGTTCTTAACTATTCAGATATCAAAAATTATTAATTAAATATTCTCAAGAATGAGGTTCAGGGATGGAGATGGCCTAAGCTGAGATTACGATATTGATGATGCAATTCTACAAAACCAAATTGGCTTCTGAAATCAAAATATACAACTAGTCAAAAACGCAAGAACAAGAGGCTAGTAGCCAACGTAAACCGCGACGTTCACTATGTAACAATCTTCGTTTTTATCACCCATTTCCTCTACTAAAACGCCGCTTGAGCAAATCAGTCCTCCATCCACCACCTCCACATTAACAATCTTCCCACTTCAAAGAAAAGCAACGAATGATTGTGAAAACGTAGTAGATAAATCTTAACTCCAAGATTAAGTAAACACAAGAAAAAGATTTGGTGAGAGAAGTTGTCGAACAGACACTATATTAAGACCATGTAAGAAATGATCTGCAAGTTTTGAACAATCCCAATCCAACCTCAAATTTCCCAAAACATATCTGTAAGTTGTACCTAGTCGAAAGCAAACTTTTGAACTCCAATTTCCAACAAAAGTACTTGGAACAAAGAACTAAAGTTTCCTTGTGAAAAGACAACAACTTTGTTCAGAACTCATGATAGAGGTGAGTTTAGAAAACTTACTATGGGAAGATAGATTTAACCTTCTCGAGATCCAGCTGCTGGTGAAGAGAATGAGGCACTCCAAGCTTTATCTGCAACTTCATTTCTCCAAATGAAACTCCAGGAATCGAACCTTTCAACACATTCAATTCCCACCAGGTCTCGGATTAAACCCAACACACACAGAGACAAAAATTCACTATTTTCAAAGAAAAGTGTTGAAATTGCCAGAAAATTCACTTTCATTGTTGAGCAAAGACTAGTATAGATAGTTTCAGAAATCAGAACTATACTAATTGATAAGCAGGAGAATATGGTACCTCTTCTAAATGCAGGAATCGAATTCGAAGAAATTGCATTCTTACAAGCCTTCATCGCCGCAGATGTCACGTCTTGCCTGTTTCGATTTCAAGTTTTTGAAGATTCAAAATCTCACATCAGTATCAATCAAAACGCGAATTTCGAGAGTAGAAAAACTGAAATCGCAAACGTATAGTTGACCCGTACCCGTGCTGATCGTAACCCACGCCCATCTCAACGAACAGTAGCTTCATCGTAGCGTTGGGAACACCGCCGGAAATTGTCTCCGCCGTCGTCTCCATGGCGCCTCTCGCGGTGATTTTGATCGGCTGTGAGATCTGAGAAAACTGGTGGAGAGAGGACGGTTTACTGCGGGAAGAGAGACAAAGTGGCCGCGACGTGGAGATTCTCAAATACGACGGAGATTGACGGAGACGAAGATCGGGGCAGATAAGTATCGAACCAGAAATCAACGAAAGAGTCATTTGAAATTCAATTAGTTTCTGACTTTCTCAATAGCAAATTTTGGGGTCAAATTCGAAAGAAACAATAAGTAAGTGTGTCGTTTTCTCAAAGCTCAAATATCAAAGAAACGACATCGTTTAAGGAAGCGCATAAAAATATCTCGCTCTTTCTTCTTCAAAGGGCGAGAGCAAAACAAAAAGCACAGAAAAGAACCCCTTTGGCTACTCTGCGAGAGAACACTCTTCTAAAATCGCCATGTACGGTCTCATCTTCTTCTCATTTTTCTTCTTCTTCTTCTTCCGCATTTTTTCATCTTTCTCCCGAAGTTTGGTTTCACTATTATTATGTGTACAGTACAGAGACGTGAATACATGTGAATAGGTTCTGTTTTCTACGAACCAACTGTGTGTTTACTCATCTGCTTCGATTTTTTTGTTTCTCGATATCAGCTTTCCTCTCTAGCTCTCCGAAATGTCAGAACAATATTCCGAAGATGCCAAGCATATCGAGAAGCTTTATGAGTACGACGCGCGCCTGAGCGCGTCTACGGACAAGTCTCAGGTTCGCCTCTATTTTACCTAGGGTTTTAATTTTCTTCCATGGATTTGATATCAATCGCCATCTGTTTGATTGAGTTATTTATTGTTTTCCCGAATCGTTTCTGGTTTGACAAAAGGGTTTAGGGTTTATGATTTGTGTATAATCAGTCTGGAAATGGATACTGATGTGATTGATTTTATGGCTGCTTGCTTTGATCGGTTTCTAAAATATTCTCATGTTTTGCAGAATGTTCAAGATTATGAAGGGATTATCGAGTTATCCAAGACGAGTATCAAAACCAAACAGCTTGGAGCGCAGCTTATTCCACGCTACTTCAAGTTCTTTACGGGTCTCTCAACGAAAGCTTTCGATGCGTACTTGGATATTGTCGAAGAAGTGGATATCGGGGTATATACCTATACTTCTTATATATGCGTAGATGTAGGTGCACTAGTGTATGAACATTGATTGGTTTTGTAATGCTCAAGCTAAGTTACATCTTGGATAAATAACTTGGATCAGTTTAAACATACTGTGTTAAATGAAATTTTCAGTCCTGTGTGTGACGTTCTTTATAGTTTGGTTCCATGTGACACATGAGTTGACTCAAGACCAATCTTTCTTATTTCCAAGAGGATAAAGAGTCTTATTTTCTTCTTATTTGTAGGTACGTGTTCAAGCCATCCGAGGGCTTCCGCTGTTCAGCAAGGACACACCTGAGTTTATATCTAAGTTAATTGATGTTCTTGTACAATGTCTAAATACCGGTAATTCTGAAATTTTGCTTATTTTACCGTGATCTACCTGTTTTGTTTTCACCATCTTACTCGAAGTAATATGATCCAAATAGAGGAATCGGTGGAGCGTGATGCTGTGCACAAGGCTTTTACGTCATTATTTCGGCAGGATACAAAGGGTAATTTAATTTCTTCTGCACTTATCTTCGTTGTTTGATGATTTCAGTCTTATGGTTTTGCTATCTGTAGTATTACTCGGTCCACCCTATAGAGGATTTGAGGCGTGCTCAGAATCTTAGATATATAATATTTTGGTACTGATGGTAATTGTAGCACCATAGTGGCCTCTCATGTTTCGTTATATTTCACCTTTTTGGTGTAGAATCTTTGACTGCGTTGTTTAAGCATACTGGGGCCACTCTTACTACTGACGATCAAATCCGCGAAAAGGTCTTAAACTTTATCAGAGATAAGGTCAGAGTCTTTTCTACATATTTTTTTTCCTATTATTGAGGTTCTCGCTATATCTTTCCTCGGCTTGGTTAATGAAATTCATAACTCTCTGTTTTATTTCAACCATCAAGTTAGACCTATAATGATATCTCTGTCTGTCGATATGAACAATGAAGTAGCCTTGTATTGCACACAATCTTTTGGTTCTTGCTAAGACCAGGTACACAAATATACTGCTAAAACAAATGAGATGCTTAAAATAAGCACATATTTAGCAAAGTGGTTCTTATTTTGGAAGTTTTGGAGAGTTTGTTTATCTTGGAAAGGTTTCGTATATCTTATCCTATTTTGATGGATATTGTATCTCTATGTAGGTGTTCCCTCTTAAAGGAGAATTGTTAAAGCCTCAAGAGAAAATGGAAAGACATATAACCGATTTAATCAAAAAGGTTAGAAAGAAACAAAGAGTACTCAGTGTGGCCAAAGGTCTTTCTTTGTATTGCCTTCTTTTCATAGCCCTTTTCTGACGTTCTTTGGAAGTTTCCAGAGCCTAGGAGACGTATCTGGAGAAGAATTCAACATGTTCATGGAATTCTTGACAAGTTTGAGTATTTTTGGAGGGAAAGCGCCTCAAGAAAGAATGCAAGAACTTGTAGAAATTGTTGAAGGACAGGCTGATTTGGATTCACAGTTTAATGTGAGTTTCTCGTGTCAGGGGATAAATATATGTTTCTTGCTTGGATATGATGGCAGTAATGATTATTCTTCCAAGATGTTTATTTATGTCTCAGTTGCAGAAGTAGTTGTTATCTGGGAATGAAGTCTGCTAGTCTTTTGCATGTTCGTGAGATTAAAAGCATACTTTCCGTAGCATAAACTTCACCCTCTCTCGACAAAAAGCTTATAAATGATATACCATCTTTACATTTGCAATTCTACTTTTCTAGCACATGTTACAGTTTCAATTGTTTTTCTTTCGTGAATGTTTGATGTGAGGTCGCATTGGTAGTACGTGCTTATGTGAGAAAGATGCCTGAAAATGTTTTCATGAAGTCAGCTTTTTTTTTTTTTTTTTTTTTTTTTTTGAATTCCAATATACTGTACTGACTCTAGAAAGCGAGTCATAGAAACCGAATTGCATTTGTTTTAGTTTCCATGGGAAGAGCTATATGAAAATTTCTAACCCTAATATGGTGATAGTAGTCACTGTTTCAATGGGTCTCTCAAAGTTTCATTCAATGATTTCATTCTTGTGCCGTGGAACTACCTCTGATGTCCAAATATTTTCCAGGTTGCAGATTCAGATCATATTGACAGGTTTATATCATGCCTGCAAACGGCTCTTCCATTCTTTGCGGTATGAACTCAAAGTTAGTGCTGTGTAGCACCGGATATTTTATAGTTAATATGCTTTGAAACATAAATCTTACTAATTTACCTTCTTAAACAGAGAGGTGCTCAAGGTACCAAGTTTCTTAACTACCTGAACAAGCATATCATACCCGCTTTTGACAAGGTACAATGTAGTTTTATTCCGTTTTCATTGACGTGTTTGACAGTCTCTTTGTCTGTACATAATATCTTGGGTATATTAAGAATAGTTAATGGCGTTGAGGGAATGAAACTTGATTACTCTTAAACTTGCATGTATTTATTCATATAAATATTGCGGCATGTCTATCCTCTTCTTTTTTTCGGTAAAATCTATATTATTACTCCAGACGCTGAGCTTTCATGGTCAGCATATTTACCAAACCCTTTTTTTTACTAGCTGCCAGAGCAGAGGAAGCTTGATTTGCTCAGAGCTCTTGCTGAAATTTCGCCATACACAACAGCACAGGTATCACGTCAGATGCTTCCCGACATAGTTCAACTCTTAAAGGTACCTCTGAAGCACCATATTCCATCTTGTTTTTTCACAACTTTTAAAGATAAATTTATAGACATATTGGTTGTTTAATGTTGTCATTTCTCTTTCTACCAGTCTCATTTTGAATGTAACCACTACTTGCCTTATCAACTTTTCTGTTATCTTACGAAGATTGACACACTCTCTTTGCGCTCAGAAATACATGCCTGCCAGGAAAATTGGGGAAGAAATGAATTTCACATATGTGGAGTGCCTGTTATATGTTCTTCATCACTTGGCGCATAAGGTTGTCAACTATTTTTAGCTGCATGGCAGGTCTCTTTTTCTTCCTTTTACTTACGTGTTTCTGTTGAACATATAGGCTCCGAATGCAACAAATAGCCTTTGCGGGTACAAGATAGTGACTGGGCAACCATCAGATAGACTCGGGGAGGACTTCTCAGAGTCTTACCAAGAATTCACTGAGAGGTATTCTTGCAGTTTACTATCTTCTTACAAGAAATAGACTGTGATTAAATTATCTAAGATTACCATTATAATAAAAACGGATGTTGCAGATTGACCAGTGTTGAAGATCTAACCAAGGCAACAATGAAGAAATTAACTCAAGGAATGGCTGAGCACAACAAAGCCATGTCGGCTGCCAAGACAGATGAAGAGAAGTCAAGCTTGGTGAGAATACAATCTTCTCACTCCCGTCTTTTCCAGTTCCATCTCGTCTTTTTGTTTAATACTTTTTTTTGTGTTTAATATAACTTGCTGCTTTTAGAAAACGAAGAAGCAGAATACAACAACTGGACTCAGGACCTGCAATAACATATTGGCAATGACAAAGGTGAAAACAGAGCCATTTTTCCGTCCTTTTTCTCGAGCGTAACCTGTAAATGGATTAAGTGTGTTAGGTAAATTTAATCGGTCTGTAATGTTACAGGGTTTGCATGCAAAAGCGCCTTCCTTTATCGGGGACAAGAGTGTTAACCTTTCTTGGAAAGAAGCCGCAAAGCCGTTACCCTCTACAGCAACTGGGTACAAGCCAAATTTACCAAATTCACAATCTTCTTTTGGTCTAAAAAAATAAACTTTTCAGTTTTGCTGATCTGTTTTCTTGTATTCCAAATGTGGAAAAACTTATGTTTTGTATGTTACATTTTGGCTACCACAGAGTAAAACGGCCTGCAAATGGATCCGGCAATAACGTGGGCGCAAAGAAGGGACGTGTGCAGAATCATCAGCCTATGAACAAAGCTTTTGAGGGAATCTCATACGGTGGTGGTAGAGGCAGTCACAGAGGCCAAGGCCGAGGACAAGGAAGACGTGGTGGCCGTGACCGTGGCCGTGGAAGAGGCTACTGGTAAATTTCTTTCGTAGGATTCTCTATGACACTAGTAGAACACAGTATGTTTTGTCCTTTTGGGGGATTTTTTAGGCTCCGTACATTCGACTAACAAATTAATCCCTTTCCAAGAACACAGTATATTGGAAACTTGGAATCATTTTGGTTTCTTTACTTTTCTTGACACAAATTCCCTTCCAAGAAGTCAACGGCCATTCTAATGCGACAAAGCTTCGGGCCGGCCTAATTGTCATGTCTTCTACAACTCTGTTCTACCAAATTGTTGTTTTAGATTGTGTTAATTGTTGATTCACACGTTGAACCAACCAATCTTAAAACTTAAAAGTCAATAGTCATGGATAGCTCTCTACATCAAATAATCACCTGCTAGTAATAAGTAAAGAGGTGTCACCAGTGTTAAAAAAATCGGACTAGGCGGCCGCCTAGGCGGCTAGTCGGGTTAGCCGACCCGATTTTCATAAAATCAGTGAAGCAGATTCGGTTTAATAAAAAATCGGAGAAAATCAGAAAAATCGAACTAAATCGGTAAAATCGACTAAAACAGACTAACTATTTTTATCTTTTCTTCAGTCAATTTTTACAGTTTTGGATAGTAAACTAACATCGGTTTACAAAAAAAGAGAAAAAAAAGATTTGAAACGTGGATTAAGGTTAATAACTTAATATAATCATAAACTACAAGAGAGGATCATTATTCTCTATTGCTGAACTCTACGAGTTTGTTTAATCTTTTCTTTATCTATCTGTATATATTATATAACTATATTGTATTCTCTAGAGGAGATATCGATTCCGACGATGAAAATGATATAGCTATTGATTTTAAATTTAAGTCTGAAAATGAGCAGGTGGTGGATATGGATGTGTTTGAAGAATAAGTTATATAGATTTCTCTTTATTTTATATTTTTAAAGTTTTTAGATTAAAACTTATTTTAGTTTGAAAAATTTGATGATTTTTAGTTTGATTTCTTTGTTGAACTTTATTCTATAATTTTATTTATTAATTTTTTTTACTTTTTATTCAAACATAAAATTTGATAAAATAATTTTTAAGAAAACAATTAAAACTTTTTTAAAAAAATGATATATAGATAAAAAATTTACAAAAATTAACGAAAATTTCGCTAACCCCTAGACTCCGCTTAATCTCCGACTAATCCGCCTATCCTAGCGCCTACCTAGCCACCGCCTAGCCATTTTTTAAACATTGGGTGTCACTCACGTTCTTTTAAATTAAGTCTCAATAATTGTCAAAAGTCAAGTTTTTTAGTATTAACGTCATCTTCATCAATTTAATTCACCATAAAGAGTCTTTTCTTTATTTATTATGTGAAACCCCATATATAATAAATCACGTTCCATCGCTTAGTTTTCGTGTGTGTGTAACTGTGTATGCGCGTAAGAAGAGACAGATCTGCCCAAACTGCTGACGAAAAACTCTGTTCTAAAGTTTCCTTTTATGGCACGTCTGGCTCTGTTTCTGTCTTTTATCTCTCTAATAGCCTTAATCTCGACGGTGAACAGTCGTTCTTTGAGTTCTTCTTCCGAGGAGAAATCGATCTTGGTCTCTGACAGCGTCCAAGAGAGATCCAGCTATGAAATTCTCACTTTTGATCCACCAAATCGCGTTTCCAAGAATGCTTGTATACATATCTATGGGTTTCTGCCATGTGCAGACAATGTTGGAGGATATGCCTTCCAAGTTTTCTCATTTGGTTGTCTATTGATAGTCGGTGAATACTTCTTGTCTAAAGGAAGGTCTAAGCTCTTTGTCATCTTCGAGGTCGGTTTCTATGGCGGAATCATCTTTCCCCTTCTTACAATGTTCCCAAGAATAGCCCTTCTTCTCTGTAAGAAGTCATTTTTCTTCTCTCTTCTTAAGATTCTTTGACTGCAAATGAATGATCTTAACAATCTTTGTCATGAATCTCAGCGACTGGACTAATGGGAAGCCGGGAAATCGCAAACTCGAGGGTTAATAATAAAGTTGGAGTTACTGTGGGATACACTGTCTTTGCTTTGACAATGCAATGGGGATCTTGTGTTGTCTTCGGCTTGTCTGGTTCAAGATCAGATCAGTCCATAAGAAGAGGACAGGTCCAGATAATAACTAACTTCTGTAATATCTTCATCTTCGTTGCATTTACAGAATCATTAAATGTGCCTTTTTAATCATTGGATACAGGACACAACGAGTCTAAGTCCAAATCTTTTCTACGGAAAAAATCTATTCAAGAACCTTGCTGGTGTGTTTTTATTTCTTACAGATTTCTCTATTCTTTTATTTATTCTTTTGGAAAATCTTCTTAGTTTGTTCCTTGTGTGCGGTTTTCTAAGCAGGAGCTAGCGTAGAAGCAGATCCTAAGAACAAGAAAGCGGCAGGGATTATGCTATTGACTTTACTGCCTTTCGTCATGGTCACACTTACTGAGATATTTGATACAAAATCTTGGAATGATATTATCGTTCTGACCACACTCATAATCTCTGCTTCTGCAACTCTTGTCTACTTTGTTTATTCGGTATGAGCCTTCCCAAGAAAAGAATTAACGCTCCAGGACTCATATATTTTTCTGCCTAATCTTTTTAACCATTTGTTGAAATTTGCAGTATTTTGATAGAGCAGACCAAAAGAAGAGCTTAGATCTCGCGAGGTTTGAGCTCATGTCAGAAGTTCATAAGCACTTGCAGATTTTTTCGCCTCAAAATCTTATAAGAGATGGACAATTAAGTAAAGAGAGCTTGAAGAGGTTTTATATCCATTCTTTACTCCAATTTTAAGAACCCATTTTTTTTTCTGTAATCTTACACTGTTAGTTACTGGTTGTTATTAATTATACAGATTGTTTGACAAAATCGATGTAAACAAGGACGGAAAGATCCAAGTTTCAGAGTTAAAAGAGATTACATTGGAGTTTGGGATGTTAGGAAGAGTCAAGTGTGACATTCATGAGCTTGCCACTACATTGCTTGCTGATTTCGACAAGGACAGAGATGGTGAGATAGATGAGATTGAATTCGAGAGAGGCATTGAAAAATGGCTGAAACAGTACAAATTCAGTTTTGATAACACCGAGTGTCATAGAGAGAACCGAGCTGTAAGTTTTCCCAATAATCCATGTTCAAAGCGTTTGATCAGATAAATCAAGAAGAGGATAAAATATATGTTGAATTTTGCAAGGAGGAGGATGGAGTTTTGAAGGTGGAAAAACCAAAGGAAAGTCTTGTTGTTAAGTTGCTCACAAAGAGAACCTTGAGAGCTTTCATTGAAGTCATTGTAGGGATTCTAATTGTAATCTTTCTTGCAACGCCTTTGATGACAGACATCCAGCTTTTGTCTGTATCGGCTGGAGTTCCTTCTTTCTATGCTGCCTTTGTAATGGTCCCTTTGGCAAGAAACCTACAGAACGCTTTGTCTGCTCACTTCTGTTCCAAGAAAGACAAGGCCAGAGTCACTTCAGATACATTCTCTGAGGTTAAGTTTTGTTCAATACTCCATTTATATTGACTTGGTATCGATCGATACTCAATAAGTAAATGAAGTTTCGTGGTTCTTTTTGTTGTAGATCTACAAGGATGTTACAATGAACAATCTGCTAGGAATTTCGATTATATTGGCGATTGTATACTTCAGAGGATTGACTTGGGATTACTCTACAGAAGTTCTCATCATTGTGATTGTTGGCCTCATAATAGGTGTACCGGCCTATGTGAGATCAACTTATCCATTTTGGATATGTGTCTTGGCCTTTGCTTTGTACTTCTTCTCTCTTGTACTAATTTATCTCCATTTCAATTCTCTAGACAAGAGCCAAACTCTCACCTCTAACATATAGTCAGTGTGTCTTTCCACTTCTTTTTTGCTCAAGATTTTGATCCACTATGTATTTCAAGAGTTCCGTTTTATGTTTACTAAACTCTTTGGTATTAAACTTTGAGATATAAAGTTTCCATTTTTTGATGATGATATCAAATTCTATCCAACTTTGCGGAAGTTCTGCAAATGAATGCTACTTTTACATATCCTTAGTTATATCACAAGAATATGAATCAATAGTTTTATTGAGTCTTGAGTCTTGTGTACAACAATATGTTGAGTTCTGACAAAAAGAAATTAAAATGACATCAAGGTAATGTAGTGGAGATGATTTCACATCTTAATATGTAGTAGTTACTTAATCCAAACTCAGAAGTCAATAGCCCTAAAGTAATCTATATATATTATAATGAGAGAGGTTGAACACACGTTCTGAAATGCAACAATATATGAAGCTAAAAAGTCTTTCTTTATATATTAAGAGCTAGTCTTGATCACTTGACTTACCCAAGAGAGTCTTTCTTTATTCCATGACGTAAAAAGTAAAAACAAAAAACTTGCTACATTGTAAGATTAGTTTTCGGTTAGTTTCTGTGTCTATGTGTATATATATGCTCGAGTAAGAAGAGACGAATCCGACAAACCTTCTCATTAAAAACTCTATTCCAAGTTTACTTCCATTGCACGTCTTGCTCAGTTTCTGTTACAAGTTTACTTCCATGGCACGTCTTGCTCTGTTTCTCTCCGTTCTTTCTCTATCTTTAACATCTTGTGTGAACTGTCGTGTTCTGAATTCTGTGACTGAAAAAATCGCGATCTTGGTCTCTGATGGATTCCAAGACGGCTCTGAACACGAATTTCTCAGTCTTGATCTGCCAAATCGTGTGTCCAAGAATGCGTGCATTCATGTCTACGGGTTTCTGCCATGTGCAGACAATGTTGCAGGATATGTTTTCCAAGTTTTCTCCTTTGGTGTTCTCTTAATGATCGGTGAATACTTCTTGTCGGAAGGAAGGTCTAAACTCTTTGTCATCTTCGAGGTCGGTTTCTACGGCGGCATTGTCTTCCCTCTCCTTAGGATTTTCCCAAGAATAGTGTTTTGTTTTGTTTGTTTGTCGAAACTTGCAGTATTTTGATAAAGCAGACCAAGAGAAGATCTTAAATTACGCGAGGTTTGAGATCATGTCAGAAGTTCATAAGCATTTGCAGAGCTTTTCACCGAAAACCCTTTTAAGAGATGGACAACTAAGTAAAGAGACCTTGAAAAGGTTTTCTATTTAATCTTTAAGCAAAAAATGGTTTCATTTTTATTCAGGGGCTCTAGCATTCTTACTTCGTTGTCATTTTTGTAGATTGATTGATAAATTTGATGTAAACAAAGACGGAAAGATCCAAATTTCTGAGCTGAAAAATATGAGGGTTGAGTTTGAGAAGTTGGGAGGTATGAAGTGTAACGCACATGAGCTTGCTACTACATTGCTTGAGTATTTCGACATAGACAGAGACGGTGAAATATACGAGAGCGAATTCGAACAAGGAATTGCTAAGTGGTTAAAACATTACAAATTTACATTCGATAACAATGAGTGTCAAAGTAATGAGAAACATTCTGTAAGTAAAAAAACTTTCATAATTTCATTTACATTCTTTTAGAATGTTTTACATTCAAAGTGAAAATATAGATACGGACCAATCTACTTATTACCAATAAATTTGGAAACCCATGATTCCTAAAATAGCAATTGCTCTTTTTGTAGTGGTATTTCCGAGATGGTCTATTTCGTCTTCTATGTGATAAATTAGTTGCAGGAAGCGGTTGGAGTTTTGAAGGTGGAACAACCAAAAGAAAGCCTTTTTGTGAAGTTTTTCTCAAAGAGAACAATGAGAGCTTCTACTGAAGTTATAGTAGGAATCGTGAGTGTTATGTTTCTTGCAAGACCTTTCATGATGAACATCGAGATTTTGTCTGTATCAGCAGGGTTTCCTTCTTTCTATGTCGTGTTTGCAGTGATCCCATTGGTTAGAAACTTAAAGAAAGCTTTGTCTGCTCACTTCTGTCGCAAGAAAGACAAGGCAAGAATCACATCAGACATTCTCTGAGGTTAGTTTTGTTTCAAACACCATTGCTTAAAACACTCCAAACTCAAAAGTAAATGAGTTTTTTTTTTTTGTGTGTGGGTTTTGTTTTGTGTAGAGATCTTTAGTGATGTCACATTGAACAATCTGATTGGCATTTCAAGTATATATATTGGCGATTGTTTACGTGAGAGGGTTGACTTAGGATTATTCTACTGAAGTTGTCATTGTTGTGATCGTTGGCTTTATAATAGACATACCAGCTTACGTGAGATCTATACTTACCCGTTTTGGATCTGTGTAACGGCCTTTGCTCTCTACTTTATCTCTCTTCTCCTTGTTTACTTCCATTTCTCAAGTCTCTAAGTAAAAACTGTAACTCAATATCTAAAAGTTTGAAAACTTGTGCATGTGATACGTTTATGATTCTATATTGATGTCAAACATTCAGGGCCTTGAAAAAAGTTTTGGTTTTTGAAGCCAAGTATGTCTCCCTTGTCTTTAAGTTATTAATCTTGAAAATGAAGTATAGTCATAAGGATTTTTTTTTCACTTGCATCATGTTTGTCTAGTAAAGAAAACAAATATTAAATCTTTGTTTATATATCAGAAACTACTGAGATAAAGATTCAAATTTTAGCAAAATTTGCTTAGGTAACAAGTTTCTTATAACTTAAGTCGAAGATCGATGCCGTGATCAGTGACTGTGTCATATCTATCGGTTCTCAAGCTAAAGGATAGATCTTGGTCTCGAGTACTCTGCTCACTCGCGGGCAAGAAGCTGTAGAACGGTTTTCTGTTTGAGGGAAAATTAGCACCGGTCTTTCTTGGCAAGAATTCATGATCAAAATCTTCTTTCTGTTCATAGTTAGATGAAAATATTACTGAAACTGATCAACCAAACTTATAAAAAAAACATACAGAAACTGCATTAACCTGTACGAAGAGAGGAAAATCGAGTGAAGAATTTCGTATAATCGGAGTTGCGGGAGAAGGAGAATCAATGGTGATTGGATTTCTAATTGTGTTTCCTGAATCATGAAAATGATTTTTCAACCTTTGGTGGTCTAGTGGCTTGATTTGTCTACCATCATCTCTGAATTTTTTTGAAAAAAGAGGTGAAGTAAAGAAACTTGAACTCTTCTAAGCATATAAGAAAGTGATTAAGCCTTAAATAAACAGACCTTGAGATGGTTATAGTCGGTCCAACACTACATTTCGTGGTGGTCTCTGCGATATAATGCCATGGCCTCTTCGCAGCCACCATCTGTTATAGAGAATATATTAATAGAAGATTAAAGTAATTAAGAACTAAAACTCAAAATTGATTAGTTTGATTTCGTTTTTATAAATGATGTTTAAACCTTTTCTTCGTCTAGAAATTGAGAGACATTGTTGAGGCGAGATGTTTGGTTTAAAGGAGGCTCTATAAACTGATAGAATCCTCCTGATCCTGGACTAGATAGATTCATCTGTAAACACACACACACACACAAACAAACAATAATCCAATCAAAAACAAAAAATTTCGAATTTTCAGTTTTTAAAAATGTGTTCTTTTTCCGAGTATTTACCGGTGGAAGGTAGTGATTCCTCTGAAAAACCGGAGCCGGAGGGATCAGATCATCAGGGAAAGAACCGGTTGAGAAATAAGAAGAGAACGGGAAAACCGGACCGGTTCTCTCGGTGGATGTCGGAAGAAACGCCGACGGAGGTTTTTCCGGCGGCGGCGGAGGAGGAGGAGATGGAAGTTGTAGAGACGGAGATTTGTGTTGTTCTTCGAGACGGATCTTCTCGAGTTCAGCGACACCAGGACCTCTTCTTGGGACTCTTCTTCTTCCATTATTATTGTTATTGTTAGGGTTATGTTTCTGTTTCTTGGGACACAAACCAGAGTAATCATCGTCTCCATACCTTCTTCCACTGCTTGTCTTACTACACATTTTTTGTTTTTTTTTTTTTGGTTTTGATATTTCTTGATCAGTGTTAGTTTATCTGAGATGATACATACACACAGAGAGAGAAACAGTTTATATAAGAAACGAGAGAAAATAAGGTTGTGGCAAAAGAAGAAAGAAATAAAAAGTCATTAAAAATCGGAGAGATTGAAGGGGAAGTAAATCTGAGATGAAATCGGCTCTTCTTTCGCAGTGAGAAAAGTTCTGGAGATTTATGGAATTTTCAACCTCCATGTTTTTAGCTTTCTTAAGATCTCTCTCTCTCTCATGCACTCTTTTGTTATGAACACCTGGACAGCGAGAGCATTTATTTCCGCGATTTTCTCTTTGAAATAGTTGTGTGCTTTCTTCAATGTAATTATTGTTTTGGCTTCATTTCAAGAAAGAACTTTGAAATTGCCTGATAAGCCTATAATTTTTCTAAATTTAAAAATTCATCTTCAAAACTTAATACGTAACATCAGTATCCTCTCTCTCTCTCTTTTAGACATGAACGGTTGATAATTAGGGGATATCGGCGAAGGTGTAAATTGTTATGAACTTAATATGAATGTTACAATCCACTCAAAAGTAGAAGAAATAGGTTAGTCTCCGTTCATTTGCAAAGTTGTAGGGCTTTTATTGCAATTTTGGAAGCTGCCGATCATGATAGAACGTTAAATTGGGGATTTATATAATATATGTTAAGACTTTTACTTCGGGAATCTGAAGATCATCTGAAATCATTTTCATAAATTGGAATTTTGGGGGATTCCCTCAATAATTTGATTTTTGTATTTGAATCCCACTTGAGATAGTTAGTTTCCATAGGTTTCTTGTCGTTTACTCTTTATTTCTGTTAGAACATGGTTATATAAGTCATATCTATTGAAATTATTGCGGGGGCAATTTTTTAATTTCTGTGCAACATGTTATCTATGATAAAGACTGAAAAATAAAGTTACATCATTCAGACGTATAATTTATGATTATTTTCTAAACTGGTTATGGGATCATCTTCATATTGGCATATGGTCCTCCTACAAATTTATGCTTCACCTGATGAAACTAAAGTTTTATTATTTTTTTTGAAACAAAATAAAGTTTTTATTTATTTGATTATAAATAAGGTATGTGTGATTATCGTTAATTTTACTCAGAAATTTGTTTTCATTACTTGTCTTTACTGTGTTGTAATCAACTTGTACACGTACAAGTTGTACGCAGGTACACGTAGGTACAAGTTAAGGTTTGTGATTACGGCTTCATGTCAAAAATATTTGGGACACCCTAATTGGTAAAATATATAATCTGAACAGCAGAAAAATACGTCAAACGACGACTAAGAAAGTAAATTTACGTAATTTCTATTTTTAAAGGCTGAGAGAAATGCAGCGAACAGAGAGGCGTAGTTCTTCATGCCACCCAAAAAAAAAAAAAAATACTAATATACATACTAGAAAAGTTTTGATGTGAAAAGAAATGAGTAAAAAAGAAAGAAACAAATCTTCCGGCTGGTCAATTAGCACTTATCTGTCATATAACATTGACCAACCTTTCTGAAGTAAGTAATTAGTTCATTTCTCAAAATAAGAAAGATTATATATCTTGCGGGGAAGCTTATATAAAGATTACACATCAATATAGCCAGCATTTAATTAATTTTGATCGTAAGATATCTATCTACCAACTAAGAACAAGAATATAAGACAAAGATCTGTATAAAAATAGAGAAAATAAATATGAAAAGATACAGCATTTACTATAGATATGGGATAATGACACAAAAATCTCATCGTTTAGTAATAGGCTCTTTCCGGTTCTTACAACCTCGAAAATATGGATGTTCCACATTAGTTAATTGTTTAAAGTGTGTTGTCCGTTTGAATCTGTAAATATATGTTTCTTTTTATATCTTATTTGTCTAAATTGATTTTGCTCGTCTAACATGCCAATTAAATTTCAATTCTTGTTTAAGCTTACAAAGAAATCGAAACCAGTGCTACTAGAAATTTTTCATTATCAATATGTATGTGGTAGATCAAAAAGCTTCACATCTCTTTCTTTTAACATGTAATTTATATTAAGTTCTTATGCTTTTAAATCCGAGAAATTCCAAAAGCCCAAATGATTAAAATAGAAATCCAAATATGTTAATTACGATAAATGGAAGTACTTTATCCGTTTTACAATATGAAACATTTTAGTTAAAAGTGTAAAAGTTAGGTAATTTTTTAAAGATATCATTTAATATTTAACTAATTCGACTGTTTATAAAAATGACTGCGGAATACAACATCACAACATATTAAACAAATTTAAAGTTCATAAACAAAAACTAATTTCAAAACACATTATCTTTGAAAAACAGTCTAATGAAATACAAAATGCGATATACAGTAAACATAAAATGCTCTTATTAAGAAATTAGTCGCTTATTTTCTTCCAAAATATTTTGATATCACATTCTTTCAGCTAATAATCAATATATCATATACGGTATCTCCACACGGTGAAAAAAAATATGAAAAGTAATAATTAAGTTAATGATTTACGTGAAAAGTATATGTATAGCCAAGTTCCATGATCAAAAGAAAAATACTATAAATCATGTTAAATTAAACGTATGCATTTCTGGATAAAAATGTTGGCTAATTTCTCATGTATAACAAACATTAAACCTTGTAACTAGATGTCTAAACAATGCAACAGGCATTAGGGTTTTCATCACTAAACAACTGTGGAGCGTAGACGTAGTGGACAAAGTAAGGTATGTTTCCATCTTTATCCTTTTGGCCTTCCACTTTTATTTTCTCTTTTAACTCCACAGTTTCGGTAATCGTTTTGGTCACTTCTACTTTCACCTCTTCTTTCTTCTTCTTCTCCTCTTCTTCCTTCTTCTTCTTTTCCTCTTCCTTCTTCTTCTTCTCCTCTTCTTCTTTCTTCTTCTCTTCGTCTGTCTTTGAGCTTATGATCTCTGCATGTTTGTGAACTTTCTTCCTTATATAGGTTAAAAGTTTTGCGGATTCTATCGTCCCTTGTACCGTTAGCGTTTGCGCCTTTGAATCGGTTTTTACAATGTGAATAGCTGCCAATTAAATCAATAAAGTTAGAAGCCGACCAATATCCAAAATAGAAATGTGATATTGTTTATTTTCAAATTATATCAAACCCGAACTCACCTTTGTGCTTTAAAAGTTTGTTCTGAAGATCTTTGTCACACTTTGCGCAATGAATATGTACCTTTAGTATTGTCGTGCGAATAGCATCCTGTAGATTGTTAAAAGAAAACGCTCATAACTCCCATTCACATGCATACATGGGGTATGTGGTACGAGATTATGGTAGCAAATTTACCTTTTTGACCTCCGTAGTTTTCTTCTCTGCAACAGTAGTTGTAGTTGTTGTAGTGGTGGTTTTCTTGACCTCAGAGGGTTTGGGAGAGATGAGTTCAACTTTTTTCTTGCTCCATTTCTCGATTTGCTTGTGAATCTTCACGACTTCTATTTTCCCTTTAACTTTGATTTCATTCTTCTCCAAATCAAATTCCACACCATGAACCCCTAAAATATTAATTATTATTAACCAAAATGTAACTAGAGCACTATGAATCCTCCAAATGATAGTTTAACACACGCTTGTGAATAAATCAAGAATAAGTTTCTCAAGGACAACCAAAATGTGATGATATAATTAATGGTATTCTACCCATTTAAAATGATCATATTGTTGGTTGAGATCGATCAACTAAAGTTTAAATTAAGCTCTGTTACTGTCTAATTTGCCTATGGATTATTATCTATCCATCATGCAAATAATCTCTACAACAGTTTGGACACGGGAACAAAATTAAAAACCGATTAACAAAAAATTCCCTACGAACGACATGCAGTAGAAAGCAAATGTAAACAACTCAATACTCCACCACATGGTTCACATCCAAGGGATTCAAAGTTGAGACCTCATGTAGAGAGACAATAATAACCATCCTCTTTCTATACTAATTTTTTCTTCTTCTCTATACTAGTTTTTTCTCTCTCTATACTAATATACTAGTTGAAGTACTATACAATTATATATATATGTATATATATATATATATATATATCAACTTGATGGTCTTGAAAACTAGGGGACTTATATAGTGCGAAGTATATGAGGCTTAACCTTGGAATCGAAGGAGAGGCTTTTTGATGTCGCATGCACATTTCCGGCAGTGAAGGTGAACCTTGTAAACGGCAGTGATGATTTCCTCGCCTTTCTCCTTCTTCTCTTCTTTTTCTCCCATTGTTTTGTTCTAAAACTCTAAATTCTAGTTTGGTCCGATTCAAATTATTATTATGATGCTTTGTTTGCTTTTTCTTTGGTCTGAACAACTGCTCGTAGAAAACGCCAATGAAAAAACAAGAAGTAGGAATTCAATCACAACAAGAAATAGTCTGATAGAAGTTATCTATAAACTACTATAATATAATTTGAAAAAGGACAAGTTTTCTGAGACAATAAATAGGTTTGGTTTGAGTTTAAAGGTTCAAAGACTGTTGTGGTTTCTTTTTTGCGATTGTACATAACAAACATTTTTTGGTAAAATACATAACAAACTAACCACGTACGGAAATAATAATATCATAAAATAGTGTTATTGTATGGGATCTCTCTACTTATCGCCAATTAATTTTAAGTTGGAAATACATAAAATTTAATATAATATTAAAACCTCGTTTGTTGACCTAATAAAGGTGATCCAAGAAAGATTTATTATTATCGGTCCTAAAATCAGATTCGATTCAAAATGGACTGATAAGAGCCATCATCTTGAACTTGAAGGAGCGTGTTAGAATTTTACATCAGAAATTTAAATAGAACTTGGGCTTTTTAACTTATCGCTAATTGGTTTTAAATTTGAAGTTGAATTTTCATATTCTATTTAATACGTACATACATGATACATTCCATTTGGCCTATTACCAAGCTTTTTTTTGTCAACCTATATATTTAATTTTAAACCACAGAGTAAAATATGTTCATGAGGCACGAACAGACTAAAATATACTTTTTCCAAAGTTTGATCACGGATATTTTTTTTTAAAGATATTTTTTTAACATTTCTACTATGTTTCATATATGATAAAATATAGGAAAAACGTTACCATTCTGGTTTAATACAGATAGGAGAAAAATCCATTTGACTGTGCCAACTTTTCAATTACTTGGGTTAAATGTTTCAAGGGTGGTTTACCAGTTCCAATTAATTGTATTGATATTTTAGTTTCGATTAAGCTAGCTAGCAAATCATATAAGTGAAAGTGACAACGATGCACTTGGCGCTAAATGAGTGGCGATCCAACCTCTAACGCATAAAAGATCTTACAATTAGGACTTAAACGTTCGTAAACTATGAGTTAAACCTTATAGTTTTTTTGTTGTTGTTTCGCAAGAGAGAGCGCGATGACAATTGATTTGTAACGATGATAATTAATCGATCCCAGTCCAACGTCAAATAGTAAATTCAGGAACAATGATAATTAATCGATCCCAGTCCAACGTCAAATAGTAAATTCAGGTTTCAACGAGATTGAAAAGTCTTATCAAACGCCATCTCCATAATCATCAAAGATACTAATTTAGATTGATTTTTTAACACTGATTTATTATTATATCAATAATTGTTACTTACAATAATTTAGAGTTTAGAAACACAAATATAACTTTGTTATAGTTTAGCACCAAAAAAGATTGTAGTTTCAAAGATTCATGCTTTGATAGTCAGTGAGTCACAAACAATAAAGCTTCCTACTTTTCTGAAGCTTCCCCACGAGCGAAAGAAGACGAGACAACACGTGGCTCACGAGGAGGTGCCCAATTTCTCCAATTTTTTTTAATCTAATTGATTGTTGAAATCTTTTCCTATGATTTAGATTTTGCAACACAGAATCCATTTTCGCAATCGGCGGATTTTTGATGTTTCTACTCCATCGCAGGCTTCCCTCACTTGCACGCACAACCTTTCTCTGCAATTCCATGGAGCCTGCGGTGACGGCGACGACTTCCTCTTTCGGTGGGTCTTCTCGACTCGCCGCCTTGGCCCAGCAACTGCGCCTGTACAAGCCGCCGCCTTCTTCTTCGTTCGACGACGCCGAGGAGACGCAGGCAGATCAGGAGACCGCCGGGAAAGTGGTTTCGCAGGTTGGGTTACAGGAATCTATGGCTCCGATTCTGAAAGACCCTGAGAGGTTCAAACCGAAGAGAGCGGCTGTTTTGATCTGTATCTTCGAAGGAGACGATGGAGATTTGCGCGTCATCCTCACTAAGAGGTCTTCTAGATTGTCTACTCACTCGGGTTTGTGCTCGCTTCTCGTTTTGGCTTTTCTTTTGAGTATAACTGTATCTAGAAATCATTTCTGAGCTGCCCCAGATCACATAAGATTACAAAGGGATGTTACTGTTTGTGGCAGAAGTTTTAAAGGTCTCGTCTTTGAAATTGGAAATCGTTCCCTGATGCGTTGAGATTTGAAAAACAGAGTGTGCTTGGTCTGATTTTGAGGTGGTTGCTATCAACTTACTGCTCAGGATAGCGTTTAAATGGTGTTTTTGGTTGCAGGAGAAGTTTCACTGCCAGGTGGTAAAGCGGAGGAGGATGATAAAGATGATGGGATGACTGCAACTAGAGAGGCCGAGGAAGAGATTGGATTAGACCCTTCGCTTGTTGATGTTGTCACTTCTCTCGAACCATTTCTGTCCAAGGTATCAAAAACTGCTCCCGATTCTTGGTTAATGTCTGTGCTTGAACGCCAAGGTCATAGTATAAGCTACCAATGACTCTATCAAAATTTGATTCTTAGCTGTATTATATCATAGTAGCAGAAATTTGGTAGCTTAAGTGACGTTCTTAAACACTATCCAGTTTTTGATCCTGAATGTTCTTCAGTAGGAGTCCTGTTAATACTGCAGAAGAATGTCGTTTTGTTAAGGCTATAAGGCAAATGTTCCTTGCCGTATGTCAAGCTTTCTTGTCATTTTGTGAGTGAGAGATGCATAATTCTCCATTTCTGGTCGGTATTTCTCTTACATAATGCGCGTCATTATCTTACAGCATCTCCTTAGAGTCATTCCTGTGATAGGAATCTTGAGGGACAAAAAAACATTCAATCCGACACCAAATCCTGCGGAAGTGGAAGCTGTGTTTGATGCACCCTTGGAAATGTTCCTTAAGGTTCCTCTTGTTTTTCTTATCAAGTTACTTTAGCTCTAGTTGTGTTTTTCCTTCTGAAGCATCATTGCTTGAACTTATTTTGTCCAGGATGAGAACCGGAGATCTGAAGAGAGAGAGTGGATGGGCGAAAAGTATTTGATCCACTACTTTGACTACAGAACAGGAGATAAAGATTATATGATATGGGGTTTAACTGCTGGGATTTTGATCAGAGCTGCATCTGTGACTTATCAAAGACCACCTGCTTTCATCGAGCAGTGCCCTAAGTTTAAGTACCCTAAAATGGTAGAAAAACATACTTGTATGCCTTAATGAACATAATTTTTCGAATGATGTTTTCCTAGATTGGTCTTCTTCCGCTAGAAAATCAACTAAAAGACAATGACACTCCGTACAACTGATTCTGTACCAGTGAATCAAGAACTAGGCTACTTGCTTATATATATTTATGTAGACGCAGAAGCCAATGAGGAGATAATTGGAGGGGTGTCTGTCTTTCATGATCTCGGTTAGTCTGTATTCTTGAATTTGATATAATTATGTCGCAGTTTTGTCTAGACTTCATTTCTGAGTTGTTTCCACAAATGCTTTATTGTGATTCAGAGAACAGTTGGCTGGTTCTGGTTTTAGGCAAACATGACCCTCAATCGTGGATTTGGTGGAGAACTCAGACTCACCTTCAAACGCTCATTTTCCATTATAGAACGTGTGCTGAATATATTTGTATCCTGAGCGCATTTGAAAACAAATTGGTCTCATGAACCTTATGATATGATTTTTATTAGCTGTATTAATAGCCGTTATTTCAAATTCACACATCAGTTACACTGTTATCTCTGGAATAGATTTGTTGTGTTTCAGTGGTTAATTCAGTTAGGATTACTTATTGCCGAGTAGATTAACCATTTCTTTGTATTGAGACCTCTTTTCCTGTTATTGCATGCTTTTGGTTTTATCTGGTTCTCCACTGGCAGTTTATTTGTCTGTGACTGGCTTCGATCCATGCATGAATCGGAAGGATCTACCTAAACAAATCCCACTATAGACTTGTTCTAAAGGCAGGAATTTGCACTGACTACTCATTCTAAAGGCAGGAACTCGATCCTTATCCTATTCTTGCTGCTCATTAGTGGAGAATCCGACAGTGTACATCACTTGTAAGTGTCTTCAATATGATGGCTTGTGGATATAAGTGTACCTTTGTTTGTTTCTTTATTTAAGAAGATTATGTAATTATGGATCATTTTAATTGATTGATGTTCGGCCCTTAAGACTTAACAGAATGTTTACGCGCAAGATGCATTTTATGATGAGGCTGGCAACCTAATGTTACGGTAAGTTCTATCTATTTTATTTTTGGTGATTCTGTTTTTAAATTGTTGTGATGTTATAAAATCCAAGAAGAAAGCCACGTATTAGGTCTAGTTCTATTAGTTGACCTTCAGCGGTTAATGCTAAAAGATTGTTTTAAAAATTTGTAGAATTATAAGGTTGAACTGCTGAATGTTGTCTTGAAAAAACCAGGCAATAAAGGACAAACTTATACTGAAAAATTGTCAGCTTTATGACCATCTACTTAGAAAAAGTCAAAGGGGGGGGGGCATTCCGAGAATCGAACTCGGGACCTCTCGCACCCAAAGCGAGAATCATACCACTAGACCAAATGCCCTGTTTTTATATGTTGTTATGTTGATGCATTCTAATTGCATTCTGTTTTTCTTTACGAGAACATTTGCTTCCCTTTTGCTTTTTCTTTAGATGCTTAATCATGATTCCTGTGCTGCTGTTTCTGCAGCTCAATCTTGAAAAAATTGGCAGCTTACAAAAGGTTACGGTCTTCACTATATGAAATTACAGGTTAGAAAGACTTACCTATTGATATTGGACGTGAGACAGCGGTATGTTTTTATATGTTATTTCTTTGCATGATGCACTAATAATGAAACTGTAAGGCTGTTTCTGAAATGAAAGTGAGAGTTGTGGTCTGTAGTTTGAACAAGGTCTGCGAAGAATCTGTGGTTAAAAATCAAGGTTAATTTTCTAAGAAACATTTTAGCTGGCATTTAGATCATATGTTTTACAAAAAGTCAATGGGGGCATTCCGAAAATCGAACTCGGGACCTCTCGCACCCAAAGCGAGAATCATACCACTAGACCAAATGCCCTGTTGTTTACTATTTAAGTTAACATGTTGAAGATTTGGTCATGTATTGATCTCGTTCCCTTTGTTGACTTTTACTAAACAAATAGTTTAGTCTTAGTTGGATCTAATCTATGAGATCTCTTTTAACTGAAATGTTTACTTGCTTGTTTTGTTAGTAATGGATTTGGGCGATGCTTCTTATCTAGTGCTTCCACAATGCTTAGTGTCAAAAGTCAAATACATATGTTCATGTTTGAGAACTGAAGCTAGAATTGTATTGTTAATTTGATTGGTATGGCGTATTAATCAACCCATACCCTATACGAATCCATAGATCCCAACTCTAGAGACGGACATTTAAACTTATTTTTGTTTTAGCCTCTGTAAATAGTTCAGTAAAAAGATATACACAAGGTAAAATAAATGCTAATTACACTAGCTAATAAGCCCATTCTTTAGGAAGAAAGACTTGTTTGGACTGAGAGGAGATGATAGGGCATAGCTTCTTCTTGGGTCTCTTCTTCTCCTCTGAGCTACTCACCGGTCTCGCAGGAAGGAACACTCCAGTGCCACGTGCCTTATCTCGCCCTCCACTGGCCTCATCACTTGGCTTCTTTATGGAACCATGGTGATTCAACGCGTACCTCGTCCTTGGCTTCCGATCATAGTAGTTACCTCCTCTATAACTCTGTCAATTTATTTAGTGAAGATTGATTCGTTAGACATACTTTACTTTAATAATAATCTCATGACTTTATGATGCTATGTAACAGAATAAAAAACCTGTGGGAATGGAGCGATGCAATCAAGAAAGACTTCATTGAAGAGGTTTGAAGGTAAGAGAAACAATCCTTCCTCTAAACCCAACACAAGCTCTCCTTTGCAAGACATGTTGCTTCGATTTTTTAAAGACTCCCTCCATAAATTTGTATATATATATATGTTAACTTGCACTCGAGATTCAA